GTTCAATGTGTGAGTAGTATCTTGTAATAGTACTAACTTTATTAACCTTAAAATTATATTAGTTTCCCTACTTTTTAAAGACCTAATAGAGTATCTCGGCCTTATTAATAAGGCCGTTTATTATATATTAGCCTATAATTACCATTAATATAAGAATATAAAGCGTACCTTTAAAACTATAAATAGTATTTATACCTAACTTAATATTATTATTATAAATATAAAAAAAACCTATAAATTACTTAAAGATCTTAAAGCAGCTTATATAGTTTATAACAGCCTTAATAATAATAAACTTAACTATATTTTAACTAAACTTAATTTAATTTATAATAAACTTAACTCCTTAATATTAAAGAAACTAGCACTAGGCAACTATAAACTAATTATTTTAATAAACTATAAGGTTATAAATATATCTACAAGGTTCTTTAAAGAGTAGGTTTTTAAATTTAACTAATTAATTAAAAAAATTATAATTATTAAGGCAGTCATTATATAATAAACCCTTAAGTTTAACTAGCTATATAATAAAGTTATAACTATTAAGTTAACTATTATATAATAAAGTCTAGATATTATAATAATTATATAAAATATATTATTACCTAACATACCTCCTACTACACCCTAATCTAACTTATTATTAATACCTTTTACCATTATACCTACTATATATATAGCCCTACCACTACACTTATAATAATAGTAATAGTAATAGTAACAGCCTACTAATAGTATTCTATTAACTAATATAAATACTACTTATCACTAAACTATTACTACTATTACTTTATTAATAGTATAGCCCCCACCCCTATCTCCTTTCTAACCTTCTAAAAACTATACTTTATTACCTATATAGTTTACTTAAACCCTAAATTAATAAACCTACTAATTTTAATAACACCTCACTAGATTTAATAGTAATTAACCTTATACTTTTAGTAGGTAAGGTAGTATAATACTAATAATACATACTAGCCTTCCACCTTTATCACCTCCCCCACCTCCACCCACTAATAATAATAATAATAATAATATATAGTATTAATAACCACCTTATAACAATTAATAGTAAAGCAACAATTAATAATATAACTAGTAGCTAGGCTTATCCCCACATAGAAGTAGTCATTCTTTAATAACTATTTAACTTACTAATATTAATACTATTATAAAGTAACATTAATATTTACACCAACTATTAAAGCCTTCTTACCCATCTAGGTTTTTTCCTTCTTTTTTCTTTCTTTTTTTTTTTTTTTTTACTTTCTCTTCTTATAGTCTTCTTATATCAACCTCTAAGTCTTTAAACTAAAAGCAGTAATTAACTAAAAATAAGTCACTAATCACCCATTAACACAAGCCCTTATTAACCTATTTATTCTTTTTAATTTAACCACCTATTTTATAGCATTTTACTAACTTAATATTACATTAATCTTTTAAGTTTCTCCTTCTCTCCCCCCCTTATAATCATTATAATAACTAATAGTTAAAGTAGAAAACTTCCTTTTAAGGAGGTATATTTAAATATATTAAATTTATAATTAATAAAAGTTTAAATATTTATTTTTAAAGTAGTACTAATAGATCTACTTAAATAAGTTATAGGCTAGGTATATATATATATATAGTTGCCCCACCCCTATTAGGGACAAGACTAGAAAATAAACTTAACCGCTTTTAGCATTAAAACTTGGCTCCCACCGCTACCTTATAGAGTAGTTAGCCGCTGTTTAGATTGACTTACATACCATACTATACCTATGCTTCTTATATTTACTTAAGACAACTAGGCTTATATAAATACTAATAGATTTCAATTTAAGAGGGGAGGGTCTATAGACCTAAATATAGATATTTTAAATTAATACTTATATTATTTATAATATAGATTAAGGTAAAGCATAAATTACTTATTTAAATAAAGATGCGATATTAAGAGGAACTATAAACCTATTATCCTTATATATAACTTATTATTCATTATAAGAATAAATTTACTATAAGGTTAATTTATTTAAAAAATCTCTATTATTTACCTTAAGCTTAGTACTAGCCCTAATTATAATATACTAATTAACCCTTAGCTTTAAACTAGCTTTAACTTTAAACTAGCCTTAGCTTTAAACTAGTTTTAGCTTTAAACTAAAATGTGAGTGTGGTAACCCGATATAGCTACTAGGTAAATAATATATATAATAAAGAGCTCTTCATTAAGCTTTATAAAATAGGAGCCTTAAGAACGTTAAATGAGTCGACTTTTAGTATTAAGGTAGTTAGTTTTTTAGCAAATAAAGGCTACCTAGTTATATATCTTCTTAATTATAGCTATAATAGTATCACGCTTCTAGTTAAACCAGGTTTAATTAATATAGCTAGGCTTATTTAGGTTAATAGAAAGGTTAGTTATATCTTTAGTAACCTTATTAAATATAGTAAGAAAGCCGTTATAAACCGTATTATAAACCTTAATATCCTAGGTGTAGTTTTAATTAAAGTTATAAAATAGGCTCTTATATAACTCCTAAATATAGTAGTAAAATACTAGGATAGCCTCTTAGATTTTATCCTAGATTATAATATTTACAACTAAATAATTATTACTAATAGAGTCAGTTAAATTACAAATAAATATAGCTATACTATAGTAGTAGTTACTATATTTAAAGGTAAGATTAAAAAAGCTATTAGGGTTAATAAATCTAATTATAACCTACTAGTAATATTAATCCTATTATAAATTTAAAAATATTATATTTTAAATTATTATAAAGAATTATACTTATTTAATTAACCTTACATCCATTAAAAATAAAGTAGCACTAATTAATATTAGCATTATTACCTTTAAGGTAGACTAGGGTAGACTCTTATTTTCTATAATTAAGAGATATTTTTTAAACTAAGTGTTAATTAATACTATACAGCCTTTGCCCTGTTAAAAATCTATAGTTATTATAAGGTTAAGCTTATAATCGTAACCTAACATAGACTATAGGCTGCCGTAGACGCAGACTAAAGGTTGATATAAATTGGAGGCTAATATAAACTAGAGGCTGATATAAACTGGAGGCTGATGTAGATTGGAGGCTGGTAATGCTAGTGATGTAATGGTAATTCTATTAACTCGAGGGTAGTTCTATTAACCTAGGGGTGGTTCTATTAACCTAAGGGTGGTTCTATTAACCTAAAGGTAGTTCTATTAACCTAAAGGTGGTTCTATTAACCTAAGGGTGGTTCTATTAACCTAAGGGTAATTTATTAACTTAGAATAATTCTATAAACTTAAGGGTAATTCTATTAACCTAAGGGTAGTTCTATTAACCTAAAGGTAATATTATTAACCTAAAAGTAATTTATTAATTTAAGAGTAATTTATTAACTTAAAAGTAATTTATTAATCTAAGAGTAATACTATTAACGTAATAATATTACTATTAACATAAATATATTACTTATTACTAACAACCTAATAGCTAATTACTTACTATAGTTATAATATAATAGATAGTTAACCTTACCATTAATAATAGGTATATTTTTCTATAAGCTTATTTCCATATTAGTAGTAATTAATCTTAACTAAAACATAATAATACCTTTAAAGTACCTTAAGATATATTTAAGATACCTAAATATTTTTAAAGCCTTAAAGGTACTCTTTAATACACCCTAAACACCTTTTAAGCCTACCCTTAAAGACCTTTAAGCACCTTAAGCTAATACTCTCAACTATACCAGCCAATACTTTCAAAAACCAAGCAAGTAGTTTTCACAGACAATATAGTACCCTAGGCTTCCTAGCTAGTAGGTAAGGCACCCAAGAATAAAACCGCCCTAGATAAAGCTATCATAGAAGAGGTTACTATAAGGGGGAGCTATCGTAGGCTTAAGGTACCATAAGGTAGTATTATTATAAGGAGATAGTAGCTATAGGGAGGACTATTACAAGAGGAGTGGCAGAGAGGACTTATTAAGATTAGGTAGTAGTGGTACTAGTGGTGGTATCGTGGTATTGTGAGGGAAAGAGAGAGAGAGTGAGAGAGTTGGGTGGTGGTGGTAGTGGTGGTTCTAGGGGAAGAGTGGTAGTGGGCTGCGCACGGGCCACCGCCCTGGTAGGCCTGGGGGACAGTACCTGGCAGAGGTCACACTTTTGCCCGCCCATACTTGCATGATGTCACTAATTTCTCATGATACTTGCATGCATTTTTTTTTCACAACCATACTTCCAACTTGGATTTTTTTTACAACCATACTTCCAACCTTAATTTTTTTTACAACCATACTTCCAACTTGGATTTTTTTTACAACCATACTTCCAACCTTTATTTTTTTCACAACCATACTTCCAACCTTAGTTTTTTTCTGCCATACTTATCCATAAACACTAAGGTAAGTATGCCATCAAAAGGAGGAAAGGGAGAGGGAGAAGGTGGGAGGGCGGCTGGGTTTTTATATTCAGGGGGGCAGGATTCTGCCGGGATGGAGCGCGTCCGAAATCTGACCGCCTTTGCCGTTTTTGGAAGCTTGCACGGCTGCCTGGCTTTGCTTCTGGCGCCAACGGCCTTGATCAGTCACTTGCCTACCTAGGCAGCTGAGTACCTGTAGTCAGACCCAAAGAGAATTATTTGATTTTACGTGGGTCATTCTCACAGGGGGTTGGCCACCTAGAATGGAGAAATATAGTAGTCTGTGCCATCTGAGATAGATTCCTGCCCAAAGAGGCAGCGAGCACCCTGAACGGCCCTGCTCCAAGCCTGCCGGCCGGCCGACCCCAGGCGTTGGAGCTCCCCCGGGAGGTACCGAGCCGAAGGAAAATCTCACCACTAGCATCGCATCATAGAATTTTGGTAGAGCTCTCGACTGTCTCGCCCGCCAAGCCTGCTCCCCGAATTGTTTGCCCACGTCCAATCCCACGCCCACGCCCGCGGCCACGCCTATGCCCATGTAGCAGGTCTGGTCCTTCAAGAGCGAAAAGAACAACCTACGCAATGGCAGCCAAGGACGGAGAGCGGAGCGCCTCCTCGGCGACCCGGTTCACAGCGACAACGCCCCATGCATCCGGCCCGTCACGATTCCCACCGCCACCCGGGGCAGGAGGTCCCAGGAACCCAGCTGCAGCGTCTTCTGCGCGGGCGGCGTCATCACCAACCTCAGAGACCCCCGAGCAGCGGGTGGCACGGTTACGAGCGGCGCACGAGAGGGCAAAGACCGCCCAGATATCACGGTTCGACCAGTTCATCGCCAAGTCACGGCCCTTCTTCGACTCGGCGCACAGGATCACCGTCATAAGCCTGGTTGGGCTCACGGGTACGCAATGAACTGCCCCGTCAAATCCCATGATCTCCTCCTGCGGACGTGTCAATGCTAATTGCTGTTCCCTTACCTCCCAAACAGCCGTCGCCGGTCTCCTCACAGCGTACACAGCATACGACATGCTCCGGTACAACCGCAAGCGCAAGGCAGAGTTCCTCGAGGCCCAACAGAGGATGTCGGCCGACAGTCTGGAGGCCGCACGGCTGGCGTACATGAGGGGCGACGCGACCGACGAGCAGATCTCGCTGGTGGAGGAGGCCAACGCCCGCGCCGCCAGCGGCGGTGGGGACTTCAAGCTGCCCAGCATACTGAGCGCGCCGAAGCCGATCAAGCGGGACGACGAGACACCGGGAATAGCAGAGCAGGCGGCGGCCGTGGCCGCGGCGAAGGACGAGAACAACAAGTCGTCCGGTCTCTTTGGGTGGTTCTCGTCCAAGAAGCCAGCCCAGGAGTCGACAGGCAGCAGCAGCAGCAGCGACGCGCCGCGCTCGCTCGAGGAGAAGCAGGACATGCTAAGGAAGGCCCGCGAGGCGTTCGAGAAGGAGAAGGAGGCGCAGCGGAGCGGAGGGCCGCTGGACCGCCTCGGGATCGAGGAGCCGGCCGCATCACCGACGCAGACGAAAGAGGCGGAGCAGCCCAAGAAGAAGGGGTGGTGGTAGTGCAGGAGACCGGGCGATCTTGGCTCCCAATATTCCAAAACCGAGAGGCAGTGATGATGCGAGCTGGCGAGGCAGAATCGGCCGCAGCCGTCGGGCGGGCGGGCGAGCCACCCCCCATCGCACAGCATGACGCCGATGGGGGGAAGCTGTAACAAAAAGAAAATTGTACGGGATCTCTCAAGCATGTGTCGGCGTCTGGGCTGTGTATATAGACTGGCGATTGGTTCCGTTGGGACATTTTGGACATTGCATCTCGATCTTCACGGCCCATCCCTCCTCTCTTTCTCACCGCATCCTGCCCCCTGCAGTGTCACGCCCTCGATGCCCAACCTAAATAGAAGCAGAACCGTCATCGACAGCGCTGGGAGTTCAAGGCGGCTGGGGAAATGACTTGCATTAGCTTGGGCCCGGGGCAGTGGATCGACATGAAGCTCCACGGTCAGCCCAAACCCCAAGGTCACGGGATGCGTGCTACGAGGCTCATCATGCTGCATGGGAGTAGCATTGCATGCAGCAAATGGCAACTGCGGAAACAACCCGTGTTGTATCAACCGTGAGATTTTGCCGGTGAGCTGCGCCCGTCCACTATGTCGGGGCCGTCCTGGCACGGCATAAATTCAACGTTTCCACCGGAAGGATCCTATCTGTGCAACGTTGGGCTTTGACAGGTTTTACCTTGGCCTTGGGCTTCTCGGGAGCAGCCGGCTAGAGACCTTGGAAGTGCACCTTTGGGGGCTTTCAATCTCCCGGCAGGGCTGTCTACACGGCCAATACATCTGTCCTATCGACGTCGCTAGCAACTGCTCACCCTCCACTGCGACATCGGAGCACATGTTCGACGGTCCAAGTGGTGGGTGGGCGGAAGGCTGTTCTGATTCGGCCGTGATTTCAACACCCGAAACGGATGGATCAACCGACGGGAATCCACCCTTCATACCTAGGTACGCATATTGGTCCTATCTTCACACTCCCGAAATCTTGAACATCCCCCGGCGTAAACGCTGGGTCTTGAGCGTTTACCATTGTATGAAGGCGCCATGTATGTCTTCGGACGTATACGGAATAGAAGCGAAACCAGATACCCCGGCGTACCTGGTCGGCATCAACTTGAATTCTGGTTGAGTTCATGGCGCCGTTACTAGGCATCACTGCAGTCTGTGCAGCTGAACAGGGAGTCTCGGAAAACGCCATGCCTCTAAGGCGGTCGGTGGAAGCTTCGGGGAGCGTGGTTGGTGTCGAAGGAACTGACGTCGCCATGTTCTCCCAAGTGGGCAAATAATACGAGTCACTGAGAGCGCATGCGACGGGTAAGATAGAACCGTCCTAAATAAATTCAAAGTCAGTCAAGACAAGAACTGTTTGTCCGATACTCCAGTGCAAAAGGTGCCTGGTCCACCCTCTCGCAACCGAGAACGCCGTCTCAAACACACTTTACGTGCGGCTGCCCAGGGCCGAACCACGTCCTCCATGCAGAACAGTATTATAAGTATAGCACCATAACGGCTACACTCTTTCAAATCACCTTTTCCTGTCTCCTACATATCCATGGAATCTAGGTACCATGTACGCCACGTGAAGCTTTCTGGGTGCAATATCTGACAGGTATGTTAATACATGGACTCAACGTATGATTTCAGATTTCCAAAGCCGTGACCATAGACCCAGGCTACGCGGCCGTCATCACTGGCGCGAAAACTGGCCCTCTGGTGTTTTGCGGCACCGCTGCCGAGTGGACCGGGCCAGTCAATGCGATGCCATCCTTGACAAAGAAGGAGAAGAAAAGAAAGACAGACCTGCCTCAGACGCCACTCAGATCTTCATTCTTCTAGTTGGGCAAGCAGCACAACGTTCATGCATGCAAGCCGCGCATGACGTCTGATTTATTGACTGAGGCCCACAGCTACAGGTACACTGATACGCGGTTCGAGGAAGCTGCTTAGTTGACGCGTTATAGTTGCTAGTCCAGAAAAACAACTTACACAGTACCAGTAGTATCTAGCCACTTGCTTCGTTTTGCTCTTCTTGTGTTTAGACGTTGAGGTCGAAGATGAGGAGGGCTGTGTTTTTCCAGTCACCAGCAACTCTCGACGTATTGTATTATCGCGCTGATGAGGCTCATAAGAGCACTTACCATTGTATCCGCCAATTGGGCTCCTGTCTAGCCACAACTCGAGTCGCTTGAGCCGACCTCACTGCGGCCTGGGTTGTGGAGTGAGCCGGAAGGTTCGGTTCTATAAGCAGAGTTTTTTTCAGACCTTGTCGACGCGCACTGTCGCTAATTGGCTGTAGAGACTTCGAGGGTATGCAGTATCCAGCAATAGAGCTAATTGGTCAAGGAGCGAAACTCTCTTCCAGCGGTGACAATTCGGAGCGGAAGGACAGCTGGACAGGTAACGGGTTACAGGGTCCAGGACAGATCTCGAAATTGACTGGTCGAGCACTGAGTAAGGCTTCCCAGGGTTGTTGGGGGCGATCTGACACTGCTGTTGAGTCCCATAGTAGCACAAACACCTTGGTACTAGACGCGCAGGTCGGGGTCGCGTCTGGCACGAGCTGCCAGATGATCCTACCGTGAACGGAATGGGAAATGAGTAGGGTCTGAGCCGAGAAACACAATTTCCTTGTACACCAAGCCACGTATGCCCGATAAGCCAACCTCCAAGAGAAAAGCCGATAAGGTCTGCAATGCCCACGAGACTGATCCAAAATAATATCCCAATAAGCGAGGTCCCATGTGTGGGTGGTTTTCTTCTCAATCCATTGGTCCTTCCCCCACAGTGGTAAACGCTCATCGGGGTCCCGTGAAAACTGCGAAAGGTGAGCTCTGACGGATGTAACGATGTCAATTGAGCATGTGGACAGACCAGGTATCACGTTGCGTGAAACGGGGCACTTCAGATGAACACAGTAAAGGATAGAAATTTAGCAGAAGGAGAGAAAGAGTTGGTTCCAAGGAGATATATGAGCTACCCAGGTAGGTGGGTGCTGGAAGCATGGGTTTAGGTGCTTACCTAGGTACTCAGATGACAAGGCCCAATCGATCCATGGGGGTCTCAAATATATATGGTGGCTGATGCGGGCCCTGGCAATGCTTCAGGCTGCCCAGGTGGACTGAAACCGGCCGGAGCGGGCGGGGGTCGCTGCAGTTCTAGCTGCATGGCGGCCTTATAACCTTGACGGGTTTTCGTCCTGGTTCATGCGAGTACCTTGATTGCAATGAGGTAGCTGACAAGTAAAATCGTATCAAATTTTGTCCGTGTGGCTTAAATTACTTCGGACTCGGCTAATTAGTGACATGTCCATGCTGTGTCTGGTAGAACAGTGAACACCCGTGTGGCCGAAATGACAGCCGGGGTCTTTGAAGCTATCACCGGTTGCCTACAGCAAGGGCCATGTACGTATAAATGACCCGTATGCATTGTTTTTCGACTTCAATTTAAGTACAAATTCTTTGACCGCCTGCATCGTAATTGAGAATGAAGTCGATGAGTTTATCCTGCAGCTCCAGTCTGGCTATGATGCAAAAGTCGGCGCTGATGAACTTGTAGTAATAAATACTCCGACTGCGCTGCCGGATTGCTAAACTCCACGGCTGACGACGCATCCCCAAAGGCTGCTGTGTAAAATAATCGGGATTCGAAAGCCGCTTAGTGCTGAGAACATGCGTACGCAGTGCAGATACCGTTCGACCACTGATCCCAAGACTTCGGCCGCCGGCGTCCCTCGTAACCTGGCAACGGATGCATGTGGGACATCGGATCACCCCAAACATCCGCTTTGTCCGTCGTCTTATCTCGGTCCCTGTCGAGATGCGAAGTCAAATCTTCATCTGTTTCCTTATTGTACAAGCTGCGCAGCGCTCGTGTTGACATCCCGAGCATTCTGCCCGTCTGATTGAGTGGGGACCGCAGTTGCAAAGACACTATCTCAAGTCAGACTCGGACCAGCCGGTGACTCTGCGGAGATTTCAATGGTACTAACACAATACCAGAAGTACCTGGCTACTTGCTTTGCGCTCTTGGTCTTTATCTCCTTCGACTTCTTCCTCGAAGACGACTATACACTTGTCAGTGTCCGACCAGCTGTGTAAATCACGTTAGTCTCGTGGTTGGGGTGTGTGTGCTCACCACCATCTTCGAAAGCCACTTCGCTATCTGCTCAAGTAGACACGGGCAGAAATAGTTGTCCGATAAAAAGGCGTGGACCTCGGGAACAGGTCGTACACCGCCAGTGTAGCACAGCACTTGGGCCTGTTCCAGGTCCCGTGATATCAATATGACTTGGAGCTTGTTTGCCTTCCAGCAGTGATGACCTTGAAAATGTGGCAGTTTTATAGAGCCGAAATCGTACTGTAAACGATTTATTCATGCGCTGCGGCTTGACATATTTTGTAGCATTGGGTTTGCAGTTTTGGTCGTGAGTCCATGCCATAGTTTCAAGTGTGATGGATGTTGGGGAACTCTGTATGACTCCCTGCATTGATGCGTCCAGCCCGGGTCAAAGTGAATGGATATGTTCTCTGAGCTTGGACGGGAGCTTTCGCCGCCCAGCCCCCTTCGTGCTCCCCAGCCACATAATTGTGTTTTGTAAAGCGAGCACAGGATGGTGCATGCCCTACCTCACACTCCAGTCATAGACCTCAACAAACGAGTGTTAGACGGGGTTGGACTGCAGTTGTGCGGTGCAAACTGAACTTAGAAGAGCCTCTCGACGTAGCAATACATGCAGCTGGTCCCCGAGACTCGACCTTCCAACAAGCTTACTTCTTGAAGCTCCTAGGATTGTGTTCTAAGGATCATTACATTATGGTCTGGCATGAAGACTTCTAGAGGAGCAGACATGAGACGGGAAGGTGCACGCCTTTGTGTAGGTATATATAGTTACCGAAGGACCCAGCTGTTGGGTGAAGTTACCGTCGCCACATCTACCTAGGTATGTAGGTTGCTGACCCGAGATTGGTCTGACTATCTCCGTCAGCAGCATACTCATGCGATCAGCACACCCACTTGCGGGTGCCATATGAGCTTTCTGATGCCCACTCTGTGCATGGATCATGTAGTTGGTCACGTTTGAAGATCGAATTGCTCGAGTCTCGTCCCGAAGACACCTTTCATCGTTCCACTTGATCTTGAACTGTGATCTATTTTCAACTCAAAACAAAGAGGTAAGAAGTCCCGTCATCTGGCCTGTATTCAAGCTTGGGAGACCCGGTACATTGTGTTGCGCGAGGGGATGCAAATTGAACTTCGTATGAGCTAATTATTCCACAAGCTTCCGCTGCATACGTATGCCGATACGCGTCATATTCCAAGGTTGAGTGTCATGCCGAGATGCGGTGGGGAAAGGCCGGCCGACACAAGTGTCTAGTTATAGAAAGAATTCCTGCATCGAACTGGCCCGGTCGGCTGACTGTAAGACTTTCACGACTTGTCGGGCCGGAATTATGACGATAAGCCTCGATCTCGAAATCCACATGTAACACTGTTACTCTAATGCCTAGCTGTGTAGAGCTCTTGATACCACTTTTCTGTAGTAGTTATTTGTTATCAGAGCCTTGCAGCTGGCATATCGGGAGATCGAGCGTTCATTGCAAGATTCTTGACTATCAATCAATTACAGCCCAGTTCGACATGAAGACTGGCTGCCCCTGAATTCGTAATAGAGAGTTATGTATAAAAGAGGAGATGTTGAAATTGGCACGATACCAGTAGTAATGAGGCACAGGTTGGACACCTTTGCCTGATATGCGAGTTGTGTGTAATCGACAGGTCGAATTGTCAAACAAGTCATGACGTGCAGGCGTAGAAGGCGCCACATACGTTTTGTATGTACCTAGGCATGGGGATTAGAAACGAAACCACGCGAAACCACCCTAAGATTGCCAGAAAGGAGGGAACTGGCACCTGGGGCAAGTGGCCTAGCTGTTGGCTTATGCAAGGGACGGGCCGGACACCCCCTTGGGTAAGTCTGTGGCGTGCGCCTGCGTTAGTATACCAAAGTGTCGTACGGTATTTCCAGATATTTGGAGAGAGGTCCTTTGGCCCTTGACCGGCGTCGATCATGACTCGAGATCCAATACATAAGCAGAAAACTGAGCACATGGGATGCTGGGAAGAAGCACTCGCGTGACATATAGGTATCTATGAGAACATGCCTGCCACTTGAAATGGATTAAATATCATTCGCGGTATCAAGTAGCTAAGTAAAGTGGCTTGCTGGTGCGTTCCAATCTGATGCTGATAGGAGCAGTATGGTCGTGGGTATGATATCAAGACTCGACAGGCTTCTACGAACATCTGGAGCTTTACAAGGTTGGAGGGAGTAAGAAAGTGCAGTATAGCACGCATCATCTCTCTCCTGTCGGGGCTGTGGAGCACTCAACTCAAACGGCCACCTATTATAAATACCCAGGTAATGAAGGAGTAGGATCCCTCTCATTCTTTTCTTTCAACTTTTTCAACCGACCGCAGAATATGTCACGTGCTGCTTTCTTTTCACGGAGTTGCTCGGGACATCGTAACAAAACCTATGCGCATTGTATACAGTATTGGAGGGTGGGAGACCTTGCTTGCCCCTCAAGCTCTCCGATGCCGCTTCATTAGCTGTACCACGAAGCTATCAGCCCACTCTACGGTAGCCAGATGTACCAAGCTTTTGTCACCGACTTACCATCGGCACCGGGTAATGCCGCTGCTTTTGTTGACTGCCACCCGGCTCTCGCAGCCCTCTAGGCAATCTCAAAACGGCTGCACGCCTCGAAAGCCATACTCGCAGTTGCCCAGGCGAGCTAGTCATCACAGCGTGGCACGCTTGTTCTGCAGTCTGCCACATGGTAATTACTGGACATGGACAATCAACGACCCCGGGAACTTTGAATTTGGTAAGTAGATCCGACGTAATGGATGCGTGTGACAGAATGCAATTGTTGGGCATCACTGCTTGGTGCTTTCTTCCGAGTTTTGAGAAATGTGTCAGACTAAAACTTGGCTGCAACACGTTGCACAACGCAATTGGATGCATCCGCGAATGAATTTGGGCTCGGTCTCAACCAGTTGACTCAAAAGTAGGTGGCATTCGGGCAGGATCACGCGTAGGAATCGGCAGCCCGGTGAATGTAGGTATGCGCATGTGGGCGCCCCTGAAGAACTGGCATTCAGGCTCGCGCTATCTAGATTCAGGGCTGTCGCTCCGCGACCCTTATTGGGTGCTGTAGAATTGACCACGTCAGAGTGGTGCAGTTCCTTTGATCATGCAAGTAATTGGGCAGTTCTAATTGAAGCACCATATGGCTCGGGCGACGGAGAAATAGGAAAGGCGCCTGTGTCTCGAGTGTACCCTGCGTCAAGCAGTGCGGATCATTGACATGATCGTGGCATTGGGGAAACGGTATGGTCGGTGTTCAAGGCAGGTCAGAACCACTTGAATGCGAAAGAAATGTTCAGCATCAAGTACCTACAAAGTATAATGCCACTCATAATCTTTGATATTCACTTCTTTTGGGGTTTTTGGGAAAGGCTGGGTTTTGATCAACACACGCGGTGTCATGTGGGACAGAATCGCTCGCCGCCATTGGCGGAATTCGGTGAGAAGCATACTGGCCCAGGGCCTTCGAGCCTTGTGAAGCATGGCCTTGGATAGACGATGGCGCCTTGCTTATATTCCCGGCCTTTCTTTGATTAGTCCGTGACAGTGCGGCGGTGTAGTTCCCCTGGATAGTGTGTATGACCACACTATCTCTGTCAAAGCTCATCGGTCAGAGACGATCAGCGTGGCTGTGGTAGTCGAAGAAATTATTCGTTAGATACCGACTGGTCCCTCCCTAATTCTGTAACTAGATAAATCAACACGTCTGCTACATCAACTGCCAGCCCAAGGCTTTTAACGTTCTCTTGCAAGCATTCATGAAATTCGGAATCCGGCCTTTCGCAGAGTTAAAGAAACTCTTTGGTACCATACCTGTCTACTCATCTATTTATAGAGCATCTTCTTATACATCCCAATGTGTTCATCCTACGACAGGTTCCTTCGGCCCAAACTCAATGCTCAATGGCAAAACATCGAAAACCAGACGTTCATCGACTACAACGAATTAAAGAGTGTTCCTCCATTCGAAGGAGATGAAGGGGAAACAACCGACGAGGACGTGGAGGAAAATGAAAGTGATGAAGCATCTGATCACGATGAGAGTGACGGAGAAGGCGAAGATGAGCATTCAATCGCAGCGAATGAGGCCGGGTTGACAAATGACCACCCACTACCAAATGGTACAACTGGGTTGCCGCAAGACAACATCGTCGCACGCTTTGTGAATGCCATGGAAGACCAAGATCCTTTGCATCCAGACTCAATATCGAGACTAGGAAATTTCTTGAAATTGGCCACGCTCGAACGTTTGGAAGAGGCCAGTAAAGAAGTTAAAGGGAGCCGAATCTTGCTCGAAGACAGGAACTTTTCTCACAAAACCTTTCGGCCTTATCCTAGATCAATGAACCCTAAGCAGCTGTATGAGGCTCTAGTGATACAAGTGAGTACAAATTGGAACCGTTCGCCATCGGAGCTAACCGGAATCTAGAGATATCCAGTCATGAACGCGCCTAACAGCGAGATTCTCGAGAAACAAGCACGAGATTGGCGAGACACACTCCGATCTGGTCTTTATTTGTTGATATCGAAGATCCATGGTCACCCAGACCCCTTGAAGGAGCCACAAACGGCCAGAACCACGACAAAGAGCTCAGACGATGCGCCAAAGCTGTGGACTAAGGCCGAAAACTGCCAGGTGGAGAGGCGCACACTGTGAGTACTTAATCTAGTCAATGTGCGGTGGCTTATCTCACCTGAATCTTGTGGAATGACTAGATATGTCTCGAACCCTAACGAATGGACTGCTTTGGTTCTTGTCGAAACAGCAAGTCCAACCCAAGCACCGGTCCTGTTGGACTTCATCGATCGGTACCTCAAGTTCGAAACATCGATCTCCGTCAATGTCAATGTGAGATCATTGGTCTCCTTGTATTTTGGAGCCCATGTAGATGTCTGACAGGCTATAGCCGTATCTTGCAAGGATGACATTATCCCTCCATCTTCCATTCTACACAATTTCACAGAGGTCATATACGGATTCTCGCCAGAACCACCAACGTGTACCACTGCGGCAATCATTTGAACTGCCCTACATGCATCTATTGGGAACCCTGGAAGACCTACCGAAGCCGGGTAGGTGGATATGCGAGTCACAAGTGTCCCTACTCGTATCGATCGTTGACCTCAACGGCTGGACCGCTTACGTCTTCGAGGACACTTACTACAAGGAGCATCAGCTCCCCCAATACTGGGATGACTTCTGCTCCCAGCCTGGCTACTATTACCCCGATGCACTGACTTCGGGAAAACTTGATTCGACTCGTTTTCTCGAGCCAAGGATGTACTTCCTCAGAGTGTTCGAAACCCGTATCGAACAAGTCTACAGAGAATGGCGGGTAGCAGTGGATACACTGGCTGAAATAGTGAAAAGGTGAGTCAATCGAACTCATTTCCTGCGACACGATCCCCAAGAGCATTTTATGAAGCAAGTCTAATAAAATAAATGCCAGGCATAGACCAGAACGGATTCTAACCGCGTTGGGGAGATCTGGCAATCAACGAAAGGGAAAGCGTGAGAAACAGATATTGCTACAACAGCGGTATTCCGAATGGATCACCAACATGACCAGTGTCGTATCAGATCAGTCTGAACAAATCTCAACCACACTTACTGCGTGGGACGAATTCGAGAAAAGGTGTACGAAGTACTTTCCAGAAGATGTAAACTCGCCATTGGAGACCAAGATTGGCCACACCTTCTCAATGATCAAGTTGCTGAAGGTCAGACTTGACGGCTTAAGCCAGGAAATCGCCAGGGATCAGAGCGCAGTAAATCATCAAATCCCTGTTAGCTGACTGAAAATATTTTGCTAACTTGCAAATGGCAGCTCAGTGCACAGTTGGCAGTTGAGAACACTGGAACCGCGAAGCTTGTCAAGGCCCTGACTGTCATTTCTATTGTGAGTATGTCTTTTTCCTCACAAGCAACCACTCGTCCAATGAATATCGCAATTTAACATCGTTTCAACATATAGGTCATGATGCCGATGGTCTTGAATAGTCAGTAAAATCTCCATATTGTTATGTTAGGCATCTTCTTGCTTTACGCTTTCCCAGACTGCCAGTGTGTTGCATCAAAACCACAAGAGATTACTAACCCGTTCCCAGTTGCTTTATTCAGCATTCAACCGGGGGTCATGCCTTTCCATATGGACTTTCTCGCATTCGTGAAATCATTTTTCGCCATTGTAATTTTCGTCTGTATTGTGTGGGTGGTTTTGTGGCAATGGGACACTGTGACAATGCTCATTTGTTTCACCCTGTACAGAACAGACGAAACAGTTCAGCTGCTAGCAGTATCATCGAGCTACCCTTTGCACGACACACGTGTAAATGAAGAAGGCGACAGTACTGGGTCCATGACACGGGAAGATTTAGAGATGAGGAGTTCATTTCCTATATCTCGAACTTCTCTTTTGAGCCGTTTCTCTGCCGGGTTATTTCTAAGGCGCGGTCGCCAGGAGGGATTAACAACAGCACGTGATCCACGTGATCCTAGGAGTCTTGAGGCTGGTCTTTGTGTCTGAGAGATCATCCACCTCTAATGCTTTAGTTTGTTCTTTTTCCGTTTTTTTATTAAAACGTTCTGTTCGAATAGCATGCTTATGTAGCGTAGCATCACGATGACTCAATTGTAACTTCTCCCCGGCCTTTGTGCACCAGGGGATCGTGTATTGACTTCGCAGATCGATCTTGATTCTATGACTGGCAGCACCTCATAGCCCAGTCAAATGACTACCTAGATTCTGGCTTCATAAAATTTAAAAGACTTTTTGTGCTAGTAGCCTTGATCCGGCCTCCACCTGGTGTCTTCTCTACTGCGAGACTAGTTGGCAGCTTCGTTATTAGTGCGGATAGTACATTTATGGCGTGATTATTAGTATTTCTTCCAATTTTGTAAAACAGTCTACTGTAGTGAAAGAAAAGCATTTTTGCCAATAATCATTCCCTGCTCATCACGGTATTGGTCCCAGCCTCAAACTCCGATATAAATAAGTGCCCCGTCCCGCCTCAACCTGCGTAGAAAAGTTTCACCCAAACCGAAAACTTCATTTTTCACAACATCCTGCACAACGCCAAGGCAAACATAATCTCCAACTGGACTACCAACCAGCACCTGAACTTTTGTTTCAACCCACAGAAGACTTCAAGCTATCACCACACTCACGGCTTCACCACACTCAAAAGCTCAACGCCGAGTTTCCTTTAGCAAGATGAAGCTCTACATGCTTTCCAGCACCACCGCGCTGCTTGCACTGCTCACCGCGGCCTCGGCATTGCCAGCAGACCCAAGCACCACTGTGCCACCGCCTATCATAACTCCAACAACCGGCCACGTCAACCAAGGAGAACAAGTGCCGCCTGAAATCTCGAAGGAGGAGCAGGCCAACCAGTATCTCTTCAACATGACCTTGGAATCGTTCATTTCCCTCCGTGATCAACGTTACCCATCTTATTTCTGGTGGGAAAGCGATGGCTGTTCACAGTCGCCCAATGCGCCATTTGGATTTCCCTTCCTCCCGGCCTGTTACCGTCACGATTTCGGCTACGACCAGTACAAGCGTGTATGTATAAAACTCTTCCCCTACTTTTGATCAGTCAATCTCTTTCCAGTTCTAGCCAATTTCCATGGGGAGACCTGCCGTCATCTGGCCATCGAGAACTATACCTAAGTGACATTCAAACGCTGTCGATACTAACTGTGTGCGCTCCAGCAAAACAGATTCACACCAGACGCCAAGAACAAAATTGACCGCAACTTCAGAGCAGAGTAAGTTCCTGTGGTGCCCCACCATCAACTCCGACGTGATGAGATGTGACTAATAGAATTTCTTAGCCTGTACCACATTTGCTCGGCCCCGGACCTCAAAAACGAGATCTGCGAGGCATGCGCTGAAGACCCAAACCGTGGGGACTTCGACTGCAAGCACAGGACCGACATGTGCAAGTTCCCACAAGAGGATGTTTGCAAATGTCTTGGTGGTAAGCCGCCCCCCCCCCCCCAAAAACACTAGCCTAGGCCCTACCAGTACTAGACCTCGGGATATACCCGAGGGCATGTACCTAGGTAGTTACTTTGAATAGTTTTCTAACGCGTGCGAACAGACATCTACTACACTGCCGTCAAGGCATTCGGTCGCAAACAAAAGTCGAGGTCGAGGGGACTTTTCCATTTTGACGTCCCATCAATTGACTTGACACAGTTCGGACTTTGTCTGAACAAGAACATGCATTCGGCGGACGACAAGCCTGTCGACTAAGATGCTCATGTGTTGGGTTTATCCGGCGTTGTTATGCTGTAGGGACGGATTTTTCTTTTTTCTTTTTGCTTCCGAGGTTCGATTTATTTCGAAGAACGTTGGAACAAGATCGGGCGGTCGGCGGCAACTACAGACGAAGTCAGGGAATTTGTACGAATTTAGAGCAAAGTGAAGATGTCGAAAATATTAACAGGAAAAGGTTGGACATGACGCATGGAATTAAATGATCCTCATACAGATCTTCTGAATACACACCCGTGATGAACCTCAGGTAGAAAGAAGTGTTGGTCCCCTTGCGAAGGAGTGCCTTTAAAATATGGAATATGGCAGCATCACAGTAACAGACTTTCCAGCAAAACCTAAGCCTGTAAGAAATATTACTGGAGACTCCATTTTCAACACTAATAAAGTAACCCCAGGTTTGTAGACCTCTACAACCGTCAAATGTCTGACTGAGCTTGTCCTGGTAGCCCCAGGAAGGTGTGAGCGTGTAATCTGGACGTAACCAGAACCAACCAGACAACCGGCACTTGGTCACAAGATCACCTACAAACCGTCGACGCCTGCCGACGAGGAAGACTATCCCCCTCCTGGGCGTGGAAACAGGTTATACCAGGTGATCCTTCACGAATACCGAACCCCTCCCGAGGGACGTTTGAGATCGGGGACAAGATATCTTGTCATTCTAAATCGGGATTGGGCCGTTCTCTGGTTGGGCGGATCACTCGCAGGCGAACCGATCTAGAGTTGTCCCCTAGCGTGCTCCGCATAGCCCCAACTGACACCAGGAACTCGGCAATGGTACAGCACGCGGGCGCGGGGCGCGGGGAGGGTCAGCGGGACGTGTGCCTACCGTGCTGTAAGGCTCAAACAGCGGGTTGCCCGGGATCTCCGCACCTTGGCTGGTTCATGCATAAGTATCGTGGGTACGACACGATGCCCCCCTCAGATGGACGAGTAGGAACATGTCTTGTCTGGTCCACGTGCACCTGGTTCAATTCAACTATTTCTGAAATCACAGCGTTCTCACTATCCGAACTACCAAGCACTCTCGAGGTCCCACCATGGCTGGAACAATGAAGGCAGTAAACTACTCGGGACCGTTCAAAGTGACGGTCCAGGATGTGGAGAAGCCGGGCATCGAGCACCCAGATGATGTAATTGTCAAAGTTACGACTTCAGGTGAGCATAACAGAATATTGAGCGGCCATATCTTTCTTGTCATGCGATACTGAAATTCCCCTCATAGCGATTTGCGGGTCAGACCTGCACATGTACGAAGGCCGTACAGGTGCTCAGCCCGGTATCACATTTGGGTAGGTCAAAGGACCCTTCTACCCAACCCTGTATTGTGGGCTAAGTTCTCCACAGGCATGAGAACATGGGCATTGTTGAAGAGGTTGGATCTGGTGTCACCTTGCTGGAAAAGGGTGACCGTATAGTGATGCCCTTCAACGTTGCGGACGGTCGCTGCCGTAACTGCGAGGAGGGGAAGACAGCATTTTGCACCGGAGTGAATCCCGGCTTTGCGGGCGGTGCTTATGGATATGTGGTGAGTACTTCTAGCTGAAGTTGGACAGATGGTCCAGCGCATCCAGAGGACGGCATGATTGCTCTGTTCTGTTTGAGATCACTCGCTAATTGTGCGGGTATCCAGGCCATGGGACCTTACAGAGGAGGCCAAGCGTAGGTCCCGATCTTCTTCGTGGGCCGTACTTTGCCTAACAACGTGAACTAGTCAATATCTCCGAGTCCCCTACGCGGACTTCAACGCGCTGAAGCTGCCTCCGGGAGACGAACACGAGGCGGACTTTATCCTTCTCGCCGATATTTTCCCGACAGGCTGGCATGGGGTCACCCTTTCAGGTTTCCAGCCGGGCGAGACCGTTGCAGTATTTGGTGGCGGACCAGTAGGACTAATGGCTGCCTACTCCGCTGTATTGCGCGGTGCCAGCCGTGTCTTGTAAGTGGACCACGGCATACTCGACTCTGACATAACGTTGTAAATTGGCCGCACCACAGGCTGACTCGGTCCATTTGCAGCCTCGTCGATCGTGTTAAGGAGCGCCTTGACGCTGCAGCAAAGATAGGGGCCCAGGCAGTCAATTTCGAAGAGGTTGACCCTGTTGAGAAGATCATCGAGCTGAATGGAGGCATGGTGGACCGTTCTGTTGATGCAGTGGTAAGTAGATTGATGACTGCATAGAGGAGGGGCCGTTCGTGGGCCAACGCTAACATACTCGTCACTTAGGGGTACCAAGCTGTGAGTAAGGGTGGGTCGAGCGAGGTTCCCAATATCGTCCTGGAAAACATGATCAAGGTCACTCGCGCATGCGGCGGTCTGGGCATTCCAGGCCTTTACGTGCCTACGGACCCGGGAGCGCCCGACAAGGCGTCAGGAGAAGGAAAGATCTCCCTGAGCTTTGGAAAGCTCTTCGAGAAGGTAGGATCAGCGCCCGAAAGATGACATTGTGGATCTTCAAGGCTTGTAAATGACTGAGGGCTGACTGGATAACGCAGGGCCTGTCCCTGGCAACCGGTCAATGCAATGTGAAGGCGTACAATCGCTATTTGCGCGACCTGATCATTGCAGGGAAGGCAAAACCTAGTTTTGTTGTGTCTCATGAGGTAAGATTGCAGCCGCGCATCTTCTGTCAACGTGATCAATGGCTGACTCGTCTGTGATCTCAAGATCGATATTGATGACGCTCCAACTGCGTATGAGAAGTTTGACAAGCGGATTGAAGGGTGAGTTGATTGTCCTGAACAGCAAAACCTAGAACACACTCTTGGAACAATTTATGATAACATGTCTTCGGTAGATATACCAAGGTTCTCATTCATCCTAACGGACCTGTTGCTTCCCTTGGTTAGTTAATACATCTTTTGATTGACTTTTAATCAAAAGTTGATGAAGAGGTTATCGCAGCATCTTCGAAGGGTGCCGGTGTATGGGGCGTAGGTGGCAAAGGGATTAGGAGCGTTGAGAAAACAATCAAAAGCTGGGTGTAGAGGAGTGAGCGCTGGCCCTTTTTGTGAACCTTTGCTGCAATCTTATTCTTGGTGTTACGAGGTTTCGATGGACCCTTCAGTTCAAATTTTGTTTTGATCTACACAACTGTTCTTAGTTGTATTTCCATCCTAAGTCATGGGATGCTGACCACAACCTAATTATTTACTGCTACAACAACAATCCAAAACAATCTGCGCAAGACCCCCGACTCAGTAGACATACACGAAATCCTCATTGTTGAGGTCGGTCAAGTCAAGGAGACCCCTATCTTCAGCCAAGGTCCTGTGCTGCGGGATCTGCGCGTCCTCAACCTCGACAGCCTTGCTCGCTTGCATCTTGTCCTTGCTGATCATGGACTCGTCGATGATGATGGCACTCTTTCCGAGCTCTTCGCGACGCTTGGCATGGAGCTTGTTCAGGTACATGAGATAGAACGGGATCAGGGCGGCGATCACACCAACCAGGACAAACATGATGAGGTTGGAAATCAAGCCGGTGCGGTACAGAGGAGCCTGGTCCGTGGAGTAGAGGAGAGGCCCGATGACATTTCCGGCGCACATTCCGATGAACACCACGGCGGAAGTGCACTTCTTCTTGGTGTCGCCGCCAGAGTTGACAGCCTGCCAATTGAAGAGCATTGGGGTGATGGCAGCAAGACAGGATACCTAGCGATGTTGTGAGTCGATGACATAGTATATGTGGGTCTTTTTGAGTCGACTTACAAGGTAGTAGCCAAAGAGCAGAACACCCTTCTGGTGCCTCGGAACGGTGAGAAGAATGACAGTTCCGATCGTAGGCAGCACAGATGTGGCTGCGATAACCAGCCCCTTCCTCTGGATTCTCTGCGCGATCCAGCCAGTCCCGATGATAGCAATAACCTGGATCGCCCCGAACGGGATGTTGAATAGGATGGTCTGGAAGCTCGTGTACCCGAAAGATTTCACAATGAGGCTGCCGAATGTCGTGATCCCGCCGCTCGATATGGAGATCGCGAGGATGGCGATGAACCAGCACCACGTCTTGAGATCACGGGCGGTCTCCCAGACGTGGTCCCACCGCCAGGTCCTCGAGGCGACTCCCATCTGGTTTGCCCGCAGGCGCTCGGTAGCGATGACCTTCTCCCTCTCCGAGAGGAACTTGGTCTCCATAGGCGAGTCCGGCATGAGGCAGAACACAACGATGGAGTAGGCGACGGTCAGCAGCCCGCAAAACAAGAAAATGATCTGGTACTTGAACATGGTCTTGCTCTCGATGTGGCCCAGGCCATATGTGAACAGGCTCCCGATGATGCTCGTCACGCCGTTCATTGCGTTCCAGTAGCTTGTCCTCAGGGTCTGCTCGCCTCGTCGCCACCACATCTGGGTGATGGCTACGCAGCAAGGGGCTATCATGGCCTCGAAGGTTCCCTATAGGATCAAAGTCAGCCACGCGTGATATGGTATAGTGTCTCCATCACGAGACTGCCGGAGGGGACACGAGCTGCGTGGCTTCACTCACAAGGACGAATCGCAAGCCCAGTAAAGATGCGAAGTTTTTGCAGGCAGACATGAGACAAAGCGCTGAGCCCCACAGAAAGACAGCAGACGCGATAACCTTCCCGTTAGGAAACTTGACGAGAAGTACAGCAGCAGTCGGCTGCATTATGAGCTGCGCGAGGTAAAGAATGGAGCCGAGCCATGAATACTGCTTGCCGACGAGGTGAGCATCGTCAACAATTCCGAAGACGCTTGTGACTGGGTGATGTATTCGTTAGCGACGATGAGACGAAGTAGTGTGGGCAGAGTTATTAGACTTGAGGAGCTCTGTGCACAAATGGAAACTCATGAATAGATGGAATTCCAAAGAATTTACGTACAACTGTTGTCATTTGTCAATTAACAGTTCGGGATCATGTTTAGGGTAACAAGGCAACGACAAACCTTAGGGTGCTCTTGTCAAGCTGCTGGAAGAAATAGGCCCACAGGAGCAGGACCAAGACACGCATATCGATCTTGCGCAGCACGGCCTTCTCCTCCTCGACGGTGAATGAAGTGTCCTCATGACTGGCAAGGAAGTCGGCTGCTCGATCGTGGTCCCTCTGTATCTCAGGGGCGGCAGTAATCGCATCGGCGGTGTTCTTGGAGTCCGCTGCAGCCATTTTCGTGGGCAGAGGCAGTCTTTGCACTACAACACGTATGCCAGGCTGCTTCTAAGAGAAAATATAACAATGATCAAGGTCGCGTAGTATCAGGTCACATCGATCTGAGATTTCTGGCCCGCCCTGCAGAATTTGAAGCAAGTAATCCGGCGCGCGGGGGGCACGATACCCCCTTTTCTACGTCTGTCAAATGTAGCCGTCCATCCGTCCCCCTCGCCCAGATGGAACGTTCACCGGCTCTCCTGCGACCACCAGCAACGACAGGCCCGTCGGATAACTGACAGGCTTGCGGCTGGACCAGCCACCAGAAGCTTGATTGGGTGGTAACCCGCGTCCGGGCAGGGGGGACACGAGCCTGAAGGGGCAAAGAGGGTAGCCCAGACAAGGATATCTGGCTGTGGCCTCATTTCTCCGCAGAAATGCCGGGCATCATCTTACTGTGTTACGTGGAATCACCGGCGTAATGCCTGGCTAGGCCTGCTAGGTGGGTGTTGAGAGACAGCATGATCGGATGATGGCCAGGCGCCCCCGCATGTTTTTTTCCCCCACGGCCAACGGCCGGCTAAATGCAGTTGGGTTCCCCAGATTCTTTCTTACCCCGGACTTTTGGGGGGAGTGACCACGCAGCCCACGCTGACAGCCCGCCCCAACTGAACCTAGACCCTGATTGACTTTGGGATCTCGGCTTCTGGACCATTGCACCCCGAGATGTGTGTAGGAATGCGGCGTTAGCTGGGTGGTGGGATCAAAAAGTGACGTTCATGATTGTTCGACCAACCCCTCTTGGAACAACATATTTAATACACGACTGCATTCAAATTTAATTATTTTCTAAAGTCCTGAGAAGAACCGCACACTGTTGCTTCCAAGACGTGTATTTGATCTCATAGAAACTAAAATGGGCGAAAAGGATTCGCAGAAGAAGCGGTACGCCCTCGTCGGCACCGGCGGCCGGTCCAGCTTCTACTACACAGCCATTGCAACTGACTACAAGGCCACCTCCGAGATCGTGGGGCTCTGCGATACCAACCAGACCCGGATGAATGTTGCGAACGACAAGCTCGAGTCTCTGGGCCATGGAAAAGTCCCCACCTTTCTGGCGGCCGACTTCGATAAGATGATCACGACGCTGAAGCCGGACGAGGTGATCGTGACTGCGGGGCCAGATAGGCTGCACAACATCTACATTGTCCGTGCGATGGAGCTGGGATGCAATGTGGTCACGGAGAAGCCGAGTGAGTTTGCCTGGCGAGACCGATCGTCCCTGTCTTCAGTGTCCCAGCATATATGGTGCCGATTGCTAACGACGACCTTGTCGGATATCAGTGACCATCGACACACCACGATGCAAAGAGATCCTCCGCGCAGTCGACCGAACAGGCCAAAAAGTCCGCGTGACCTTCAACTACCGCTACGCGCCGCACAACACGCGGGTGTTTGAGATCCTGCGGTCCGGCGCCATCGGCAAGGTGACGAGCGTGCACTTCGAGTGGATGCTCAACACGTCGCACGGGGCCGACTACTTCCGGCGGTGGCACCGGGACAAGCGCAACAGCGGCGGGCTGCTGGTGCACAAGAGCACGCACCACTTCGACCTGGTCAACTTCTGGCTGCAGACGCGGCCCGAGACGGTGTACGCGCAGGGGGACCTCAAGTTCTACGGGCGCGAGAACGCGGAGCAGAGGGGCGCGACCAGGTTCTACACGCGCGCGCACGGCAGCGAGGTCGCCAGGGGGGACCCCTTTGCGCTGCACATGGCGCAGAACGCGGGGCTCAAGGCGCTGTACCTCGACGCCGAGCACGAGGACGACTACCACCGCGACCAGAGCGTGTTCAGCGACGGCATCTCCATCGAGGACACGATGAACGTCATGGTGCGGTACAAGAACGGCGCCGTCATGACGTACTCGCTCACGGCGTACGCGCCGTGGGAGGGCTTCCGGGTGAGCTTCAACGGGACGGGGGGCCGGCTCGAGGTCGAGGTGGTCGAGAACAGTTATGTCAACTCGGGCGGCGACCAGTCGCTCGAGGGGTCCCTGGAGCGGCGCACGATCCTGCTTCGGCCGCTGTTCGAGAAGCCCCGGGAGGTCGAAATTGGCGAGAGTAAGGGTGCCCACGGTGGAGGCGACTCGGTCCTCCTCCAGGATCTGTTTGGAGAGCCTGTTTCAGACGAGTACAGACGGGCCGCCAGTCACATCGACGGAGCGGCCTCGATCCTTACCGGTATGTTTCCCTTTTGTTTTTTTCTGCTCCCCTACTCATCTAAACTAAAACCCTCCGATCCTCCGGGTGATGCTCCCGCCTCCGACAAGACACGGAAGTCTCCGATGCGGAAAGGGGGGCCAGGGGGGCACCTGGGCCGGGAAACAAGGAATTCTCTCGGAAGCTAACCGTGGACAGGCATCGCCGCCAACATCTCAATCGCGACGGGACAGGTGGTCAAGTGCGATGACATCCTGACCCTGCCGGAGTAAGAAGGTTCAAGATCTGGCAGCTGCTTATTACGATACCCAGAACTATAAGGGTTGGTGGGGCCAAGTCTGAGGGGCAAGAGTCAGGTGAGAGACGACCTAGACAGCAAGTGGAGGGAGTAACGAGAAGCTTGCCAGGAGGAGAGTAGCACGTAGACCGAGCAGTCGGGTCGCTTTGTCATCGGTAGAACAACTTAGAAATGCAGCAGTCGGCGCCGAGACAAAGGACAATAAACAGGCAAGGGTGTGAGCACAATACAAGAAATTGGACGCGCGTGCCATGAGTCAACAAAGCTCCGATTCCTGCGCAGGCACGACAAAAGGGGCTGAGCTTGTGAGGAGGTAGCCTCTTCCGGCGATGGACGGCCGGAAAAAAAAGTCACAACGGGTGGCGCGGAGGGCCCTATGACCAGGAGGGAAAAAAACATTCCCACTCCGGCGCGCGCCCCGTCGTCACTTTTCGACAAGTCCACGACTGCGGGAAAAAAAAATTATGAAAATTATGTTCTCTTCTCCGGTCAACTCCGACTAGGTACGCACCTTGAGGCACAAGCGAGCTTGGCAAGACTTGGAAACACAGGTCTCAGGCTCGCCCCCACTGCACCGAGAGGGTGGAGCAGGATCAGGACCAGAACCATAAAGATCTTATCTGATGGGTCTGTAGTGCAGTCCGAGGATGGCGCCTTGCCGGTAGACCAGATAGAGCCGGACTAGTGCAGAACGACGCCATCGGGAGTGGGGACCAGGTTCGACCAACAAATTTAACCAAGTGCCTGGATCCGGCCACAGCCAGGTTTCGGTAGGTGACACCTTGGCACCGGCTCTTGAGGGGCAGAGGGGGGGGGGCAGTGGGGGGTCTACAGTTCCATTGGGATGACGGCGAGAACTGACAGCCCGTTTCACGGAGAGTGGGTTTATTTCAACAACAAACAGCCAAGAGACGACCCGGCCCCACGCACGTAATCTCGACGCTTTACTCGCGAGGCGAGGCGAGGAACTTACAGACTAGAATGCCATGCCCACATGTGCACTGCCCAGGGACTGCCGCATGGTCAGCCCTACTGTGCCGTTCCCGCTGCTGTGGCTTTGTGCATTCGTGCATGACGGGCGGCACTGGGCCACCTGGGCCAGGCGTAAATTTAGGTACGCTCCAGCCGAGGCCTTGTTTCCATCCAAGGTTGCAACCGTTGCATCCGAGCGGTCCTTCAGGCGGCCCCGGTGCACTTGTGCCCACGGTGGGCGATGAGGCTCTTGCGTGTAGGTCATTTTCTACCCACGTTCATTACTGCTCCGTCTCAGGTTAGTCTAAGTCTGGTTGTTTGTTTCCAAGGTTTTTCTGGGTCACGTCACAGGCCCTAGTAGTTGTCGGGCAGTCTTTTTTTGTGATATCCTTCCCCCTGCAGCAGGAATGTCACTTGTGCACGTAGCATTTGTTTCTCGAAACAGAAGCTCAGTTTAGCTCGCCCAGGCCCTGATGCAGGACCGTTGTAATTGTACGCATGGGACGGCCAAGCCCAGCAGAGTCTTCCCCTTGCCCCGGCGCAGCAGTCCACGGGGGCACAGGATCCTCGCCCAGGACTGCCTGATAGTCTCAATGCGAGTCAACCACCCAAGCCCGCTAGCGGAGATAGCAATCCCTGACGGGAAGGTGCAACTTTACTCGATTCGCTTTCTTCCTCCGTCCTGATGATTTACACCAGGTATATGGATGTGCCTGCAGGGCCCCCTTTCAGCTTGACTGGCCTTGCTTGGTATGACGTGCCCCCCCGAGTTTGTTTCCTGCTTCCGGAATGTCGCCGACGGCGGTGGGTTCTCCAATTGATTGCTACCCCGTCGCGTGGTTTGGGAAAAAGCTTGGTGCATGTTGTCTAGATTCCCGGATGCCCAGTACTAGTGTATTGGTCGGGTCGAGATTTGTAGGGGCATGGAATACCACGCCCTGATTACCTCGGGAGGCGTCAAGGGGCCAAAAAAAGAGGGACAATGGTCTAGAAGTTGCCGTGGGGGTTTGTCCAAGGTCGTGACCGTTGGCATATAAGGACACCTGCCCGGTCATAAACAAACCTGGTGGTGAATGACGATAGAGTTCATCCCAACTTGCGCAGCCGGTCTCTCTTTTTATTCACCCTCCCACCCATTTGTCACTCATTGATCTGAGATCGACCACCCTCTCTTAAGAACAACGGCCTCGAGCTTGTTTCGACTTTTAGAAACCATTCCCTCGTCGACCCGAGCTACTACTGCAAGCTTTTGCAATAGAAATAAAAGGAAAAAACATCCCACGATGCGGTCCTCACTCTTCACGGCCGCTGCCGTCGCGGTCTCTGGTGTCTCAGCTGCCCGTGAGTGGCTCAACGAGCCCGACACTGGTCTTCAGGACGTCGTGAGCAACATCACCAAAGGCCAGCTCCCTCCTCTGGACGAGATGGTCGGCCTGCCCGACTTTGACTGTAAGTCACCAAGAACCACGACTGATGGTTCACTCCCTTATCACCGACACCAAGCATCGGGCCAGGCCTGCAATACCACCTTCCACAAACAAATGCTAACTCTGCATCTCACACAGGGGCTGCTCGCAACTATCTCCCTGCCAAGAACGTTAGTTCTGCTCCGCTGAGAACAAAGCTTGGTATTTGGGCATGTAGCTGATTGAGTTTGCAGTACACCTACTACCGAAATGGCGCTGCTGGCGAGTGGTCGTACCGGAACAACCTCGAGGTATGTGCACGAAACACTGCAACCCGGGCCCCCCTCCCAAGGACACAAACGACAACAGCTGCTGACCTTGTTCGCCCCCTTTCGCAGGTCTTCAACCGCTACCGCCTGCGCCCCCGTGCCATGGTTGATGTCACCAACGTCGAGGCCAGCCTGAAGACCACCATCCTGGGCTACGAGTTCGAGAACCCCTTCTTCATCTCGCCCGCCGCCAAGGCGCAGTACGGCCACCCCGATGCCGAGCTGAACCTGATGAAGGGTGCCGGAGCCGGTGGCATCCCCTACATCGTAAGCCTCACTTGCTCATCCTCTCCCCCCATAGCTAGACACAGCACTTGCTGCGCCTGCATACTACACAGAGAGAAGACCTGAGTGACTGACCACACAAACCCGACACACAGGTCTCGAGCTACTCGTCCCTGGCCCTCGAGGACATCGCCGCGGTGGCCCTCCCCAACCAGACCTTCTTCAGCCAGGTCTACTTCACCCTGAACGACACGCAGAACCGGGCCCTGCTGAAGCGGTCCGAGGCCTCGGGCGCCAAGGCCGTGGTGTGGGCCATCGACTCGCCGGGCTCGCCGGACCGGCAGCGCGCGGCGCGGTACGACGTGGGCTCGGCCAACACGCAGTTCGTCAAGAACACGTGGGACGTGTACAACCAGTACCGCAACTGGACGACGCTGCCGATCGTGCTCAAGGGCATCCAGAACGTGGCGGACGCGCGCGCGGCCGTCGACCACGGCGTCAAGGCCATCATCCTGTCGAACCACGGCGGCCGCAACCTGGACGGGTCCCCCTCCTCGCTCGAGGTCGCCCTCGAGATCTTCAACAACGACCCGGCCGTCTTCGACGAGATCGAGGTCCTCGCCGACGGCGGCATCCGCTATGGTACCGATGCCCTGCGGCTCATGGCCCTCGGCGTCAGGGCCGTCGGCATGGGCCGCCCGTTCATGTACTCCAACGTCTTTGGCGAGGAGGGCGTCAAGAAGATCATCCAGCTCATGCGGAACGGCATCATGAACGACGCGGCTAACCTCGGCCTCGGCGACATCAAGTCCATCAACTCGTCCTATGTCGACTGGACCCCTCAGCCTTTCTGGGGCTTCTAAGCCTCCTCTTTTTTGGCTCGAGGATGATGATGATGTTTGCGGTGTTGGAGGAGTTTTTTTGGTGTGATTTGCCCCAAGTTGTTGTGGCTCTTCTTGTACATATATATATGTAGATGCGTGACTGCACATATCCAAGAAACCGTAATCAAATTCAGCGGGTTTCCAACCATTTATATCCTCAGCTTTTGCGATGCGTGCCAGTTTTGTTGTCCCACAGAGGGCTGAAAGGTGGGCTGATCCTGTGTCATCGTCCAGGCCGGCAGCGAGTTCCGAGGCATAGTTGCGGGTCTCGAGGGGGGCATGCACCAGATCTCAGATCTCTCATCTGCAGGCTAGCCGTAAGAAGCCAGTATAAAAAGCCAAAAGGATGCATGCCCTTGTCACGGAAGACTCAAAGCCTAGAAAGCGCGACGAGGTGCATGCAAGCGATGATGAGTTATTGGACCAGCACGAGAGAATTATCGGCAGCATACATTTATTTTATTCGGGAGCGGCACCCCGGACGGACACTACATTTGAGAGCCGTGGAAGTTCCCGCCAAGGCTTACGCATTGCAGGCTTTTTAGGTCAAAGCAGCTCTCGTATTGGGTGTGCGAGAGTCAGTTCAAGTCAGCCCTTGGGGTTAACCTTCCGCCTCGGAATCTGGGGGGCCAGATTGTCAGTGAGATATGCGCCGTGGGGTAGCGGGGACAAGATCGGTGTAGCACTCACTGTTTTCGTGCTGCAGCTACTGTGTACTGTGTATCACACTATGGGACTAAGAGTGCGAGCTCATGCCCCCCCCCCTGTTTTGGTACCGAGCTCCAACAAACAGCCGGCCCCGGATATGCCACATACCGACTTGAGCCGGCGGGCCAAGGTAGTCGGATCCGTGGCACCTGGGCGGCCACCAACTAGGCAAATGTCCGACCTCATGTAACTCCGTAGAGCTAGTACTTACTTCTGCTCATTCTTGACATTCTTGAGACGACCTCGTCAACAAGATCTCACTTTGTCCACCACCCATCACTCACTCACCGGCTGGTACCAACTGACGAAGGAGGCGAACCTCACCCACTTGAGAATAACTCACTTGTTAGCTGATACAAGATCGCCACGACGCCTCCAAGACACCAGTTGACAGCATAGACGAGCCGTCATGTCTCAGTCCAGCGACACGGTGGCACTGAGCGGCAGTGCCCCCGGGGACAACTACCCACGCTCAAACATCTTCGACTTTGTGTTTGGCAACTCATTTTCAGAACAGTCCAGCTTCGTGCCCCCATCCCAAAGACTGCCCCACATAGAGGACTCGCGGCCCATCTTTGTGGACAACAACAATGGTGAGAAAGAAGCACGATGAACCATCACATCGAGATCATCAAGCTAACATCACACCGCCCTCCCCAGAGCGCACACTCACCTACGGCAGGGCGCGGCAGGACGCCCTCACGGTCTCGGCGAACCTGCGCTCGCTGGGCCTGGACCCGGACGACACCCAGGCCCTCCCGGCGACGGCGTCGTGCGCCCGCCCGGAGCTGGCCCCCGTGGTGCTGATCCAGCTGCCCAACTGCCTGGCCTTCGCGTCCGTCCTGTTCGGCACCTTCGCGTCGGGGCTGACCGCGTCCCTCGCCTCCCCGGCCCTCACCGCCACCGAGCTGGCCTGGATCCTGCAGAACGCGCGGCCCCGCGCTATCGTTACGGCCACGGCGTCGCTGGGCGCCATGCGCGAGGCCCTCCGCGCGCAGGAGGACGCCGCCTTCTTCGCCGCGGTCCCCGTGTTCACCGTCGACGTGGCCGGCGACTCTTACCTCTCGGGCAGCCCGCCCCCGCCCACGCCCCCGTCATCATCGCCGGGGGCCGCCGGCCAGGAGCAGGACTGGTCAGCCCTGCTCCGGACCCCATCCACACCACAAAAGTCATACCACCTCTCCGCGGTGGCGGCGCCGAACCGCACGGCCGTCATCCTGTGGTCGTCGGGGACGTCGGGGCGCTCCAAGGGCGTGCTCATCTCGCACGGCGCGCTCGTCTTCGCCACGGCGTCGATCTGGTACGACGCCGACTTCCACCGGCCGGGGCTGCAGCAGCGGTGGCTGGGCTACGTGCCCTTCTACCACGTCTTCGGGCTGTGCAACATCTTCCTGCTGGCGCCGGCCGTGGGGGCCTCGTGCCACGTCATGAGCTCCTTCAACCTCGAGGCCATGCTGGCGGGCGTCGCGCGGCGGCGCGTCACGTACCTGCACATGGCGCCCCCCGTGGCCGTGATGCTCGCCAAGGCCGCCGTCGTGGACAAGTACGCCCGCGAGGGCGGGTTCGCCACGGTGCTGGCGGGCGTCACGGGCGGCGCGCCGCTGGGCCACGAGGTCGTCCTCGAGGTGCACCGGCGCCTCGGGTTCCGCGTCAAGATGGGCTACGGCCTGAGCGAGACGTGCAACACGTCGCTGCAGCGCGGGAGCAGCGAGGCCGACATGCACGAGGGCGCCGGCGACAGCGGCAGGCCGCACTACGGCGTGGAGCTGTGCATCGCCGCGGACGGGCAGGACTTTTCTTCTGGTCGTACTACCGTCCCGGCCAGGCTCGGCGAGCCAGGCGAGATCCTCATCCGCTCGCCGTCGCTGATGAGCGCGTACCTGCCCATCGGCGGCGTGGGCAGGGGGGCCCCGGCGCCCGACATGAGCATCACAACCGAGGCCCTCACGCCGGACGGGTGGTTCCGCACGGGCGACGTCGGGTTCCTGGACGCCCGGGGCGCGGTGCACATCACGGACCGGCTCAAGGAGCTGATCAAGGTGCGCGCGTACCAGGTGGCTCCCGCCGAGCTCGAGGCGGTGCTGTGCAGCAGCGAGGGCGTCGCCGACGCCGGCGTGATCGGCGTGTACGACTCGTCCCAGGCGACCGAGTGGCCGCGGGCGTACGTGGTGCCGCGGGACGCGGACCTGGTCAGGAACGGGGACAGGGCCGGGCTCGAGAGGCTCGCGGGTGAGCTCAAGGCGCTGGTGGAGAAGAGGACGGCGCGGTACAAGTGGCTCATCGGGGGCATCGTGTTTGCGGATGCGATCCCCAAGTCGCCCAGTGGGAAGATCCTGAGGAGGGTGATCAAGGACGGCGGGGTCAAGGGCGGGATTGAGGTCTCTGTGTACCAGAAGAAGAAGAGGGACTCGAAGCTGTAGACGGTGCCGGTGTTGTTGAATGCATTGAGATGTTCTCTGTAAATATAGATGCTTGGATTCTCGCCCTGCCTGTGTGGTCCTGCCCTCTTTTCTGTAGGTATCTATTTAATTTTGGCATATCCACCCAACGGACTCTTGACCTTGTCACCCACAATCCGTGCCTTGCTGAGAAGGCAGAACACGAATTCTTGGTTCCCAAATAGTGTCGTTCTCCAATGTGGATTTGCGACTTGCCTTCGCTCTCGGGGCCAGGAGACATGCATCGGCCCCAGCAGCGTCCAAACAATACAGGATCCGCACAATCACAGCTTCAGCCGGCAGAAGCAAGACGACCGGATCGGCACGTCAGCCACCTCGAGCGCAGCCTTGAGCCTCGGCTCGACCGCGCGCGCCTCGCCCACCCTCCCGAGCCTCAGCAGGCTCTCGTGGTACCCGTGCAGCGACCAGACGTTGTTGGGGTGCTGGAACGTCCGCGGCAGGGTGTCGTCCTCGCCGAGGTCCGCGCGGTAGACGGCGGCGGCCTCGGCGGCGCGGCCCTGCTCGAGCAGCAGCGCCGACAGCGCGTGGCGCGTGGGCTGCATCCAGCCCCAGGGCTCGTCGTACTCGAGCCCGTCGTCGCGGCGGATGGCCTCGCGCAGGTGCCCGAACGCCGCGTCCACGCCGCCCCGCCGGTACTCGACCTCGCCGGCCAGCATGGCGCTCGCGATGCCCAGGATGTCGACGCAGGTGTTGTTGAAGAGGGTGCGGGACCGGGGCACGGTCGCGCGCTGCGCCTCGAAGCGCCCGCGCTCGCGCTCGGCCTCGGCCACGCGGCCCAGCGCCGCGAGGGCGACGCCCCGCCCGTACAGGTAGACGGCGGTGGTGAAGCTGTAGAGCTTTGGGTCCGCCGGCAGCGGGAGGGCGAGGATGTCGTCCCAGCGGCCGAAGCGCACGTAGACGTGCACGCGGACGGCGACAAAGGCCTCGAGCCAGTTGGCCATCGGGGGCGACTCGACGCGCAGCAGGGCCTCGGGCAGGGAGGCCTCGAGCTGGGCGACGGTGTCGAGGGCGATGCGCGACTGGGCCGAGAACATGGCGGCGTAGATGCGGAAGTGGTAGTTGTGGGAGCGGTAGAGGGTGTAGAAGTTCATGGGGCCTCCGCGCTCGAGGAAGCGCTCGTCGGCGCGGATGGCGGCCGAGTTGGCGTCGACGGCGTCCTTGTAGTGGCCCGACAGCACGTCGAGGTGCGAGGGCATGTGGTTGAGGTGCCCTGCGTCGGGCACGAGCAGGCGCAGCCTGTTGGCGCGCGGCAGGGCCGCCTCGGGGCTGCTGCTCATCTCCATGAGGTGGATCCAGAGGTGTAGCAGGCCGGGGTGGCTGTCGCCGCCGGGCTGTGCGTGTGCCGTGTCCAGGGCCTGCTTTGCCTCGAGCGTGCGGGCGCCTGGTGCTGGCTCGCCCGTGCGGATGTCCCACAGCTTCCAGGGCGTGAGGTTCATGAGCGAGTCGACAAACAAGGCTGCCACGTCCAGGTCGCCGGGGTGCGCCTCGTACACGCCGCGCATGGCTTCGGCGTAGGCCTTGTTCCAGACGGCACTGTGGGCTGGGTCCTTGCTGTCTGGCGGGATGTCATGCTCCTGTGGGTATCGCTGCTTGAGTGCCTTGATGAGGGCCACCTCGACGGGTGTTGCCCGGCCCCGGTCCGAGATGTCGAGGGCGTGCTTGACTGCCTTGTAGGATCTCGCCACTGTGGTGTCCATCTCGCCCCCTCCAAAGAACTCCCATGGCTTGTTGTAGTTTGGACCCAGTGAGTAGGCCAGCCCCCAGTAGGCCATGGGGCAGTCCGGGTCGAGGTCGATGGCCTGCTGGAAGCAAGCAGCCGACTCCTCATGGTTGAAGGCGTAGGACCATATCAGGCCCCGGTCAAACCACGCCTGTGCCTCGCTGCTGCTGGTGCTCACCTCTCGGTGGTAGGTGCCGAGATCGTAGTACGACCCGTCATCTGCGGTTGTTGGGGCTGGTGGTGGCCGGGTCGTCATGGTTGCGAGGGTGCAAGTTGTGCCTGTGATTTCTCGGATGTTGAAGGTGAGCTCAGGTGCTACTACGGAGTACGTACCGGTTGACCGATGGAGCCCCTCCCCCACAGCCCTCGGGACGTGCCGCCGTTGGGGAGCTCCCCCTGTACTCCTGCACATGCATGCACCTGCCTCGGCGGGCCTCTGATGGGGACGAAGCATTCCCAACACTTTTGTCTCTCGACCTTATCCTTATGTATACTGTGATTTCCACATATATTTATATACACGAACGTTATTGTGAACTTTGGCAGTATTTCACAAACTCTGCCTCGACCCAGACTTGGCTGTTTTCAGACACCAAGACGATGAGCCCCCGTGCCATCACGAAGACAACATCACCAAGCAGATACCTCGCATCGCCTCGCCGCCGTCCACCAGACAGATCAAGCACCCGAGACAGTTCCGTTCGGGGGTGTGGTGATGTACCACATATCGATCAAGACATAGTTGCCTGCACCACCGCGCAGGATGCCGACGGCCGTGATGTAGTTGAGCCAGAAGTACTTCTCAGAGCCCGTCTCATAGATGCCCCGGAGGTGCGCAGTGCCGTCGCCCTGGTCCGACCCCGCCGTCTTGATGTAGATGTTCTCCCCGTCGTCGGTCCTCAGCGAGTACCTCGTGTCCGGGTGCGTGACACCACGGTTGTCGAGGTAGTTCCAGTCCGCACCGAGGTCGAGCACCTCCCCTGCGAAGAGTGTATGTATGGTGAGAACTGAGCCAACCAGACACACGGGCACAGCACACGAGTGGCCCCGACCATCAGACTTACCCTTGATCTTTGGCCCCTCAAAGGTTCCTCCCGTGATGGGGATCACGCGCACCTCACCGTATGGGCCGACGCCGGTGCTGAACTGGTCGCCCAGGGTGCAGTTCAGCGAGTACAGGAATTCGAGGCCCGGTGGCGTGGGTGTGGTCTGGCCATTCGCCACTGCGGCCAGGAGGACCAGGGATGTCGAGATGATAGACTTCAGCATCTTCACGGGATGATTTATTCTTGAATCTGAATTGTCTCGGTCCTTGTCCTCATGCTGCGCCTCGGCCCCCCCCCCCCCCGGTGAGATTTTGGTAAATTTATAGCTACCCCCAAGGCCGGAAAACCCGAGGCTGACGACGTCCACCAGCTTCACACCAACGTCACTCGAACCAAAGTTGCCAGGCACCACAAGGGTTGAGTCGACATTGACGCGTACGAGTGCCCGTCCCAACTCCCGCGATGCTACACCGCGGCCAGCTAAGTGGGGCTAGCGAGTGTTGGTCGCGGGGAAAACATGGGGTTGCCAAATTGCGCTTGATTATGGGACTGGATCCCGGCTAGGGGGATGTTTATTTTCCCCGGGGGGCGAGCCTGCACGAGACAGCGCGAGGGACGGCAACACATCACCAGGAAAAGGTGCGGAATATCGAGTGGGCAGACAGGCATGCTCATATCACCACCATCACCGCCACCGTCACCGTCACCGTCACCGCAGAACTCATATTCTCTGGATGTCGACGAATCTCTTGGGGAAACGCTCGACCAGGCGCTTCCGGTAGACCACGTCGTGGCTCGGGCAGCCGTACAGCGGGCCCTCCCTGGCGTCCCCCCACAGCTTGGCCTCGCCGCGGGACTCGAAGCACACGCCGAACTCGTCCCACGTGCTGAGGAACTGCAGGACCCAGGGCTGGTGGTCGAGCAGGTCCCAGCACTCGTCGAGCATGAACATGTAGTACTGCATCCAGTCGTAGAGGGTCTCGCTGGTCTTGTTGGCCACACCACCACCACCCCCACCCCCATCGCCGTCGAGGTCAGCAATGCTGGTCCAGTGCACGAGCACCATGACCTCGCGCACGCGGCCCATGGACGACTCGACCATCTCGAGCAGCTCGCGGCGCCGCTGCTTCTTGTCGGCGCCGCTGTCGCCGGCGCGCTCGACGTCCTTGAACAGCACGCGCTCCACGGCCCCCAGGCTGCCCGCGTCGAACTGGCTCAGGTCGCGGTGCAGCCACAGCACGTCGCGCCCCGGGTCGAAGTAGAAGGCGCCGCCGCCGCCGCCGCCGCTCCCCGCCGGGTGCGAGGGCCGCAGCGCCCGGTACGTCGCCAGCGTGTGGGCCCGCGACTCGCGGCACACCTGCAGCGCCGAAGGGTGCGCGTAGCTCCTGCACGACACGTCCTCGAGCGAGGACGTGCGCGAGTTCCACGCCGTCACCTTCTCGGCGCCCACCTGCCGGCTCGGCTTGATGCGCCGGGGCGCCGTCGTGGTGGTTGTGGTTGTCGCCGTGGCTGCCCCGGGCGGGAGGGTCACCTCGATCAGGCGTGGGCCCGGCCACGTCTCCTCCCATATCCTGAGCCGCAGCTCCAGCGGGAGGCCTGTCGTCGCATGCAATGTGAGCGTGCCTAACTAGAGCGGGAGCGACGGCGGCGTCTTGCTTGTGTCACCACGCCTGGCTGGGGTCGGAACTCACGGTTTAGGCCCCACTCCTTGGCAGGCTGCGAGTCGTGGCCTGCCATGAGAGCAATGGAGATTTGAAGTGTGCCCTTTGTCTCGTCAACTGGTGTTGTGAGGGTTCTTTTGGTCTCGGCTCTGTCTGTCGAGTTAAAATGTTTGGTCTGATGAGAACGACAACGGGCTGACCTGCTGACGAGTCCGTCCAAAATGTGCCCCGCAGCACTGTGAGCAAGAGGTGTTGCTCCCACCCCAGGGTCAAACCCTGACGCTGTGTTGCTGTGACCAACCCCTCTCGTCCTTGGTTCATCATTTATATTGGATGCCGTGACATCTTGCACTTCATGCTTTGCATCTTCGGATTGAACAGAAAAGCAGACATCCTTTGGAGATCGATTGGCGGAACAGCCCTATCTTGTACGGCAAACAATCTCAAGGAGAACACATGTGCGAATTGGAAAGGGAAAAAAAGTGGAAAGGAGAAAAAAAAAGAAAAGAAAGAGAAAAAGACACTACTTTGTAGTCATGAAACAATTCCTCCGTAATGATTGATCAGTAGAGTCGTGTGCCAGTACAACTTGGAACTCTAGGGTGAGGGTGGCGGCGGCGGTGCACATGCGTTGTCTACAGGCCCTGCAACCTTGGAAGCCAACTTCAGGAGTCAGGTTCCAGCTCATCCGCCTCGCGGCTGACCGTACTCGTCCAACCGTTCGAACTTTGACCGTGCCCGCTTACCCTCATCACCCTGGTGTAGCTCTCCAAGGTAGTCCTTGAAGTCTTTGGACAGCTCCACAACAGCTCTCAGGTGCTCGTCCGTCACCTGGATCCTGCCGTCCTCGTCCTTCTCTGCATCGAACTCGGCCAGTGACACGGCCGTCTGGAAAGCTGCACATGGTCATCAGAAGCTGTATAATGGGAGGTGCCGCAGGGTGTTTACACCTAAAGTAAAGAACTTTGGTTGCCCTTACCGTTGCGTATCTCTCTTCCATTCCACTTGAGGCTCTTCATTTCCGCGCCTCGGATGTATTCCTTGGCATCGATATTCAGCCTGATATAGCTGCCCTTCTCCCTCGCCAGCTTGTCGATAAAGGTCTTCCATATCCTCTGACGCTCCTCGTCCGTGAAGTCGGGGTAGTAGAGCTGGACATGTACACGGGAGATGAACGCGTCATCAAACATCCCGACGCGGTTTGTCGTGAGGAACAGAATGCCGTCATAGAACTCAAGTGCCCGGAGGAACCCTGAGACCAGGTTAACGAGCTGCTGAGAAGCCTTCAGATGAGGGAAGCTTTACCGGCAACGAGGCTATTACGGGTCAGGTCGGCGACCGAGCGACGCTCCATGAACACATCAGCTTCGTCGATAAGAAGCACAGCGCCCCACCCCTTGGCAATTTTGAATTGCTTCGTAAGCGTCTTCTCCACTGACGCGGGATCTGTGCCGATATCACTGGACGTGAGGATCATCAGGGGCCGCTTGGTAAAAGCTGCAATGCATTCTGTATCAGGCTGGTCAGGGAGTAGCACTTTAATTGTTGGTTGGGGGGGGGGCTGGACAACATACCTGCCGTGCAAGTCTTTCCAACTCCAGGCTTTCCATGGAGCAGGAATATCAACCCTTTTCCCTTGCCTTTGACAAAGTCGGCACTCCAGGAGTCTGGCGGTAGTGCCTCTGAAAGCCTGTTTACTCTGGCAAAGCTTTTGGCAAGGGACATGAGACTCTTCTTCCTTCGGCTGTCCATGACCAAATGCTCGATCATGCTCTCGTCATATTGTGGCTCCGATAAATTCTTGATATGAACCTTCTCTTCAGTAATGTCAGTTATGCGAAGGACGCATGGTGTTGAATCGCGATTTAATATACTGACCCCATGACCTTGTCTTGAACACGTAGACGTTAAGTCTGTGAGGGCACAGAAACATTTGGCCGAGTTCCGGCTCGCCTTCAGCATTTCCGTAATCCCAGTCACTAAATCTAGAGCTGAGGGTTCTCTCCGTGGGCGCACTGGCACCTTTGCAAATATTGCATGTGCAATCAGTCATCCAGCTCCGGCAATCCTCATCACCCATTAGCTCTGGGCCCGCACCTTTCGGGTGGTTCTCAATAGCAGCCTTCAAATCCACCATAACGAGACCTTCAATCTGCTATTTGTCAGCTTCAAAAGCATTCAAAGTCGTCTGTTGTATGCAATACCTCGTTGTAAGGAAACTTGATAGCCGCTCCCCTGTGGTACATGCATTGCTTCTGCACAAGGCGCCAATAAAAATCCCCATACCGAAGGTGTTGGGCGATCCCTTCATCCTTGGTCTCCGTCAAATCTTCATCCTCCAATATCTCAGCTTCTAGGGGCATTGTCCCCTCCCATTTGCCTATGTAGAGGGTGCGCAGCTTGTGTCTGATATTTCGCCCATCATATTTCAGACCCCAGATACGTATCGTCCAGTCAGTCGCTTGCTGTAACAGTGAACCGCCTCCCATAGAGTATATCACTCCACTATAAAGTTTCCCGGATGCCCAAAAATCATGTATGTATCTGCCAGGCTTCATTCTGACCCAGGCGTACTCGAATGTCCACGAGCCATCCTTATTTCTCGCCATTTCTGCCCGCACCCCGCTCATGACCGTGTCGTCCAGGAACTGCAGCAATTTTCGGAGGTGGCTCACCACATGCTGCTCTCGAATGCACAGGTCGCCTGCATTTTTATCGGCACGAGCATCTGCGTACTCTTTGATCTCGTCATAGTGATGAACAAGGACACAATACGGCCTTTGGATGATGACTTCCCCTGAAAGGTCTAGATTAGGATAGTATTCGACGACGGACCGTAAGGCATTGATGATTGCTGGCGAAAGAATCCTGAGCCCAATGGTGGGAGTGGTGAGAAGTTCCTGCTCGGCTGCTCCGCCTCCCTCGTGACTAGTTGGTATGAATCTGTACGTCCTCACGACCTCAAGTATAGGCCCACTGTGTGTCGACGTGGGCGTAAATGAGTCGGTCTCGCCACGGTCTTTCCTGCTTAGGAGTTCACCAGTAAGCCGATGGCGATGCTCAACACAGTAGCGAATCCATTTGGATGAATGATCTCCTGCTGTTTTGGGTTCGTTGTCGGTAGAGGATTCTGCCTGAACCGCTGGACCGAGCTCTTTGAAAGATTCTGGCGTTTCCATGTTTAACGAAAGATGGTGTATAGACTATTTGTCTTACTTTTTTGTTGACCATGCAGTCGGAACAAGAAGTGTTCTAAAACGATAAGGCAGAATGTGTCAGAGATGATTAACAGAGAAAATAGCTCGGGCCGCTGACTTGTCTGCAACTACTGGTAAAGTTTATCCTTTGGCGCGCTTGAGATTCTGTTGCATGTCCATCAGGCCCAAATATTGGAACCCAATCTTACATTGTATGCAGGCTCTAAAGCTGAAATATCCTGACCGAAGACTACGGATCCCACGCACCACATCTCATAAGCTGAGAAAGGGGATTAGTGCTTATGCGGTCCCGGACAGCTGCAGAGTCATGGTGTGCACAACACCGGTGTACAATCTTGGCGTTCACTCTAGGTGTAGTCTGTTCTGTGTCGACAAATCAGAGTGTGGTCACAGCGTGACTATTGGTTTCGGCTACAAGGTGCAGGAAGCGTGTGACGGTAGCCGGTAGCCGCAGTAGCTGATCATCCGCGAACGCCTCTATCGTGTGGTGTGGTTGGATGGCAGAGGGATATTGGCCCGCAACTTGTGTGTACAGGTTTGTCACAGGATCAGGCAACACCGCTGCCCCCATCTAAAATGGCCGATACCAGTTGTTCGCTTAAAAACATCCCTGGGCAGAAACGTTGCTGCACCATCCCGGAGTGGATATAACACCATCTTGAGATCTCGACACCCTTGCGCAGTGCCTTCTTTCTGTCCCCTTTTTTGGATTAAAATCAACCATACGTACTCCTTATTACATTAAAGTGCTCATATTGCTAAGGGCAAGGTGACAGCCGGACGAATACGCGCCCTCCCCCGTTCGTCACCTCGGTAATCTTTTGTGCTGGTGAATTGGCAGCATGGGTTGACCCGACTCCAGAATTTGTGGACTCTTGGCATGTCCATATTTTAAAAGTTCAAAATCACTACCCTGCACGCATTTAATAGGCACGGAATGGATGGTAGCCGGCAATCTCGCCGACTCGTTCGTATGTACAGCTTTGATGTGGATGACAGAATTGGTCCCGGGAGCAGTGCATATCCCCTGGGCAGCGCGTTAGCGCACACTCGAGGTGACATCAGAGATCTCACAGCTCCATGGAGAGCTTTCTTTGAACCAGCAGAAAACGAAGCGGACGACAGGTAGATTTCTATCCATTTCATCCCGAGGCTTTCTCTGACTGGCCAGCAGAGAGCTCATCCCTCGAGTTATCCTAACGGAATCTGCAAATCTGCGAAAACAATGGCGGAAATTCCGGGAGCACTGTCAAGAAGGAGACCGTCTTGACCTCGATGCATCAGAGCCTACGATACAGGGGGTGTTGAACACCGTCCGAGACTTCAAGAACAAGTGGCAAGGCGAGCGTGAGAATAGTCGAAGGTATCGATTCATGAAGCAAATACATCGCTTCACCGACTGCCTCGACTCCCACAAGTCCTTACTGGAGATTCTACCTCAAGGGAGTGAATATGTGTCACTTTTCACGGGGACAGCAAGCGTCCTCATCAAGGTATTGTTTCCGCTACTACACTTCCCTGAAATATTCATAATGTTGGACCGCCCCTTGTGACTAATGCCCTGCCAGGCAAGCGTGAACCATGAACAGCTAGCCGAAGGGCTATCGAGGACCCTCTGTGAAATGGGCGAGTGTATTGCAGACTGTGAGATTGACCTGGAACTTTTCAAAACCCAGCGTATGATCAAAGCAGTCTCCGTACTTTATTCGCATATTTTCAGTCTTCTTTCCGACTTGCTGAATTATTGCTCGAAGAGCAGTGCGAAGAGACTACTCGACTCCTTCAATGATAAACTCTATGAGGAACACGAGGCAAAACTAGGCGAAATCCGAAAGCAAGGCGCCAAAATAAAAGAAATAGCCGCTCAAGGCTCACATGCTGAGCTAAGAGCAACAAGAATCATTGCTGAGGATACAAACATCACCCTCGAGGAGCTCCGCCAAGACGTAAAGGTTGGTCTAGAGGGTCAGGCCAGATATGAAGCTGAAATGTTGGATTATGCAGAGAGAATGGAGAAAAACATGTCCAGAATGATGGAGCAAAGAATGGAAGTACCAGAAATGTTACAGCAGCTCGCAAATCGCGTCTTCGGATTTTTGGAAGGCAGCGGACATTCCTGGATTATTGAGAACCGAGCCTCCAGTTGCAGGTTACGCAATACTTCCAGCATACCTACGCTCGGCGGCTCAGGAATGACTTACAATGTGGGACAGCAAGCCCGACCTAACGAGTCCCAGCACCTCCTATTACAACCTTCTCACATATCTGAAGCCGAATGGACCTCGGATCAGGTACAGGTCGACTCAAGCCACATAGAAGACTTCTTCGATCGAGCAAGGATACGTCTAACAGGGGAGTTTCTGAGGCCTGTAATGGTGCCACCACTGGCTCTCAAACGAATAGCAGAATGGTTGGGCAACGAGGCGAATTTCCTTTGGATCGAGGGCCCATTCATTCAAGCGATGGACTCGGACAATGCGATATCGTTGGTGGCCGCCAATGTTGTCGAGCTTGTGGCGCAATCTGGGGTTTGTGTGATATCCTAGTAAGCCGCCTTCCCAGACCTTTAAGACACATACTTCATCACCTAATCCTAACCGTTCCTCTCATCTAGCTTCTGCCAACTCCCTGGAAGTCGAGAGCTTCGTGATGGAAACAGTACACCAGAGGTCCAGGCCTTCATTGCCCTCCTTTGTGGCCTACTCAGACAGGCAGTAGAACACCTCATTCCCCGATTTACTGCGCGCGTCGATCTATCTCAGAAGAGGTTTCGTCTGGTAAATGGGAAGATGGAGACTTGGTCAGAAACACTCGATCTGCTCGATGATGTGCTGACAGCGCTGGACATGCGGCTCGTTTGCGTCATTGATGGGGTTCATTGGTTGGATGACCGCAGTGCTGATTTGATGTTTGCTGCGCTCATCGATACCCTCCGAACGAGTAGGATCAAAACCCTACTAACAACGACCGGGAGGTCCGCTTGCCTTCGAAGAAGACTGTCATTTTCTGAGACGTTCCCGATGCAGCAGGTTGATGAGCGAAGTGCGTCATACAGACTAGACCAGACCACCTTGGAGGTCGTAACGGATTAAGATCGGCCTAGGGATAGACGCTGGTTATAGATGAAAGGCTGTTCCAAGGCTAAATGTAACATAATGTGCTTATTACCGCACCACCGCCACACCTTCAAGAGATGAGGATACGTCGTAGCGAGATTCCGGTCGATGTGATCGCATTTTGTTGGAGGTTCCTCTATAGACAGTCATTCCAAAGGAGAGTGTGTCAAGGGAGGCTATCCCATTGGCGACCATGAGGTTGACCTACTAGCATAGGAGCTTGGTTCGGGTGGTGAAATACAGTGGCCGTATAGGTGACGACTGAGGAAAGCCTGTTGTATTGCAGTTGGAAGCTACGGAACACTGTGAAGCTTTATCTTTGTGGAATGAGCCGCAAGGTCACGCCTTGAATGGGACAGTGCCAGTAATTTGTTTGTGAAATAGTTATTTGGCGAAAGTCCAAGTGGCTCGGGCGGCCTCAACTTGAATCGTATCGAGAGAGCCCACTGCAGACTTCCTTGGCCGGACAGTCAAAGAATTCAACCATGCCTTTGTTGACCGTGTCAGCTAGTAGTGGATTAGCAATTTAATTCGTGCAAAACAACACGTAGAAATTTCTGGGGCGTCTTTGCGCCTTGGGCTTCAATTACACCTAGGCGCACTCAAGATGATCGTACAGGTCAACTATTAACTACGAGCATAACCGGTGATAGGAAAGACGAATCGTATTTAAGCTCACCTCTCTACGTTTTATGTGCTCCTTCGAGATAGCGCCAATTCAGAAGTGACCTTTCTGCCGGTTTCCCCGGTGCTGGACGGTCGGTGCAAGGCGCCTGGTTGAATGCGGCTACAGTAGCAAATGCTGGCCTTACCGCATTCGGAAGAAGGTGCTACTTTTGTGGCCCAAAAGTTCACAACTAACATCCATGGACGTATACCTACCGATTGCAAGAGCAGCTTTTGCCTGCGAAGCTAGGGAACACGAACCTGAGACATTCACATTCCAAGACTCCTGCAGCAGATGGCTGTTAGTGATTAGACCCAAAAACCTGTTGGGCTTTTGGATCATGTTAAACCTGCTTCCCCGGAACCCGCCACTCGAGCTTGATCGCAATGAGCTGCTCTAAATCACGCAATGACTGTTGGGGAATCTGTCCACCATGTGCCGTCAATCCTCCTATACATGTTGCAATAGTCTCGATAGCTCGTCTTCCTGAACCGGATTGCCGGGACAGCCTCAGCCGCCACCATGTTGCTTGGCAACGTGAAGTATAACGCTTTCTAGTCTTAGAGAGTCCACACAACAAGCCCTGGAGGAAGTTATTTTCTCAGTAGCATGATGTCTGTTCACGGACCGTGCTCATAGCTCATGCTCCAGATCTGAGCTAGAGGCTCCTAGATTGATCGGAGATGATCAGTCATCACCCCAATTCTAAACTCTCAACTGCGCTAACTTTCCTCGCCGGATCTGGATTGCGATTGTTGATGCCTGTCTGCCTACCAAATCCGCTACTGGCAGACATATGCACGGCCCTGAAAGTCTTTGTCTGGACCTTGACGGCGCGGTGCACGGCATTTGAACTTAGCTAGGCGACAACTTCCGGGGCTTCAAGACCACGGATCTCGCGAGTCTCGAATATCCATAACGCTACCTGTGTGCACGCGCGATTCTTTCAAAGCTGCTTGCTTGCTTGGTGAAAGTGTAGTGTCACGGACATGGAAAGCTTTCAGCTCGGCCAAGACATCGGCTGTAGAGGTTTCTTAGTGCTCCGGCCACGGGCTTTGACTCGCTGTTCAAAATGGGACCCCTGACCCAAGATTTTGGTAGAGAGATGTGCTGTGCCTTTGAACCGACCCCTTCACTCACAGCGCTATTGAGAAACGTCCATCGCCATGTCATCATTAAACGAAAGCACATCTTTGGACCTTGACTCTCTGCCAGATTGTGGGGTACGTCAATCAGAAGATACAATGCAACCCTAAAAAGAAGTCAAACTGACCAAATGCGAACAACAGATGTTATGTGTTGCTAATTTATTAAGCGTAACACCCTGCGACTCGTTCAACACGACCTGTCTCTGTGAAGGCTTAGACCTTGAAAATCCCAACCCATTCTTGCTATGCGTGGCTCGCAGCTGCTCCGTACCGGATACTTTGTGTACGAGAATCCTGATAGATTCCCGCACCCTGTAGCTTACACTTTCGCAGTTCTCAGGAACTACACAGTCAACACGTGCGACAATCCAACGGCCCCTCGTCTAAAAAGCGTTTCAATCGCTTTCCTGGTCCTGTTCGGCGCTCAAACGGTATTCTTCCTCATGCGCATGCTCACACGAGCGCTCAAATTATCTACATGGGGCATGGATGACACGACCTTAATCGTGGCCTTCCTGGCTACTATTGGTGTTATCACAGGCCGTCAACTGCAGCTTAAGGCCGGCATGGGCCAGGACATCTGGACACTGACGCACGACGAGATCGACTATTATATCAAAATATTCTGGATCTTTGGATTTATATATACTATCACTCTGGCACTGGTCAAGGCGTCGATCTGTTTTCTCTACCAGCGGCTGTTCTCAAATAGGCAATTCCAACGGATCGTCTGGGCGACACAAGCCTTCAATCTTGCACTTACGGTTGCATTCGTCTTCGCCTACGCCTTCCAGTGTACTCCTACGGATTACTTCTGGAAGATGTGGCAAGGACGAGGCGTGCACAAAGGCCATTGCATAAGTTTTTCTATATTATCCTGGACAAATTCAGGAATTGGGATTGCACTGGACCTCTGGATGCTTGCGTTGCCGTTCTGGCAAGTCACTAAACTGAACTTGCCGTTTCGCAAGAGGATGGAGGCCTTCGTGATGTTTGGCTTTGGTATATTGTGAGTTCAATCTCATTCTATATTGTTCAGCCGCCAGCACTTTGGTATCTTGCCCAGGTCGGCGGGGATTCCACGCTGATGGTGCTTTGAACTTGAATAGCTTGACGATAGTCAGCATCTTGCGTCTCCAATGCCTGGTCATCATGACTAATGGCCATAACCCTACAAGTAAGTTCTCCTACGCCTGTTCCCCAACCACCTGCAAGTAATCGGAGGCTGGAGATATACGTGACATCGCGCGATGCGGCTGGTCCTTGTGGACTCAAGTGCTAACACACCTCTGATCCCTGCAGAGGACCTGACCTGGCTTGCAACATGGTCCAACGTCGAGATCACAGTGGGAATAATCATCGCCTGCCTCCCGTCGGCACGGCTGCTCATTCTCCGGTACCTACCCAACAAGCTCAAAGAATGGACCCAGACAACACGCACTACCACATCGAGCCACACGCCGCGGAGCTCCAAGCTCGGGTCCACCGCTACGTGGGTGAGCGGTCTCAGCGGGAAGAGGGAGAGCACCACACAGCCATCGGTACCGCTGTCGGATGCGACCCACGACGGGGACCGCGAATGCAACACACAGGGCTCACTTGGCTCTCCTAAGCACCCCGATGAAGCGCTAAGCCACCCCGGCGCAAGCGTCAGCGTCGCGTCAGGATTTGGGCGGCGGGAGTCGGAGCTCCCGCTCGTCCCCGGGTTTGAGTCATCCCGGCCTGCTCCTCTGGCCGGGCACTCATTTTTGAACGGCGACGAGGCATCTCCAGCCCGTACACCAGTTGCGAAGGACCGACGCATTTGGGTTGAGCAGCACATCTATGTATCGAATGACCCGGTCACCAGGTTTTCGACGGAGATCTCGCGTGGCGATCCAAAAGATGACGAGGATTCACTGCCGCCCTGGGTCCCAAGACTTTCTGAAAACCACGTTGCCGAAGACAAGGATGTATAGTTGGTGCAAAGAGGGAGAATTGCTTACAAGTTTATAAATAACCACAAAATGCAGCCTATAGGGAGCCTTTTCTAATCATTCGAACACCTAACATGGACTAAAGACTAGTCAGCACGTGTGTGTGTTCCCCGCAGAAAAACATTATCCCACGGGGCCCACCGAGGGCGAAGCTTTGAGGGCGTCACACTGCCTTAGCCCCCGGGAGCTTGATGTCTCTTGGACATGAAATTGATGGGGCTGAAGGGAATTTGCTTGATCACGGGCCTGACGGATATCAGCTGACATTCAGGAAGTGTGACGTCTGATCCTGCTGCAATGGAATACAAGGAGACCCTTCTTTCCGGGGCCGCTTTATTTCCCAGCTGACTTATTTTGGAACCTAGCGTTCAGCCTTCGGTCTGAGCTTGGGGGACAGCGCGGTGCGCACCGGATGGATGGGAATGGATGCTTAGCCAAGACATGTCAATAATGCTTGACCACATGTGCCCAGCCGGGCGGTTTCCGAGATCTTCAGGAACGAATGCTTGATGCTCCACGACTTCCTCAACCAGAGCTTGGTTCCTTGTCCGATTGCGTGCATATTGCATGTAATACGACGCCCTGTCTTACATACACCCCTGCCGGAACTCGTGCCCAAAACTAGCACCCGGCATGATCCTCTCGTCTCAGGGCGTGCTCCCATTGGCCGGCTGACCATCGTGGGATCTAGCTCTCTGCGCTTGATGACACCTCTGCTCCTGTACAATTAACTCAGGGTCCGTGTGAAGTCCCCAAGACATCTGCGCCGAACTCAGGGTCTCTTTCCGTTTCGTCGATTGGGCTTGCTGATTGGCTCATGGAATATGCAGGGTGCTAAAATGCCATGTGGCCGACGGACCCTGACCCAGCCAGCGCAGCACGACGTGCAGGGCCTGACTGCGCGTCACGAAGCCACCGAAATCCAGTGTAAGGCGATGTGTCTCACCCGAGATCCGCAGTGCTCGGGGATGGCATTTAGAATTACCATCTTCTTTGAACAGCGGCTTTTCCTTCACGTAAGGACGTAACACTATTGGTGTTTTCCAGTCAGGCGGCTGATTCTCGAGTGGGTAATCGCTGACTTGCTGAACGGAATCACGACGGTCAATGAACTTTCGAATTTGGTCCCAAACACATTACCCTCCGGATTGTGGCATCGTGAAGGGATAGAACCTTGAGATATAAGATCAACAACATCGCCACAGGTGAAGCTTCTTGCCACAGTGGACCATCATCATCATCCGGATCAAGCACCTAATCACCAAGAAAGCCATCCAACCACTCAAGCATCAAGATCCTCCGTAGAGATTGCCCGCCTATCCAATCATCTCCAGTCCAAGTATCATTTCTCCATCTCGATCACTACACTGTATCTCGATCCGACGCCCCTACTTCGATCACCAAGCACCGCCCATCTACGACCCTTGTGCAACCATCCCACGTGGCGACCACCCAATACCAAATATCGATCCACCCACCCATAATCACCAACCATTCGTCAAGATGCAGTGCATTTCCTCCTTGATCCTCACCCTGGCCGCATCTGCCACCCTGGTTATGGCCGTGCCAGCACCGGCACCGATGCCTGCTCCCACGGCGGCTGCTGTCCTCCCCGAGGCACAGCCCACCGCGGCGCCGGTTCTCAACCTTCGCGGGGCCACTGTTGATTCCTTCCCCGCAAAATGCACCGTTGGCTCTGACAGTGTCGCCACCTGCACGGGTGCTGTTCACGCTACCAACGTCTGGGCTGGCGTCATCGACGCTACTGTTGACTCTTCCACAGTAAGTACTACACACGCTCGGAGGGTCACCACGGGGCGCTTGACTAATACATAGTTTCAGTCTTAATACTCGAGACAGCCATACTACTTACGCTCGTCATGATGTCTTCTTCTGTAAGTAATACTTCACAGTCTCTGGGCTACTATTTTGTTTCTGTGAGTCACGCTAATGATGCATGGCAATAGTCTTGCACAAACTTTATCTATCTGACGCTCTTTTATTTCTCTGTCTCTCTTTCCCTCTAGCTACAATCGATCAAAGCACGAAAGGAAATTAAAAAAGATAGAAAGTGACAATCGGGGAGTTTTTGTTAAAGCCATGGACATAGACGGCTCGTTGATTCAGGCGAAGTGGCCAACTGTAAATATTGGTGGCACTAGATACGGGGCTCGCAACAATTTCGGTGAACAGATATAGAAGCAAAGGCGCACTACTTGGGAACAGACAGACCTTTCGACAGACTCGGAACCGAAACAACATTTCGCATGCCTCTTTTGATCAAGTCCTGAAGCTCGCACTTGCTACTTAGCCAATCTCTTTCATACAAACTTCAATGTGGGCCATGTAAGAATGTTAACGATATCGGCACAGTCACAAAGCTCAGAAGATTCTCAACCCACATTTCCAAAACTAAACAATATCCTTTCTTTGGCAGATATTACCACTCAGTCAGCATCCCAAGAGGCGTTCCAATAACTGCGTAATTTAAATTAGATCTCACTCTGAATTGTCCCGTGTGAAGCAACGCGAGGAATTATCTTACAAATCCTATTTTACCATCACATCTCTGCATTATCGACGACTATGATTGATAAACGATATCCTCAGAATGAGGCACCTTGGCTCCCAGCCGAACAGGTTAAGCCTCTCCAGGGCCAGGCCAGATAGTGGTCAAGAACGCCGCAGTAGCCATCAACCCTGTGGACTGGCAGATACAGATCCCGGGCGATATGCTTCTCCGCTACCTCAAGTACCCTTTTGTCCTCGGCGGCGACGTTGCTGGGATGGTTGCAGAGGTTGGCCCAGGAGTCCAGCGCTTCAAAGTCAACGATAGAGTTGTTGCGGCTGCCCTCTCCATCGCCTCTGTCTCTGATGAAGCATCCGAGAGCGCGTTGCAGCGGTGCACCCTCGTCCGCGCGCACATGGCCACACAGCTACCCAACCACATCAGCTACGAGCAGGGAGCCAGAGGCCCATGAGACGGCAGAAGCGCTCTGCCAGCGGCTTGGCCTGTGTCATGCCTCTAACCCTCTCCACTGCCGCATACGGCCTCTTCCATCCGAAACTTCTCGATCTAGAAATGCCGACCTCGCCGCCAGCCAGCACCATCAGCAAGGGGCCTGCTCTCCGGGCGGTCATAATCACGGGTGGTTCCTCGAGTGTTGGCGCCAACGCGATCCAACTTGCCGTCGCCGCGCGCTACGACGTGCTGTCCACCAGCTCCCCCAAGAACTTTGACTTTGTAAAGAGCCTTGGAGCCGCCCAAGTGTTTGACTACGACAGCAAGACGCTGGCGGGCGACCTCCTCGTCGCCCTCGAGGGCCGCTCGCTCGCTGGGGCTTACGCCATCGGTGACGGCGCCGTGGAGGTGTGCACCCTCGTAATGACGCGCCACAAGGACACGACGCAGAAGTTTGTCACCATGGCAGGCGGCTCGCCCCTGGGAGAGAAGCTGCAGAGCTTGACTGGTAAGATGCTCTTATCCTCACCATGCTGTAGAAGATTCTTAAATAGGCCTTTTTGTCGCGTACAACAGGGATTCAGGTCCAGTTTATCGATATGAAACATTCTATGTAACTAGCAGCAGGCACGAATAAGCATAGTCGCGAAATGGAGAAAGTACTTCACGCAGTTTTGCCTAGTGATTCACAGCGCTCAACTTGTACAACAACCAAACGGACCACGCGGAAGCTATTACACACATGCGCAGAGGCCCTGCCTTACGATCTCTTGGTCTTGTGCGCTTCTGAGACCTTGGTCAACTCTCCGGAGACCTTGAGAAAGCCGTCAAGCGCCATGTTCTTGGTTCACGATGGTTAGTTATCAATTAAGAGAAGGAAGAAGCCGGGAAGCCCTCGACAACCGTGGTGTTGTGGACAGGCTTACAAGGATCGACTGTGGCAACCACTTCGATGCCCAGCGGTTCATGCCAGCATCCTTGCCGACCCATATCTCCCCTGTCGTTCCCTTTTCAATCTCCCCCACCACCTTGAGGCCATATGTCCTCGTGTCAGGGGCGCCCTCCTGAAGCCGACCGTCGGCCATGCGCTCGAGATAGTCACGGATTACGTAATAATGTGATTGTTCGGGGATCTTAGGCTTTGGTATGTTGTCAAAGGCTGGGGTCTTAACACTAGTTGTGACGAGGGTGAGGGTCCGGACACCGAGGGGCTCGAGCTCACGGGCCCAGATGCCACTTGCCATAGTCAGCGCCGCTTTAGATCCGTTGTAAATGCCTGTGTAGGGGCGAAGATGAATGCTGTCAGTTCATATTTACTGCTACAGGTTGTTATGGGGAAAGAAAAGCACTGACTTCCGAAGGGCATCGGCACATAGCCGGCAGCGGACGACTGGTTAACAACGTAGCCCTTGGCCTCGATGATTAGAGGAATAAATGCTTGTATCATTGCCAGTGGAGCAAAGAAGTTAAGGTCAAAAAGTTTGCGGCCGTTCTCAATATCGACATCCAGGGCGGGCATGATGAAGTTCTGGCCGCTATTGTTGACAAGGACGTCGAGTCGACCACCGGTTTCTTTGGTTACACTCTTCACCGCGGCAGCAATAGATTCCGAAGATAGCACGTCGAGTGTCAGTAGTGTAACATGAGGTACATCGTGAAGAGTTGCAGGAAGCTTTGCTGGGTTCCGTGCAGTCGCAAAAACATGATAGCCCCTTTCCCGGAAAACTTCAGCTAGGCCAGCACCAATACCTCCAGCTGAACAGCCGGTGATGAGGGCGAACTTTCCAAGGGGAGACATTCTCATGGGTCGTGTCCGCGTGATTTCTATGCGGACTAGTAATGTTGTGATTTGGGGATGCAACAAGTTAGGCAAGCTTGATATAAGCATCAAAATCACCTCAGTTCAAATTGGTACAACTAAATCGACCAGATAGTTACGATATAAGCAACAAAACCGGAGTTATGTAGTGCATCAGTTCAGGGCGGTATTCCAATCCCGTTCCTGCATATGGTAGTATCCACGGGTCTTGGTCCACGGGTAATTTAAAGAGCCGGGCGCTTGCTGCGCAACAAGTGTCAACCGGCGAGGCGTGGCACCAGACGGAATATCTCACACGGTGTCTCTGTGTCAAGCTATGTGATCCACTTTATTTGGAAGGGATCCAAATTCCGCTTCTGCATATGTTGGTGCCTTCAAGTTTCCTATGATGGTAAAACGAGACGGGTGTATTGCCTACGGCTGTGTGCGTGACCGGAGTTGAATTCCGCACATGAAGCCGGCGGTCGGCCTGTCTTATCAGCCGTGCCCACACACCCGAGTTGAAAGGTTCAGCATTCCGCAGACACACATTCCGTATGTACCCCATAGGTTCAGCCGCATCCCGCGGATGTCTTGCAAGTGGTGAGAACATCCAATGACATTTAGACGTTCGGCGATTTCAGACAGGAGTCTACGTGCTGCACCCTCTTTTCGAATTGAATCTGGAAATTGCATTGGGCTTTTAAAGCCGTCATTGATTGACAACAGGACTCACCTGCACACCCGCTGTCTTTGGTGCCTTTTTTGAAAAGGCAGTAGAGCATACAACAAGCCACGGCACGAGTTGAGGGCAGCAATCATGAGCCAGAAGCGACATCCTACAGGCGGTGGGAGTATGATCGAGGATGTGGAAAAGAACACCGGAGATCCATATCATAGCGATCAAAATGGCGAGATAGAGAGCTCTCAAGGCCACTACGTGACCGGCATTGCGAGATGGCTTATCCTTGGCCCCGTGACTCTTACCTACTTCACATTTTTTCTTGACCTAGCTGTCTTGTCTACAGCAGCGCCGGCAATCACGACGGAATTTAACTCGTTGGTAGATATCGGGTGGTAAGTCATCGCTGATCTGCCAGCAATGACTCTTGCATCAAGCCTGTGCTGTCTTTTCGCTGACTTGGACTCTGAAATACAGGTATGGAGGTGCCTACCAGCTGGGCAGCGCCGCTTTTCAGCCGGTAAGCAAAGTCCCTAGGTATTTGAATGGTTCAAGGAATATGCCTCCAAGATGCCATGATATAAGGTTGAATTGGGACCTGGAAATCACATGTCTCGCCGAGGTTTTCACTGACTCCAGCTGGTGTGCTTAGATGACGGGGAAGCTTTTTCGTTACTTCTCAATCAAGGTGAGCCAGCCTTCCCAGTTTCGACATCATAACTTCGTTTTCGAACCCAACACCCAAGCATTCCATTTCAAAACCGCTGACCAAATGATGCAGTGGACTTTCCTATCTTTTTTCTTCGTCTTTGTCGTCGGGTCTGCCATTTGCGGAGCCGCTCAGTCGTCCTCAATGTTCATCATCGGGCGCGCAATCGCAGGTGTTGGGTCTTCCGGCATTGGTAATGGAGCCTTGACCATCATTTCGGCCATTCTGCCCCCTCGAGCGCAGGCACAGGCCATGGGCGTCAACATGGGTCTTGGCCAACTTGGCCTCGCATTGGGTCCAATCGTGGGCGGATTGTTCACTGAATACACGACTTGGCGCTGGTGCTTCTACGTCAACCTTCCTATCGGCGCCGTTGTAGGTTTGCTCTTGCTACTCTTCAGAATCCCGGAGCCGGCACCGAAGCCCCCAGCAAGCCAAGTCCTAAAGACGGCCATCAAGTCTCTGGACCTGCCTGGCTTCGCACTCATCGGCCCAGCGGCTGTAATGTTCCTCCTAGGAATCCAGTATGGTGGCAACGAACACCCTTGGAACAGTGCGACCGTCATCGGGCTCATCGTCGGGGGGTTGATTACTTTTATCCTGTTTCTAGTGCATGAGCATCGCACTGGAGATGACGCCATGGTACCGTTCGCCATGCTCAAGCACCGCATCATCTGGTCAGCCGCAGGTAACATGTTCTTCCTGCTAGCGACTGTTCTCGTGGCCGACTTCTATCTTGCCATCTATTTTCAGGCTATACATAACGATACACCTCTCATGAGCGGTGTACATATGCTGCCAACGACCTTGGCCATAGTGATATTTACTATGATTTCCGGAACAGCAAGTAAGTAACCTTGTCTCCTGTTCCTCAGATATTGAACTGATCAAAAATGACGTGTTCATAGTCGAAGCATTAGGATACTATCTTCCTTGGGTGCTGTCTGGAGCTGCAATATCTGCTGTTGGCTATGGTGTATTTTCCACGCTGAGTCCCACCACGACGACGGCCCAGTGGATAGGCTACCAGGTTCTTTACGGCGTTGGTGGTGGTTCCATGGCTGCAGGAGTAAGTACCATCTTGCACTGTGCCAAACCCCAATTTCACGTAGTTCGCGTCACTGACATAGTTGTCTGTTTTTTTTTTTCCCGCACATACTAGGCCTTCATCGCGGTGCAAAACTGCGTCCCAGCAACGCAGATCCCCACCGCAATGTCTATTGTCCTCTTCTGCCAGAATATTGGTGCGGCAGTAGCACTGCCCGCCGCAAACGCGATCTTCAGCAACACCTTGAGGAGCCAGCTTTTAGATAGAAGGGGGGATGTTGGTGTCGACCCCGAGATTATCATCGGCGCTGGTGTTCGCGGCATTCGCAATATCGTGCGGGGTGACAAGCTTGCTGCTACTTTGGAAGCCTACAGCAACGGCATCGATGCTGTAATGTATCTCGGCATAGCTGTTGCCGTTGCCGCGTTTGGTTTTGGTTGCGGGTTGGGCTTCAAGGATATTCGGAAGGAGAAGAAACTTCGAGAGTTACGGTCTTCAGACTCAAAGGACTGGTGAGTACATTGACGAATTCCTCTGAGCAGCCATTGGGTTTGTGGTCCAAATAGGTGTCAAAGGACTGGCGTCATTTTTCTATCTACTGGAAAAGTACCGGACCGGAGGTCTATAGGTTCTAGCAATAGTTACCCTAGGGGGCCAATTAAAGCCCTAGAATTAACAGTTCTTCTTCTAATAACAGTTCCTCCTCTAGCAATAAACAATCCCTAGCTTCTAATTAGCCCTCTAATTATATACCCACAGATAAAAGGAGATAAGGAAGGAGATTAAGATTAAAGAAGGTATACTATAAGATCTATTATTACCTATAAAGAAAGACTTAAAGAAGAGGTAGAGAATTAAAAAGTATATAAAGGGATAGACTTAAAATTAACTTTCTTTTTACATTAAACTTATCTATATAAGAAAAAGATTTATAAAGTAATTCCTTCTTAAATAGTCTTAATTTTAAAGTAGAAAGTAATTTCTTTAACTAATTAATTAGAAGCTAGAGATTATCTATTACTGAAAGAGGAATTATTACTATAAATATAACTATTAATTCTAGTGAGGAACTATTACTAAAGCCTCTATTTTCCTGGTATAGTAGCTGGTTCATGCCATTAAAGACTGTACTATCACCACAAGGTTCTCCATGATGGGGTGTTCAATATATTGATATAGTAACACCAGAGCAATCACAATGACTGAATGTTTGCTATTTCCATGATATTGGTCTTCACAATCTTTGTCTATTTACCTTGGGGGCATGAATGATGCTGTTCATTGATTAACCATCCAAGACTGGCAGCTTTGGATAATACTAGTACTGCATAAGTGGTGGTTTCAGGTGGTTTCGTTTTTAATACCTATGCACATGAGACCTGCGTCAGTATAGACCAATTCAGAATATCCATTCATAGACCATGTTTTCAATTCTACCTATGTAATTAGTAGGCACTCCTATTGAGCTGCAAGCGCTCCTTTCACGTGCTAGTAAACTGTCAAAGAACCAAGAGGCAGAAAGCACATGATGCCGATGAAAGTGACTGCAGAATTTGATAATTTATTGCACATGGCCCAGAATGTGTCCATAATAGTGTGCCTTATGGTATCAATTGGAATAGGTCAATGTCAATCCACCTGGGCAAGTATCGTAGTGTATCAGCCCTTAGCCTTTTAGTATCAAGGAGGAAGGGCAGCACTGAGTGCATGCAATACTTAAGTAGCTGTTTTTATGCACTGTGCTTGTACCATTCAGGCACTACAATTGGACCACCTCATTACCTAGGTATGTACCATAAATTGAAGTCAGTACCTCGAAATATGCAAGTGACGCATATTTCTAGATCATTGTATTTCCGTGCTCATCATTCCGTCCCGATTGCGACCTTTGTCTCGCCAAATACCCTCAATCCAAACCATAAGTCGGTAGACCGATCTACACACATCCCCACCAACACACACACATTTCCCACCAAAAAGGTCGATTTTTAATATACTTTATTTAACTCTATGAAATTTTATAATAATAAATTTAATATTATTAAATACTAGATTTTTTACTTATAATAGAAAGAAATTTAAATAATTAATGGATATTATTATAAATTTAAAATAAATTATTAAACTTTAATATTTTCTTTCCTAACTAAATAACTAATAATTAGTTAGGAAATTAGTTAAGATATTAAATTTTAATTTTTACCTTCATTAAATAATAATAATTAATAAGTTTTATTATAAAAATATATATTATTATAATAATTACTTATATTTTAAACGTTTTTATTTATAGAATTTTATTAGAATTAATTATTAAAGATTTATAAAAATAGAGTAAAAAGCGGGGATTTACTCCACTCTTTTAAATTTTTAATAATTAATTCCATTAATTTTCTATAAATAGAAACGTTTTAAATTTTAATTATTATATTTTTAATAGATTTTATATATATAATGAATAATATATATTATTAATAAGTATTATTTTATAATAATTTAAAGTTTATATAAATATCTTTTATATTTAATAAGAAACCTTTAAAAAGTTAATTTCTAAGTTTTAATAATTCTTTTAAAAATAGTACTTAATTTCTTTTATATAAAAGTCCTTCTCTATATAAATAAAATATAAAGCTTTAAATAAAGTAACTTCTTTTTTAAAAAGTATTTTATAATATTTATTTATTAATTAAATTATAAATTCTATATAATTTACTTTAATAATATTAATATTAATACTTATAAAATAATTTTTTTATAATATATATAATTTATATAGATTAATATTATATATTTAATATAGATTTTAAAAATATATGTAGAATTAATAATAATATATTATATATTTAAGAAATAATGTGCGTTGGTGGGGATGTGCGTAGACCGGTCCACCGACTTATCCCTTTCCGAACAGGTTTTTGGGGTCCCAATGAGCCTTGAGTTCTCGCAGCTTGGACAAGTTGGCCTCTGACCACCAGGCCGCCGGCCCCTCGTCGCCAATAGCATAATTTACATATATGTGCTCTTCAGCGAAACCGCTAGTGGCATGGAACTTGTCTCGTTGGGACACAGACCAGTCGTGGACGATAGGCAATTGGGAGTTGTACAGGATGATATTCTCGAGGAGCCTGGATGCGCAAAATTCCCCGTGAATTAGAATCCGCTACTTGACTGTACCTCCCTTTAGGTTGGTGGGGGGGGGGGACAAGGCGGGCCACTTACCACCACGCTTGGACGTCCCGCCAAGGGAAGACAGTCGCGTTGTTCGCGGTCTGTAAGTTCACGCCGTTACTATACCACTGCATGAAGGACTGACTGAAGTAGTAGGGATTGGCCTGGGAGAAGGCCACGTAGTCGGCGAAATGGGCCTCGAGGGTGTCTGGGTCTGTGCGTCCAACACCCATCGTGTAGGCAGTGAGCGTATGGCCCCTCTCGCATACACCCCTCGTGATCGATTGGTAGTATACTTCAACCTGCGTGAGGTTAAGAATCTCGGTCACAAACGGGTCCAGTGAGGCAAACTGGTCCAGGTATGGTTGTGCTTCCTCGAGGCTGCCGATGTACCAGGCCGCCAGCCAGAGAGTGGCTGCCCCGGTCGTGGAATTGTACAACATGGCGGTCTGCAGGGACAGCTCGGCTGGTAGCACGTCGTCAAAGGTTGCAATCAGCTCCCACAACGAGCGGTGTTGTGCCGCCGTGTAGTAGAAGTTGGCCTCGGTGACGAGGCCCCCGTTGGTTTGGTCGTGCACGGTATACGTCGCCTCGGTGACGATACCAAAGGTCTGACCCGCACCACGGATCCCCCAGAACAGGTCCGCATTCTCGTCCGCGGACGCTGTCACCGTCTCGCCTGTGGCTGTCAGCAATTCAACCGACTCGAGATCGTCTATCATAAGCCCGTGTAAGCCCATCAGCATGCCGATGCCGCCACCGAGCGTCACGCCGATACCACCGGGGCACCAGGAATTTCCAGTTTCTGTTTACATTATTGCGACATGCTCAGTCAGCCGCACAAAAAAGACAGTGATCGACGCTTGAGCTCGCCGGAAACCGGAACTGCATACGTATCTCCTTTCCAGCAGCGAAGACCTCGGTCACCATTTCACCCAAGGTAGCCCCGGGCCCCAATGTCAAGCGGTTGTTGATTGCATCGACACTGACTGTATTGAAATTCTGCAAATTGATGTTGAAAGCCGTCGAATACGCCAAGACCAGCCTTGGATCCGTGTCCACCATTGGTTGCGATGAACGGGATATTATTTTTTGACGCAATTTCCACCTATTGCGGCATCATTAGCAAACCAATTCTTCCATTTCATGTGGGAGGATCTTTGGTTTTTTTCCTGACAATCTGCTTGAGATCTGAAATCAAAGCGGGCTTGATCGCACCCGACCAAGCCGGAGTCTCCCAAGTTGACCATCGGGGCCCGACGAGGTTAGAAAAGTCGGCCTCGTATGACGATGCTATCTCTGTTTGAGGTGACACATGAGGCCTGAATAGAGCCTCCAAGCTGCGGTTCCTTCCGCAGGATGCATGGGCGACAGTGGCGTAGACCAGTGCCAGAAAAGGCGAAAAATGAAACATCATGACGTTTTGTTTCAATGTATCAGACAGGCGAGATGAATGATGACCGAGGAAATACAGTTTGTGTTTTATGATCAACGAAATCTCCCCAGGCCCCCAGGTAGCGTAGATGGAACTTATCAGAAGCCCAAAATTCCAAGCTGGTTGGCCACCGATTAGGTAATTAAGTATGAGAACGGATATTCGCACCTGCAAAAACGGATAGTATACCCGCTTATACCCTTTTTATTTTTTTAAAAAAAGTTATCTATAAATATATAATTATATTAAATATCCTCTCATTTAATTCTATTTTTAAGTATTTATATACATAAAATTAAAGTTAATTAAAATTATATTTATATTTTTATTTATATTTTTAATAAATAAATAATTATTATTTATTAGACTATAAGTTAATTTCTAATAGAGTTATAAAAATATAAAAAATATAATTAAATACCTTATTTTTTATACTATAGTTTAATATTACTTTTTATACTTAGAAGAAAATCCCATTTAAAGTTAAAGGAATAGTTATAATATAACTCTTTTTATAAAAGTTAAAATTTACTATTATTTATTAAATATTAATTTTATAATAATAATTATAAACTTGAATTTTATATTAGTATTAAATAGAAATTTAAAGGATATTGAATATATATATTTTAAATATTATTTACTTTAATTAAATTAGTAATTAAATAATATACTTATTTTAATAGTGGGTGTACCATCCGTTTTCGTGGGTGTGAATATCCGTTCTCTTAAGTATTCGGACAAGGCGACCTCGGGATGGTTGCATTTCGAGCCCGCCTGCGTCAATCCGGAGCGATCGACAAATGTCAACAGGAGCAGCCCGACAATAAGCAGACTGATGCATATCATGCTCCTGCGGCTATTTTATCCTCCGCCCGCTCTCAGTTGACTGCAGGCAGCGGGCTAGGCTACCTAGGTGACTAAAAGTTCTGGTTGGACGGCGCACTTACTAACTTCTACTGAGTCCCCTCTCCGGTTTGCATACCTACCTATATACTTAAGTGGGTACTAATTACCTAGGTAGGATGATATTTGGTCCGGAATCATGCCTGTCAGATTATGGAAGTCCCTAAGATATCGGCTCGTAGGAGCCGCAAGCATGAGAAGACGGCTGGCGCATTTTCATCCCCGATGAATCGGACCATGCTTAATCAAAGCCGGAATCAGGGCCGTTGGGAGTTACTGCAGTACAAGTTGGATCATGGTACACTAATCTCAGCTTCTGCAACTCAATCAATTCAGGTGCATTATCTATTGGGTGTGTGAGGGCTCAGGCTCGTCAGAGATGGCGCGAACTTGGGCATGCGCGGCTGGCTATACTACCATACTGGGGCCTATAGGCAGCCTGCAAGAGTTATAGGGGTCTGTAAGGCTTACCTTATTTTCAAGATATATCCTTAATGTAAGATTTACACTAACTATAAAAGTTAACCCCTTTTATTAGAGTTAGAGAATTAAGGTATAGAAGTTATATAAGGGTTTTTTAGGGAGAGAAGTAGGTATGTATTTAAGGAAGAGGTAGTTATAAAGAGGTAGTTATAAAGAGGAAGATAAAGAAGAAGATAAAGGTAAAGGTGAAGGTAAAGGTGAAGATAAAATAACTTAGAGAATAAAAAAATTTAAAATTATACTAAAAAAAGAATCCTTTTTAACTATTCTTTATATTTAAATAAGTAAAGTAACTTTTAGATTATTAAAATCTTCTTATATAACTTTTATACTTTAATTCTCTAACTTTTATAGAAGGGGTTAACTCTTGTAGTTAGTATAAGTCTTATAGTAGGTATAATACTTGTAGAGGGCTGTAATGCTTGTGGATCCCCTCTATTTACTAGTACGGTATATATCGTTTGATATTCAGTCTACTTTAAGGTCTACGAATCGCCGATTTCGATACACAAGGTTTGCAAGCCACGGTTGGATATGGTAGTAGATCTGACATTTATGTGCAGTCAGAGATAGTGTAATCATCATCCTTGAAAAAGCTGGTCCATCCAAAATCTGCTGGCAGGCCCCTGGGTATTTAGGTGTCCGTAAAGAGGCTGAACTACATTGCTGCCTCCGCAGCCGGACACCTCGTCCGGACCCGGCCGTGAAAGCTCGACCAGGAAGCCCTGAACGTGCGAGCGGAATGCACGCATGCCCGCGGCGAGCTGCGTGAACACGCCGCCGGGCGGGCCCAAGCCTTGTTCGCCCGCCTCGTCCGCTGTCGACTCGACCTTCTCGGCGATGGCGTCCAGGAGCACTGGAAGGTCGATGACGCTCCGGGCGTGTGCGCGATTGATGCGTGAGTCCTCCAGGCTCTCAAGCCGGCTCAACACCACCACGCAGCCTGCGAGCTGTTCCCACTGCAGGAAAGCGATGCCGACAAAGTCGGGAGTGGGGAGGCTCAGCAGGCCGGAGGTGCAGGCGCTGATGGCGAGCACGGATTGCCACATGTATGACAGGTCACTGCAGCCAGGCGGGATGGGCTCCTGCATGGGATCGCCGCCGCCGCCGCCGCCGTTGGCCGACCCTGGGGGGTCGAGACTTGAAAGGATCATGGTGGATGCACGTATCGTCTCTAGAATGAGCAATTCCACGTAATAAGTATGCGCTAGTTGAACTTTGACGGCGGTCAGGAATAGCTTGAGTCAGCAGATATTCCTTGACCTGCAAATATAATGATTGAGAGCCCGGCTTGGCGGATAAAGTACTCACGCTGGTGATGTCGAGAAGACCGGGAGGGTTGTCCACGGAGTTCTTGCACTTCGCCATGGAGCACCTTGGCATCCGCCAATATCGTGGCTGCTGATGGTTTGGCTTGGGTTTCTTGATTTGTCTGCTGCTCTAGCATCTGACGAAGACGGAGGGCCTTGGTGAGGAGCAGCTGGAGGCGGACTTGATAGACCAGGTCCAAGTCAGCCGGGCACACCTTGGCCGCACTCATGTCAACGAGAATCTTGTCTAATTGCGGCGTCCATGCCAGGGGATCCACATCCTCAAAGTATTCCGATACGGCAGAGCTGAGTATAAAACAACCTAGCGCGGCACGTTGGGCCTCGGGGGAGAGCTGTGGACGGTCGAGTGAGCGCCGAGACGCTGCCGCCGGTTCCATTAGAAGACTGCCCGTGTGGTGGTCGCCACGCTTCAGGGCGGGCCTGTCAAGTCGCATCTCGCCTGCCAGTGACATGCACAGCATGACGAGGTGTGAAAGGCTCCCGCGGTTGTGCACATGATCCCAGCCCCAGGCCACGTAGGTCAACAGGCTCAACAACAAGTCGAGATAATGCTCAATATCAGCCTCGGTCCGCCGCAGGAAGGCGGCTTCGAGAAGGGCATGCTTCAACTCGGTCGCGCGGGTCGTCTTCTCTGTTGTAAATGGCCACGCAACGCAGACGATGGTCTGGAATAGTAGGGGCCTGTCGCGACACAGCTGCTCGGCTGTCATTGTCTCTGGGAAGTGAATGATGGGGAGTCGAGGCAGCATGCGCGTGGTGAAAGTGTCGAGACAGGCCACAGAAATGCCGTCAATTGGCTGTGAAGGTGCTGCAACAGTGGCCTGAGACACGGGACTGTGGTGGTTGGGCATTTTTTGTACAGCAATAGAAACAGATGGGACAGGGTTATCGATGTCGGTATCAACATGAACATGGGAAATCTCAGTGCCGCCGAGATCTGGAGTGGGCCTGTTGGAAAACGACGGAAGATCGGGCGTGAAATGGGCGTGTCGAGACTGCTGTTGCTGCTCGTCGCCGACGAGAGGACGACTGCCATTGTCTTCCCCATCAGCATCAGCGCGGGTCTTCAGCAGCGAGAAGAGATTGTTGATTCTATCCTCGAGCTGGGCGACGCGATCGTCCGATTCTTGGCTGTGTTGACTGGCAGCACGCTGGCTGGAGGACTCATGGGGACGACACTGCTTGCTGAGGCGATAGCATCTCTCGCAGCCCTGGCCGTCGGATCGACCGACACAGCGGCATTTTGCCTTTGCACAACGCATGCATGCCTGTCCATACTGAGCCGAGCGAGGTGCAGCCCTTCGTCTCATGGTTCATGTCGACGTTGGTGTGGGCAGGAGGTGAATTTGGACTAAGCTCAACGAGCCCCGTTGGCCGTCTGTCATCAGCTGATGAGCAAAGGAGATTAGGTCCTCGACGTTTTTGTTCCATGTCAGCTTGCCTCTGCCTGGTTTGTCAGCAACTTGTATTACATTGCATACGGCGCAGCTCTGAGGTCACACGCCAGCCTGTTCTGCATGTTGGTCCACGCAACTATGCAGGAGGCAAGGGAGGCCGGGAGGCCGGAAGAATAGAAGGGGGAAGTACCTATAATGGTCAGGGGTAAAATACTTATATTAGCACATCAATCCAAGAGCTAATATTTAAACCTAGTATTGTTAAGTAACTTCTTATTTAGTAATATACTAAGAGTAAATCTTCTAGCTATATAATAGAATAAAAGTAGAAATTTATACTAGATATTTAATTTATAAATTATTAATTATTTATAAAATCTATTAAATCTTTAATATTTAACTTTTATTTATTATATATATATATATATATATTAATAAAAGGTCTTTTATATATATATTAATAAAGGCTCTTTCCTTTTAAACTTATTGTTTTTAATTCCAAGTCTAAAGATAGAAGTAACTGATCGGAACCAAAAACAATATCTCATATGCCTCTTTTGCTCATGTATTGAAGCTTGTGCTACATGACCAATCTCTTTTGTGCAAACTTCAGTGCAGGCCATGCAAGAACATCAAAGAGATCGGTATATTGTCAACGCTTAGAAGTCTCAACCCACCATCCCAAAACTGACTACATCACAAATCGCCAGTGTCTGGTGCAACCACCCTGGACAACACCATCGTGCTTCTTGCTAATTCCATTCTGAAATCTCGCAGAAGTCACCAGTCTTCTTCTCCACGCCGTCAAGGATGGTCAGTGGAAGCATCCTAGAGTTCACCCCAACCTTCCCAGGCTTGCCCCTACTTTCCATGTATTTCCGCCCATTCTCCGTCACCGCCCAGTGCGTGAGGCACCCGCAGTTTCCGCAGAAATAGAACCCGAGGTACCCCTCCGAGTCCTCTCGCACGTAATACTTCAGACCGTTATCACGACCCTCGCCTACTGATTCGGGCTCTGTTTGGGCAGGCGTGCCATCGGGGGCTCTCCTTGATCCCTGGGCATTAACGATGATGTTGATGTCGTCTGGGTGGTAGTATGCCCATTCTGCACCGTAGCGGTAGCAGATGCTGCAGCGACACTCATTGAGCTTGGTTGGCAGAGAGGGTATCTGGACGTTGACTCGGCCACAGTGACACTTGGCGGTCAGGCTGTCGGGATGCGCTGGTTCGGGGGCCGGCAGCTTGTCATCAGAGGGGAGTTTTGTACTCTCGGCTTGGTCGCTGGCAGCCATGATGCAACACACACGCCCGTGAAGGAATTCTCAGACGGGTAAAAGAGGAAATTTGACTGAAATCAACCCTCCATTGCCACGTCGAACTTGTTGCGATTTGCGGCTGACAGTGAAGCGGGGTCCATGGATGCCTAGAGCATCTGCAGCTCTGATAGTTGTTGCCGGGATACCTGGGATGCATAAAGTGGCGTCCGGTGAAACAATTTAGGGCACTAAATGTTCCAGCCAATCAATTGAGTCCTGCTCACAAACCTGCCGGAGTTTGAAATGGTTTGGCAGAGGTGATTGCAAGATCGCGGCTATGAGACAACTGGAGCGGATGTATTGTTGAACCTGACCTCTGCTAGTACCTACCGGGGGGAGGGGGGTAAATTAAGTAAATAGTACTATTATTTTAGAATAATATTAATATTCTCTTAAAACGTAAACACACTATTAATATAACTATATAATATTTAAATAATATAACGCTTTTTAGTTTAATATAATTTTATAATTAATAGTATATAATATACTATTAAGGGCCTAATATATAGGTAAAAAAAGGGGTTTAATCCTTACTAAAATTAAGTTTTTTTTTCCTTTTTTTCATCCCTAACCTAACTATTTATTAACTAATTTTTAACTTAATTACTATTATATATAAGGTCTATAAAGCTATAAAATTAAGGAATTATAAACCTTATTTTTTACTAACTTATAAAATCTAATATTAGTAGATTTAAGAATTTCTAATATATATTAATATAATATTAAATCCTAATATAATATTAACCTTTTAATAGATTTTATTTATAATAATATTTTATTAACTTTTTATTAATATTTAGTTATAATATTTAGATTTTATTTAAATATTAATTTTTAACATAATTATACGCCGATATTAGGGACCCACCCTCCCCCTGGTAGGTACTTGGTAGGTAGACTGCAGGAGGGTGGGCGGAGCTGAGATGGGACACCTTCTTCATCATTCTTGATGGTATATTTGGCCTCAGTTCTACGGGAATCAAGTCAAAAGTCTGGGTTAGACTTCACTACTCACGGTGATCCTTGAAGGCAGCACTTGAGTTGAAGAGTAGGTCTGAGAGTCACCCAGTTGAGCAAATCTGTTTGAAGCCTGGACATCGTTTGTCTGCAACCGGGGTCGGCAAAATCTAGAACACCTGGGCACTTAAATACATTCACTTCTGTTTGGGTCGCCAATTTTGTGTTGGGTGTTGTGACAATCACAAGTAGTGAACCCAGGAGGTAAACGGAAATCACATTTGGATTCACCTGGAGATGCAGACCTTGGCCACCACATGTGCACTTAATGCCATCTCTCCACGAAAATCTCATTTCTAAACTTGCACACTTTCTACCAACCCACACACACCCATTCCCACACCACCATCGTCAAGATGCTGCCAGAATCTCTCAATAGTGCTTTTCAGCGGTACAAGCGTGATACCAACGCCATTGCGACATGGTTGGCCATCACCGCCGACAACAACGGCCACCCAGTCTATACAAACGCCAACAAGACAAGTGGACGAAAGGGCAAGGCAAGGAAGCAACACAAACCATCTTCCATCAATGAAGACACCAGCTCAAGCAACAACACCAGGACCTACCTGGTACCACTTAAAGCCTTCGTACCTCTCGCCACCTTCATCGCATCAGTGAAGCCCAAGATTCCTGTGCCTCTATTCTTGGCGTACACCATAGACCGTGTCATTGATGTTCGGACAACAGTTGCCCAAGTCATGGGAACAAAAGAGGACGGCGCCACCGATGAATCTGTTGTGACTCATCTCCACTTTGTGGATGTTCTGAAGCAGATCCGAGACATCTTCAGGCAACAGATGGAGACAGCCACACTCGACATCTCGAGATCTCCAATCGCCGCCACCAATGCCTCCACCACTGGCAGTGCTGAGGGAACGCAGGGCCCCAAGTATGCGTCGCTCAACCCCTTCAATATCCTTGATGTATACGAGACAGCAGAGCAAGTCTGTGGCTCGGAAGGGACGACCCCTCCCGCGGACCTCATCATCGAATATGAGCCTGAGCCCCAGGACACATATCACGAGGCATGCCTAGCATTCATGTCGCTTCTCAAGGCCTTTCTACATCAGCGCCAGAAGGTACGAGAGATATGGCACAACTACAAGGTCGGCCGCGTCTTCCTTGCCCCAGCTGCCATCGGCACCAACGAGGCGATTGAGATCTGCCGGCAGATGGAGGAAGATGTTGCCGCCGTGATCAGCAAGGGATCAAACGTGGTTGATCTGTTGGTCTCCGTGTTCAAGATAATGTGTCAGTTGGAAGGCCAGGACGTCAAGATCCCAGGCCAGGGGCGACGTAACACGACCAACTGGGACACCTACGAGATTGCGAACCTCACAATGTCGCATGTTGGCCGCATTCTCAGCAACGTCGTGTCTGAGAACCGCAAGGGGGGTCTCGACATCTACAACGGCTCTCAAGGATGGTACGACAAGACCATGGACAGGGCGTCATCAACCAACCGCCAAAAGTATGCCAAGGACAACAAGGCTCTCGTCGAAGTCATCTCAGACATCCGAGTCTTCGGTATCATCTCGGACAAGAAGACCACCGAGGACGAGTTCACACGCGGAGTCCACAAGCTTCTCAACACCAATGAGGTGGCTCTGTGGCAATGCATTGCAGCTCAGATATACTTGGACGTGCTCTACGAGCTCGAAGCAACCCCGAACCTTGCATGGAGCGAGATGGCCGGAACGGCCCACGTGATCAGGACCAGCCTTGTCCCCGCGCTCGCCGACCCAGGCGACGTCCACCTCGTCGAGAACTGGCGCGAGATTGAACAATCCTTGTACGAGCTCGCGGGGGCCTCATCTGAGTGGGACAACGATCCCATCGCTCTTTACAAGAGCCAGCGCGGGATTCCGGCCAAGCCGAATCAGTTTCTGCGCCGCCATCCACTTTACTGTGGCGTATGGGTGCACGAGATGCGTGCCAGGTTTCATGAAGCTGGAGTGTGTTTCGCGAGTGCCTTTGGCTATGTCCACCAGATGTACCAGCTCTACCATGCTTTGCGGCAGGAGAAGCTGCTGGGGCCACTATCGTTCTGGAGGGATATGGTGAGCCTGTTCCAAATGGTGAGTCGACTTCTTCGAACCCCTGTAAAAAGGCTGTGTGAAGCCATTCCAATCATACCTGGAGTTCGTCCCAAGAGTATTTCATTTTCATATATATGGATGGCTGACTTCTTCCATAGCAAGAGCAGGCAACCTTCTTTGTCGGAGACGTCCCTAATACCGCCCAAGAGTACCTCGATAACCTTCGCCTTAAGTCGGGACTTGCTGTCCTCGATCGACCCCAGGGCAAGAACAAGGGCAAGAACAAGAGACTGTCGGTTCCAAATGGTGAGCAAGGCAAGCTAAGGGAGCTCGGCACGATGTCGATGATCTTTAAGAAGCGCTTTCGCAAGACCTCCAGCCGTAGGGACATTACGACCGAGTACGTGCAGAAGATCATCGAGTCCAATGGGTTCCGTTTCGTGAAGAGGAACCACGGCAATTGGGACTTGCAGCGGGCAGAGGCGACGTCTGACTCGGACCGGACTCCCACCCCCGTCATTCCGGCAACCCAGCTCGTCGTCTGCGTGACCATGGCGATGAGGGCCGAAGCTCACGAGGTGGCGTTCAACTACTTCCTGCTGCACATGGACTGCTTCAGAATCTTGGAAGATATCCGCAAGATGATAGGTGACAGCACCGTTCAACGGCTGGCTCCCGACGCCCCCAAACAGAAGTGCCTGCCTTCCGTTGTCGCCATGGTCTTCAGGGATGCTGCTGGACAAGAGCCAGAGGGATTGATGCAACATGCCGCGTCCATCATGAGAAACCACTTTCTGAAGCCTTCTTCCATGGCTTCCACGATGGGCATGAGAGACCTTGGATTCGACCCTTGTAGGTGTGCACAGAACACTGGGAGGGTGAGTGCTCCCACCAACAACTGTATGAACTTGGAGTGCGGGAGAGGATCATGTGTGTGATGCACATGTGAAGGAAGCAGAGGTCTGCGCATAGACGTGCCGAAGCGAGGGAAGGACTTGAGGGTTGCTTTCTTTTGGGGCATACATTCATCTTGGGGACGGTCAAGAGCTTATGAGCTCCGCTTCATTTGTTGTAATTTCTGCATCCGTGGAACATGAAAGAGAAAGAGACCACGGGATAGCGGACGATAGGCCGTGTTATTAGGAATCTCACGAGTGGTTGTACTTAGCCACCCCCCCCCCCCGGTTCAGGAAACCATCTGCCAATTGAAAATTAGGTACCTAGGTTGCTATCATGATATTCCTGGTAGAATGATTCCACAAGCAGTGTCAGATTTCTCCGATTTACCATTCAGGGCATTGGTATGCGCGTACTATGTAGGCTCCGAGGCAGCTTACCCCAAATACCTCGGGATCGATGACACTGTTGGCAAGGGGAATTTATCGGGTACCTGCTGCCTAAACGGGCTAGCCTATCCCAACTGATGCCCCACCCTGAATCGGTCCCCATCAATTCCCCGACGTTGTGTCTTCCCAAAACTCCAAACGTCATCAACAACAAACGCCTCAGGCCCTTCTCTATTGAACCCTGAACCCACCCCACCCGAGGCAGCTTCCACCAGTGTTGTCAGCAGACAGTGTTCCATATTCTCACGCCCAAATGGATGGCCTGCCTCAGTTGCTCCAGCTTCCAGATGAGCTTCTGAGCGTTGTGACTTGGCATATCCCAACAGCAGCCGAAACAGCAGCTTTCGGTTCGACCTGCCGACGCCTTCGCAAGATTGTCTGCACCTCGCCGGTGTGGAGGGAACACTGTCTTACAACATGGAACTACTGGGAGCCTCGGCATGAACTGCCAGCCAAGCTCGCTCTACCTCCGCTTCAGACAGACTGGCGACAGCTCTACCTCCAGCGTGTCAGCAGCGACCTCGAGGCGGTGCACGTCTTCCAAGACATGATCTCGTCGGAGCGGAGTAGGATGAGCCGCATGGACGAGATTGCACAGAAGGGGCATGATGTGCAAGACCTCCTGCTCAACCTGAAGGACCGAACCCCTGAGCACGCTGAAGATGTTTTGGCCAGGCGGTGGTATGCCGATGCCATTCTCAAAATGATTCATCGTTCGAGAGCTGTTGACGTGTGGAGGAGATTTCAAACGGCTCGCGACATCACTACCGAGGAGGCCCTGTGTGCCTTTGATACTTTTGTGCTCACAGACTCTCTGGGCGATTTTGCTGCCGTCGAGAGACATTTCGACAGAATTGCAAAGTCTATCCGCGACAGCACAGCCAATTTCGAAGACAAGACCCCCAGGGAGAAGGCACTTCTTATCGCAGGGTACCTGTGGTCAGAGGGCCTTGTCGGTATGTCTGCCCGGCCGCCTGATGTCACCAACTATCACGCGTTGCGCAACAATTTCATTACCATGGCGCTCTTTTCCACCCATACCTCATTGCCGCTGCAGTCAGTAGTTATATACTGTGCAGTGGCTCGACGGTGTGGTGTCATTGCCACCCCGTCCAATTTCCCGCGTCACGTCCATGCCGTCGTCCAAGCCCCTCCGGACCAGACAATGGACGGCGCACCGAAGACGTCAGGAACAGATCCCGAATTCATGCACATCGATGTATGGCAAGAGCCCCATCAGCTGAACGAGGACCTGTTGCGCCTCCGCCTTTTGCAGAACCACATACCCGTAGACGAGCATGACCGACAGCTTGGTCCATCAGACGGAGTAAACACGTTGGTCCGCGCCGCTCGGAACGTCTTGGTTTCTGTCAACAACGCTCGTTTGCACCAAGAAGGAGGTGACACGCCTTCAGACGAGCCCTCGTACGACCCAGATCCAACATCAGCACAGTACGCATCCTTTTGGGCCATGTGCTTGCTGCTCGATGAAGGTGGTGGGTCGATGCAGCGGAGAGAGTTTGTCCAGGTGCTTCTGCAGATATTCCTCAAGCAGTTCCCAGAAGATTTCGCCCTGTTCGAGGAGTGGGCATTGCCGATGCTCGAGGGGTCGCTGGACTACGGTCGGGCGGAGGAATTGATCGAAGAACTCGTGGCCACGGATGCCGAACCCATAGAGCCGAAAATCCGCGCAGCATTGATCGGCGAGATCCAGTTTCGGGTCGGTCAGCATTTTGAGCACCGCCGCTACGGCTACAAGGGCTTCATCGTCGGCTGGGACGGACGGTGCGAGGCTGACACGGAATGGATTGAGATGATGCAGGTTGACAACCTTCGTCGTGGAAGGTTGCAGCCTTTTTACAACATTGTTGCTGAAGATAAGAGCCAGCGATATGTGGCAGAGGAGAACATCGTGATCGACAGAGAACGGCCATCAGAGAAGCTGCTGCAGCTTGCCGGGCGGTATTTCAAGCGCTGGGATGACAGGGAGTGCAAGTTTGTGAGCATCATACAGGAGCAGTACCCCGACGACTGATGCGACCAGTAAAATCCCCTACCACCTTCCAGCAAGCACTTTGGCTTGTGCAACACAATGAGCGAGGTCTCGTTTGCCCACAACGGTTGCGGGCACAAGCTCGGGGGCTTCATGGCTTGACTGTCTTTTACGGAGTTGATATAATCGAATAACATTTGTGAGAGGCAGACTGATACTCAAGTGCCGTACGTCCATATGGCTTGTCTGCGTACGATGTGTTGCACCCGTGGACCTGTCGGCTGATGAGAAAACAGGCACGGTCTTCAGATTCCACAGAACTGCATATTTAGAAACAACCTCGGCAATTTTATCCTGATCCTACGTAATCATATACAATAGGGGAATGCTTCCCGATGCCGCGATGACACTACAGGGCCTAGTGAATCTTCTCTATTCGCACCTCCATCCCTGCTGGCCGCAGAGTGAAGCCAGGGTTCTCGACCTTAAACGGCTTGTCGATGCTCAGGAAGCGATAGCCCCGCACCATCTCAGCCAGGATAATCTTGATTTCGAACATGGCGAACAGTCTGCCGATGCATATTCTCGGGCCGCTGGAAAACGGCGAGAACGCGTACGGGTTCTGCTGGTCACCCTTGAGTCGCTCCCAGCGGGTCGGGTCCACCTCGTCGACGTCTTCACCCCAGATCTGAGGATTGAAGAGCGTAACGGATGGGCAAAGATCGAGGAGGGTGCCCTTCGGTATGACGACCCCCTCCACTATGACATCTTCGCTGGCTGCGCGGTGGTAGGTGGTTGCTTTGATGGGTCAGTCGCCAGGAGCAGGGGGTGACGATTTGGCCGGACTCAACTTACACGGCGAGTAAACTCGCATAGACTCCTTGGCAAAGCATTCGAGGTATGGCAGCTTGTCCAGCTCTGCAAACGACGCATCAGGCGAGACAGTAGCGAGCTCCGCACGGAGCCGGTCTTGGATGTCCTGCCTCGTCGCCATGATATAACAGCTCCACGACAGCATATTGGCAGAAGTGTCGTGGCCCGCGGCCATGATCTCCAAAAGGTGGCCCAGGAACTCATCCTCGCCCATGCCCTCCGTCGCGCCCCCGGGCCCGCTCTCCTCCACGATAAAGGTGACAAGGTCGCGCGACTGGCTCATCTCGTGGGTCCCCGCAGCCTTTGCAGCCGTGACCTCGCGGTATCGGGTGTGGATGATGGTCCGGAGCACGTCATTGAGCCACTCCATGGCGAAGAGAAACTCGCGGTTGGCCTTGAGGGGTAGCCAGCGCAGTGGTATGTGGCCGTTCGCGAAGAGCAGGATCTTTCCCATGGTTCCCGGGGCGAAGAAGACGTCGTAGGCCTCGTGGAAGGTGCACTCCCGCTTAGGCTTGGTCGTTCTGCCTGTATCGAGGGCTTGGCCGTTCTCATTACTCGTCCCGGGCTTGACGTAGTTGAGGTCAACACCGAGGACGACGGTGCCCATGATGTCTAGGATCGCTCGCATAAATGTGTCTATGCAGTCGAATGTCCCAGTCTTGCCATCATTGTTCGATATGCATTGGTCGAAAAATTGGCAGATATCACGGGCCTTGTCCTTGAATACTGGTTCGAGCTTGCGGATGCTCTTGAGCGAGAAGGAGTTCGTGAGCATCTTTCGGTGAGCGCGATGTTCGGCACCCTCCATGAGAATAACTCCATGTCCGGCGACTTCTTTCACTACTCGGAGAAACCATTGCGGCTTGACGAACGTGTAGCAGTTATCGTAGAGCACATTCTTGTGCGCGGCAAGGCTGTTCGGTACCAGGATCTCAGAGTTGAGGAACCCGAGATAGCGGATGAAGGGCGCATCTGGGTGCTCCTTCATCCATTCCACATAAAGAGTGGTAGGGGTTTCGGCGCGAATGAGATTGAGGCCCTGGCCAAAAAGGAGGTTGTTGTTCTTGGTTCCAGTCAGGCCACATGCGACTTCTCGTGCTCATCCCGGATCAAAGTGACTTACCTTGGGACCGGGGACATGACGTAGGGGCGAGAAATATTTATGGTAAAGGAAGATCCGATAGAATTTGAGCGCCAGATACTGTGCCAGGAAAGTATAAAAAACTGTATGCGAGACAGGAAGCGAGATCTGGTTCGATCCCTCGAACCAAAATCTCGCAGCGGCGAACCATTCGGCGGACGCAAGACCTGCACAGATCAGGAGATCCATAACTTTAGAATGTGAGAAACAGACCTCGGGAGGCACTGAAACTTCCTCTGGTGGTTGTACAGAAGAGACCAGAGGGAAAAATAAATGAAGCAGCGAATGGAAGAGAGCATGCACAGCTCGGGGGGTTCAATCGAGAGTTTTGGCTTCTGATACGCCCTATGCGCGGCCTCCGCTCTGGTGCTACCTATTGATGTTGCATTGTCGGCCGAAGGACGCATCACCCTAATTCATGGGGGCTACCATCGATCCGAGGAGTTTGGGTGTGGTGGATACACAACAGCTCAAAAGTCCAGCCCAACGGCTAAAATGCGCATTGGCGATTGATCGAGCTAGGTTCCTACTGGTAGACCCTGCCGTTTTCTCGTGCTAAAAATTCTAGATCCAAGCCCAGGGGGCGACTAAGCAAGCCATTATTCCCACAATCCCACGCAGCAAGATTTGCAGCCAGATTCCAGGGCCGTTGAACGGGGAAAACCCGCTCAATCCCACGTTGTTGACGTGCTGCTCACTGTAAGTGGGTAGCCCGATTGCTGGCCTGATACCCTGCAGACCGGCATCCCTTTTGAGAGGTTGATCGTCTGATCCCCCTGAAGGAAATGTCTGGGAGAGCCTTATATAGGGGGGCTTTTGGACGAGGAATGCCTGCACATGCTCTTCGCCTCTCTGCAAGAATCTGGAAATGCATTTTCCGCCGGCGTTGATGGCTGAAAGCTCTTCTAAATGCTGGTGCCCCTTTGCTCGTCGACCGTAGTTGGTAGTAGCCTTTTCTTTCATGCAATTCTTCGGCCTGTGAGAGTGCAGATGGAATACAAGTTCTAAGACCCCTCTCTGCCGTTGAATGCATCCCTTGTCTCTTCCATGGCGCAGGAAAAGCTCACTGGTCAGAAACTCATTGACCTCGCATCAAAGCAGAAGCCCATTCAGATTGGTGGTCTTCCAAAAGCAATAATAGGTCTCTCTGCGACTCTTTGCGTTGTCAGCGGGCTATGCATGATCCTGCGTATCTTCGTCAGAGCTTGGTTCTTGCGCAGGGAGCGCTCATGGGGTTGGGATGACACCCTCGCGCTGTTGAGCTTCGTGAGTTAACTGTCCCGTTGCCCAAGTCGACTCACTTCTGGCTAACGGCTTCATTTTCGTAGTTGACATTCGTGCCCGAGTGCGCATTCGTCATCATCGCGGCGAAATATGGGCTGGGTACCAGGGATGCGGAGCTCAATGAGCTCGTAACAGCACAAGCTTCCCTGATGATGGGGAACTGGCAGATGTTCTACGCTGCATCAACAAACTTGATCAAGGCTGCCATTGCAGTCACACTGCTGCGTCTCACGGACCAGCCCAAGTACCGTTGGCCCATAACCGCTGCTTTGGTCACGACACCCATCTTCACCGCCGCTGTGGTCATCGTCCTCATAATTACTTGCCGCCCTGTTGGGGCCCAGTGGGACCTCGACCTTGGGCCTTGTCCTCTGCACAACTGGCTGGCGATTCTCAGCTACCCCTTTACCGCGATGACCATCATCTTGGACTGGGGCTGTGCAATCATACCATGGCTTCTGATCAGAAAGCTGCAGTTGAACAAGCGGATCAAGAGGTCCCTCATATTAGTCCTTGGCCTTGGCGGCACTGCCAGCGTCGGTGCGATAGCGCGCTTACCGTACCTGAAACACTATACAATTCCAGAAGATCAGCTTTGTGAGTTTAAGGCATTCGCCCTGGGCTAGAGAGAAGATGTTGTTGCTGACATCAAACCAAGATTACATGGCCAACATAGTGATCTGGTCGGTTTTCGAAAATGGCGTTGGCATTATAGCAGCATCACTGCCGCCTATCCACAAGCTCTTCAAGTATTTCGATGACTCCTCGGCGGGCGATAGCACAACAGCAGGCGCCGGGGCCTTCGAGACCATCGGCGGGACGCCCCTCAGCCAGCCCTCGGGCGCCTTTGAGCTCAAGCCGCTGCGGAGCTCTACCAGGCTGACCATGACCAATAAATCTGGACAGTGGGATCGCCTGGATGATGAGACTCCCGGTCAGGAACACATAACTGTACGCAGGACTTTCAGCATAATAGAGGAGAATGATGCGGAGATGGCGCAAAAGGTCAGGAGTGAGAAATCTGGGCGGGCCGTGATTGTGCCCAGGTTGTGAACTAGGTACGAGCTTGGCTCGGGTGTCCGCCACGCGGCTTGGGCATGTTTACTTCTCAACCTTTTGCATACCAAGCTCCAATGGGAAAATTCTCTGCGGGAAGCTACCTAGGTATCCTATCCTTCTCACATTCCATATAACAGCCTATTATTTGCTTAGTAATAGTAGGACTCGATAGACTACATAGTTAAAATATGGGCTTTAGCAACAATTTCTCATCAGGATTAACAGTTGTATTCATGGCAGCAATTCCTCCTTGAGCAACAAACAATCCCTAGCTTCTAGTTAGTTCGCCAAACAGGCCACTGTCTACTTTAGGACCAAGACTACTCAAGAAGGAATTACTCTACGAGTCTTTCTTATGCGTAGATAAGCTTAGTACGTGAAGAAAGCCAATTCTAAGCGCATTCCTCTCTATGCTTCTTAATTCCCTAACTCTTCTCCTTCTTCATAGGTGCTAATTTAAAGATACTATAATATACCTTCCTTAACCTTAACCTCGTTCTACCTATGGGCATATAACTAGAGGGCTAATTAGAAGCTAGGGATTATTTGTTGCTGAAGGAGGAATTGTTACTAGAAGAATTACTGTTTATTCTAAGAGGTATATTAATACCCTCTAGTATTTGTTGCTAATACCTATAGACTGACGGTACGGTGTGGAAGAGAACTCTACGGGAACTAGACTTTTTATTACATTACAATGTCGTGGTGTAATACTGGTAAGCTTTGTCGAACAGACTGTGGTAATAATATATGTGATATTACATTAAAGCTTGCTTCTTCAACTTAGAAGTCGTTGGAATACTAAAACATTGCGAGATCCGTATGTGGGTTGTGATTTCTTCCCTCTCACAGGGCCAAGCAGAATGCGCGGTGCAACATTCAACCTCGATCTCGACATCTGGAATCCTTCTCTCAGCGGCCATAGCTATAGCCGGTCGCAACCATTCCCCAGAATTTCTCTGTGCCTCTGCGAATGGCAGCTAGGAAGTGAGCCCTAGACGCGAAGTTCTGTCTGGTCGAACCAGGGCTGTCAACCCCCGTTCGCGTGGGGCAAGCAGCTGGTCCCTGAGCAAGCCACTGCCTCCAGGCCTTCTGCTTCAGCACGTCGACGATAGTCTTCCTGCATCCGATATCCTCCAGCAGGTTCCAGGTGTTGTAGGCAATCTGGGGCTTTGCCAGGCTTTCCAAAACGGTCTGGAATTTCTCCATCGGGGAGGTCATGCAGAAGTGGGCGAGGATGATAAACGCCTCAATCCAGGCGTCGATGACCTCTCCATCCGTGGTTGACTCCGTCTTCCGAAACTCAATTGTTTGCTTCTCGGAGGCCATGAAGAGGTTGAAGAAGTTGTAGGCAGCAAAGTCATGTTTTCCGATGCTGGGATGGACGCGGAGCAGCTCCCTCAGCTGGTGGCGGTTGATGGCCTGCCAAATGGTGCCAAGGTTCTTCTTCTCTGTAGCCTCTGAATCCAAGAATTCCAAGACTGCAGCATGGTCGTCATCACGGCTTGCTAGGATAGGGCTATGATTCAGTGCAAGGTTGGAGTGATATCGTAGAGAGCGATGATGAAAAGCGCTGTTGGAAGCGCTGTGTGCAGGATGGTAGAGCTTGTCAAGCCGCTCCTCAGCTAGCCACAGGATTGAAGCCATCTGTTTGAAAGAAAGTAGGTCAAAAGCCTGCATCTTCTCCGGCCGGATGTGAACATGCATGCTGCACTCTGGAGTAAGGTGGATCTGGATTTGATTCTTGATTCTCTCGATGCATTTTCCGGGGGTTGGCAGAGCGCGCCAGGCGAGCAAGGTGGAAGCAGAGGCTGGGTCCTGGCTGACAAACGCCTCTTTGATGACAATGGTCATCTCCACAGCCAAGACGCCATCGTATCCTGGAAGTGCAATCTTAGGAAGGTTGCACTGTCTCTGCACAATGTTGAACTGCTTCCATGCCTCTGTCTTGTCCTTGCGTCGCTGATCGAGCTCGCTTTCGGTGCAAGTCGGGTAGTGTTCTTTGTCAAAGACCAGGTACTTCACCGCGTTTGCCACGCACTGCTGAATCCAAGCATCGTGAAACTCATCTGTGAAGCCTGGAAGATTGGTAAGTCGGGTAATTCGGACTATTTGTCGGTCTGGGTGTAGCCCGCGCTTCTCTCGGGGTGGCTCTGGGCTGTCCTTCCAGAGCCAGGGAACGTAGAACTGGAACTCTTGTCCTGTGGTCCAGAGGGCGGGAGAGGTATCGTCTTCGCTGGGTGTGGCACCGCTCTTCTGAATTGCTGTGGTGGACTCTTCTGAGTCACGGCTCCGTATCTTGGAGACGGCCTGCTTGAACCTCTTCATATTGCCGATTCCTGCAATTAGTTTCCTTGTCGTTGGGGGTGTAACGGGTTGGTGACCAAACACAGTTATCTGACTGGGGGTTTGTGGCCGTAGTTGTCTGACTGGCACCCGATCTGTGGAGTACGCAAAGAACGAAGCTTAACGAAGCCGTGAAAGAATTGATTCTAGGCACCAAGGACTTGGGACGAGTATGGTAGTGAGTGTGGACAGAAAGAAGACCGATTGCTGGAGGTCAAGGGGACACAGGTCTGGCTGTGTTGGTCTTCAGCAAGAAAACACGCGTTTGCAGGCTGCCAAATTCACAAAGTTGACAGGAAGATTGGGATGGGCTGCACACTTTTGCACCAGAGCTCCGTTTGTCACTTTGGTAATCGGTCGGACGCCCACCACCCACGGAAAATTCACACGTGTCGCCGAAACACTGTTCTGGAAATCACTTTGGCTGCTCCAGTCGAGATTTAAGTCTCAGTCTCGAATCACTTTCCCTAGTACTCCCGATGCTTATTACCCCATGCTGAGCCACGCCCTTCCTGTCCTCGCAGCCCTCCCAACAAGAAATACCAGAAAACAAAACAAAAGAAGAAGAGCCGTTTGCTGTCAGATGAGCCTCAGCATCCCAGAACTTAGACATGAGTTGTGATCACATCAAAAATGCTGTTCCTCCAACCCTGGTCACTCTCACCCTCTCGAATCTTCTGCTTGGCTTGAGCAGCCTCCTCATTCCACACCTTGACGATGCTGCCAGGAGCATAGACGCCCTTGAATACGCCAGTACCAGGCTCCACCAACCCAACCCTGGTGTACAAATCTGGGTCTTCCTCTGGCACAAGCCTAGCGGCAACAGCCTTGATGAAGGTCATAAGATCAGCTGGGTCAGCGATGCGAGTAGCCCGCAGTCTCTCACGGGCATACAGGAGCTCTCGGTTCGCCGCGTGTATCAGGTCTCCAATGGCCGTTGATATCTGCACCTCCATAGCCTTCCGGATAATGGGGACCAGGACAGGCTTCAGGGCAAACGCTGCATAGGCGAACTTGGACTTGCGGAGGCTGTAGTTGAGCTTGTGGATGTGAACGCGGACGTCCCGGAGGGACAGTATACTCTCGAGGCGCTCCTTGGCTATCTCGACGTCGATCTCAATATCGATACCCTTCTCGTCCAGCTCAAACGATGCGATGCCCTCGTCAGCGATCTCGAAAAGCCCCGAGCGCGTCCGCAGCCAGAAGCCGACCTCCTCAGCACGAATCGACAGACCGTCAATCTTGATGGTCATGAGCGACTGCACGCTTGAGGTGGTTCTAGTACGAGCTTTACGAATCTCTAGATCGTTCCGTGTCTCTATGCGAAGCCTGTATGGTAGGAACGAAGTGTTGTTGACGGTCACACCGGGTTCGATGACAAGGTTCTCGAGCAGGAGATCGACCTCCGGAGTCGAGACCTCGACTCTCGGTATCGGGACGTACTGGATCGCCTGCACAAACATAGGGACAAAGACATTGATGGCGTCAGTCACCAGCTCTGTGTTGGTGTACTGGTGTGCAGGCGAAAGTATTTTAGCGATGTACGTAGACGTCCGGATCAGCTTCGCAATATCTTCGTCTCTGAGCACAGATTGGAAGGTGGATTGCAGCTTGGCGAGAAGCCCGTCCACCTCATCCCGTAGCGAGGAATCCGAAGTCAGCTGCCGTGACTTTGTTCGTAAATCCTGGAACCTCTCCTCGGCATAATCAAAGAATCCGGGGTCGGTCAGCATCTCTTGGACGGCATTTCCTGCTTGCCGGACAAGTTGGTCGAACTCGGGGTCGCTCTTCCCATGCTCCATGAGCTGTTTGAATCTCCTCTCGAGCTCCGTCCACTCTTTGGCGTCACCAAATGACTTCAAGAACGTCCAAAAGTTTTTCACCGCCTTCTCAGTTTCCGGATTGGTATGGATATCCCGTTCGGCTGTTCCGGCCGTCTCTTCGAAGACATGCGAATAGACCAAGGCGTACCGTTGCAGGATCTTGGCCAACATGGAAACTGACTCGGAATAATCTGTGCGGCCCCTCAACTTCGTGACAGCCTGCTTCAGTCGGTATAGTAATGTGCTTTTCTCGTCGCCTTTGATTTTGTCGACGAAGCTGTGTTCGGCCTCCTGAGCCACTTCAGCAACGCTCTCCGCCACCACATTTGCAACCTCAGAAACCTCCTGTTGCAGTTCTTTGTTCGTAGGAGCAGAGTCGCCATCTGCACCGGGGCGCTTCAAGGCTTCTTGGTCTTCTTGGGACGGCTCGATGCGTTCAGCTGCTTTTTGAGACACCTCCGAGAGAGTGAAAGCTGTGTCGCGGAACACTTCACGCCCAATGGTGTTCAGATCGGAAAGAAAGATCCTGAAATCCGAATTCGTCAGCAGCAGGGTGCCAACTGTTTGGAGACTCTTGTATGCTGTAAAACTGTCAGCAGCTGGTCATGCCGTGACTCCTGCAGCCCACAAACCTGCTGCCGTCTGAGCCTTGGAGGTTGCCTTGGCTGTGCGGTTCGCGATATCCTCCATGTCCACAGAGACCCTTGCCTTGGTCAAGTACCAAATGAAGTCCTCGATCTGGTCATGGCCATTCTTGTGCATGAGCAGGTCCATGAACTGCTTGAGCCAGACCTTGACATAATGCACCAGTGCTCGTCCTGAATCACTGAGGTCCTCGTTCTCCGGATTGAGGACATCTGAAGCAATGATGGTTCTCAGGTTGACGATCACCTGCTCGTTGGACGGCATGAACCCCTGTGACAGGGCACGTAGCATCTGATAGCTGTGAAGCTTCTGGTGCAGCTCTCTCTGGAGAACTGTGTCATCGCGGTATTGTGGGAGGAGAGGATCATGGTCGTAGTCCTCTGGGAGTGAGAAGCAGGGGAGGCACCAGCAGAAGACACCCAGCACCTCTGTGAGTGATGCCATGATGGGTGACTTCGTGCCGAGACGTTGTGGATCAGGGTTGGTCCCAGTGTGTTGCAGATGAAATAAACCGAACAAATCAAAGGCTGTCAGGATTTCATGAAAGTTCTAAAGAGGATCCAGATACCTTGAATGGTCACGCCTTGTTGTTGCAAGTTGCTGCCGAACGATGACCTCAGGTGTGTTGACAGGGGAATGACTTCTGAACAGGTCAGGGGTGGCCTAGCAGTGACCAGGCGATGACGTCGAAGGTCAAAGCAGGGGTGACCATGCCAGTGGAAGTCGAGACCAAGTGGGGCTTAGGTAAGCAGTGCAACGACATCACTCTCCCAAGGCAGCAAGACATCTTGCTGGCATTGAATTCTCTAAAAGGACCTATCTTGTGCAACATCAAATTGATTCAAAATGCCACTTTTTGAATCTCTTTTGGATTGAACCTGTCTATGAGAGCCCTGGTGGGGTTGGGGCTTATGTAATTACATGCCAAGTAATGGAAATCAACAAGTGCACCTGCAACTGAGTGGCGGTCTAAGCAAGATGCACAACATGGAACTTTTGATTCATGAGTGATTACATTTTTGCAACCAGTAGACATATATAACTACCTAGGTAGTTATCATAACTATAACAAGCCTTTATGTTAAATCCGTTTAGCAGCTATTCATAGATAAATTATTTAGATATAATTATTAAACTTAAAAGAGTATATACTTACTACTTATTATTAATTAAGGACTTATAATATTTAAAAGAATATATTATATATAACGGTCCGGGCTTATAAGTAGTGAATTCTAAGTTAAAATAACTTAAAATTATATCTCTTTTAACTATAATATTTATAATATATTACTTTATAACTTTATTTTAATTCTACCTTATAAAGTTATAAGTTTAAGCTTCTATAATTTAAAATTCTTAATTAATTCCTAGTAAAAAAGTTTCTATAATACTTAAAGTAAGAAGAAAAACCTTTATTTAATAAATAACTAAGAAGTAAGTAGTCCGTAACCTTAACTAGTATTATATCGTTATTTTTAAGCTTTTTATAAGCTAGTATAATAATTTAATAATAAGTGGTTAATCCTTATAAATTAATATTCCTTTATTTTAAAAATAGTTTTTTATTTAAAATTTTTAATAAACTTTAATAGACTTTAAAAGGGAAATATAATAGTATAAGCTTATAAGTAATAAATTTTAAGTTAAAGTAACTTAGAACTATAATCTTTTAATTAAAGTATTTATAATAAACTACTTAATAAATTTATTTTATTATACTTTTAAATTATAATAATATTAAAAAGTAATATTATAATAGTATTTTATAATAGAATTAGTTTTATTATATTAATAAAAGCTTTAAAAAGTTATATATTTAGATGAATATTCTAAATATTTAACTTCTTAGATTCTTTAAGAACCTCTAATATTTATGTTTACTACCTAGGGAGGGAAGTGTTCCGTCATGGGTCCTTAAAGCTGTTCTATATGCTGCAAACTTGAAATAGCATGAATGCTATAACTTCTCTTTTATAGAGCCATGAGATGTTGGTGTCTGATTGCCAACTTACTTGTACCACTCTTTGATTTGTTGAGTGTGACTCGATCCTACGGGCACTGGTAGGACAGAGGGCATACTTGACAGGCTACCAAGGTCGTTTACTTCCGCTGGTGTGACAAAGCCACATCACAATAGGCGTAACACCTATCGTATTATAACTATTGTTATCGGCATCGTGTTCTTTCCAAGCGCTGGGTCTTGAGTGCTTACCACCGTATGAAGGCGCCATGTATGTCCTCGGACGTATACGGAATAGAAGCGAAACCACACAATAGGCGTAATTCAAAATTATGAGGTGGAACCCTGTACATTCACATTGATTTTGAAGAGTGCTGCTGAAAATCGTTCCAGTGAATCTGAGGCAATCTGGTGTGATAGGACATTTTCCTTGGGCAAGTAACAGGACATGTTCAAACAAGGCATCTCTATGGAAACTGAATTGGGCTTTGAGAGCATTCATGCTTTAAAGTTGTTCTGCAGATTCACAAGGCAGACGTAAGATCCAATGAGAATAAACATTTAATTAAACAAATCAAGAGATCACTAGCAAACTACCAGACATACTTTGCCAACTAGTCTCCAGCAGAAGCCAAAAGAGTGGATGAGACAGGGCATTGTCATGCCATGTGTTCTTGTACATCTTCCAGTTGAAGATATTCCATACGATCTCCCTGCACCATTTTCACTCCACAGTTTCCTGTAGCAGTCCAGAGGCCTCTTAGACACCAACCGGGTCGACGCAGAGGACCGAAAGTCCGAGCTGTGCCAGAGTGGTTAGCAGGTCACCCATTCCTTTTGCAAACCGGAGACCTTTTCACTTACGAGGCTGATGGTGCAGCACTTGGCGGTCTGTCCAGAGGAGGCGCAGATGCCCTTGAAGTCATCGGCATCCGCCGGAGCCTCGGAAACTGCGGCGCGGGGGGTCGTTAGTACAGACTTGCATGTCATCCTCGAACGCAATAGACCAGTTTCAAGTCTTGGGGCGGTATCTTACCAGTCGCGCAAGTCAGGTTGATAACGCCACCAAGAGCGTCAGTAGAGCAGCACTGAGGCTGCGAGTAGAGCAGAGCCGACTCGCAAGGGGCGAAGGCAATAGGGGTAGTGCCACCACCACCACCACCACCACCACCACCGCCGCCGCCGCCGCCACCGTTGTCTCCGCCGCCGCCGCCGCCGCCGCCGTTGTCACCGCCGTCATCGCACCCACAGTCGCCATCGTCACCACCACCGCCTCCGGTGTTGGTGGGAACAGCAATGGCGAGCGAGGCCATGAGAGTGAGGATGAGAGTGGACAGCTGCATCCTGGCGCTGGGAAGAAGACCCAAAAATTGGATAGTGGAGTGAATGTTTGACTAAAGACTGAAGACTGCTGATAGAAGCTGGAGCTGGTGATGATGCAGATGAGAGAAGAGAAATAGGCTCAAGAGACAGAGGATGGCCTTACTTATATAGTTGAGATCTTGCGCTCTCCTCTGTTGAAATTGCTGAGAACGGTGAAGATCGTCATTACTCACCATCCTTGATAACTAACTGGCCATCTCTCCAGCGGCTAAGATAATTTCCAGCTCGTGGTCGACCTTGCTGGTGCTGAATGCATCGCGGTCTACCGGATGGTGCCTTCTAGCCGAAGGATCCATGAAGCTTCCTGCAAATAGGAAACGATCGTCACAAAAATCGACTCGAGTGGACGGCCAGGCCTCGTATGCCGTCCAAAGTATCGTCACATCTGCATCCTGGACGTTCGGATCGTGTCTCCCGCACATCATCGAGCACACCGGTAGTCGGTCTCCATATGCCAAGCACGGTAAGTACACTGATTTCAAGCTTTCATGGTTGCACAGCTGGCTTCGGTTAGCCGTGCGAAGTCCACCACTGCGAATGCCAGAGTAGCGTGAGCGACCGCCCATGAGAGACGAGGCGAGATGGGCTGGCGCAGGGGGAGTTCAGCCACCCACTCCATAAACGAACGACTGCCACGGAAAGTGGCGCCAAGGCGCTTCGCCTTTTAGACGCCAAACTGAGGATACATTGGAATATACTTTGAAATATGAGTCGAGGGCGGTAAGCCCCAATTTCTTCGGCTACATTGGCAGTGGTGAGGCTCCCGGACAACCCGGGGAAGAATAAACTTCCGCACCATACAGCCTCACCCTGTACAGCGGATCGGTATCCGAACTGCAGGGAGCCAAGTCTTGACAGAATTCAGTCATTCAACTTTCGGGTGCTTGGATGCTACCACGGGAGCTCTGCCCTGAATTCACATCTCACAAGATTCTACCCTCGCGAATCTGGTTGCGCCGGCGTAGCGACATCCGAGGCCTAGTAACAGCATCCTATGTAGAGCCCGGGTCCCACCGAGCGCATCTCCGCTCGGCACACTTCCCAAGCTGGCCACAGTGCCAACAGCTGATGGCTGCAGCTGCACTAGCGCCACGGGGGGAAGTGCACAGCTCGTGAGCCGACGTGGCGGGGAGGCCAAGCTGTCAAATTGTTCGCTGCCTGCAGCCGCCCCAAACGCAGCCTCGTGATTTGGCACGACCGTAATGCAGCCAGTAATTACCCGCTGCATGCCGCCCAAGCGCCCCGGGCCTGCCCTTGCGGCCCCCATGGGCTTCTGGGCCGCCCGGCTGCCCGCCACCCCCATGCGTGCTCCCGGAGGGGCGGGTGTTGAGGCATGTCAGAATGCGATCGACGTTGGGCCCCGGGCCCCGGTTGCGTCCGAGGGCTGTACCTGAATATCACCCGACAAAACCAATATTTTGAGTTTTGGTTTCCTCGTGGCAAGATCCGTTGGGGGTCTCCACCAGCAATTCAAAAATGCGGGCTGCATGACCGGTCAAGGCTCAGCTCTTCTCGTCGAGTAATGATGTTCGCAAGGGAAAATGGGCAATTCGATCTCCTCCACCGGCCACAGTGTAGTAAATAGACAATAATAATTCATTGCACAGTGAGCAGTGCACGGCATGTAGTGTTGATGTAAATACAGGATTTGACACCTGCACACACACACACCTCAATCAATCGAGGCTCGGTCTTGCTGCAGCCGCAACGTCAGCACCACGAGAGGATGAGGTTGGCATCGGCTGGGCCTGTGCATCCAGATCTTTTTGGTTATTGCGTACGGCAGTCAACATTTGAAAACGACAAGCATAAGCAAGAGCTTATTGGTGGACAGTCAGCCGAAGCCGACGTGTTTCCGTCTCTGTTTAAAGCATTGATAATATTTCAGGCTGAAATATGTGATTGCCCGGTCTTGTTACTGCACAGCATCCGAAGACTCGCTTGCTACTAGTCAACTTATGGATGGATAGGTGTGGTCCAAAGGCTGCAGATGGTGATACGCGAGGGTAGTGTGCAGATGTAAACACGCCAATGGATTGCAGTTGCATGGGGTGTTTGGTTGATATGCAACCTGTAGCGCGAAGCATTAGGGCACCAGAAAACTCGCAAACAATGACATCGTCTCTCCCTGGAGCCGGAATACATGTTCCGCCTAGAGATATCTCTGACGAGGTGGCTTGTGAACCTTGGAAGCGAAGGTCGGCAACATACATGTAGTTGTTCTTACTGTATTTATTCAAATGAGTCTGTTCCGAGGGACCTGCATGCTAACAACACTTGAAGCAACCGGACGGCCTGTATTCTCCCATGACTGGCGGTAATGCTCGTGCGTTGACCATGACGACAATCAGCATAAATGCATGTGCTTTTATTAAATGCGGAGTGCAGAGTGCCCTATGAAAAAGGCCCTCGAGCAGGGCAGCAGGGCTTCTCCTGAGCAAGTCCAGCCGTCCATTTGTCCTACCCAGCAGACCCGTTGAATGTGCAATGTTACATCGGTTCATGTACCTAGGTAGACATTGCCTGGGCCTGCAATGGCCCACCTCCTGGCGTGTTCGGTTCTAGACTTGCTCGCCTTGGGTCAACCCCCTCCACGTGCAGGCATAGTGCTCACAAATGGTTAGTATACGGTAGATCTCATTACACGGCATGCAATGCAAGTAGGGTGACTGAGCGTACATACTCAGAGTCCTTTTGCATGGCACAGGCATTCTGAGTGACCAAAACTGCTGGTAGCGATGTTGACGAAACAATCTGCTCCAGCAGATTCGTCTTCGCACGTCAGGTACGTCGTTACAAATCCCCGAAAAAAGCTAAATGCGGCCCGCTCCATCACCCGGCAGGGGACCCTCATTTTGTCCGCGTGTTCCTTGTCAGCCCACAGCTGGACCCACCGCACCCGGCTCTTGAACCACGATTGGATCTGGTCGGTTCCTCAGTCATCGACTGCACCACAATAGGACGTCTCTGGAGACTTTTACTAGTGTGAACTCAAATTACGACGTCCAGGCAGCAGAGAGGTGTGAGACTTGCCACTAGTGTAGAGTTCCTCCTCCACCCAAGACAAGTGGCATGAACACCTGGGCAGACCCGTTGAAGCCAATGCAGGGCTTCACTTCCGAGTCTTCCGTGCTGGGCGTACGCTCGCTTGCCGTCAAATAGGCTCCTGGCAAATCTGCTTCGGGACATTCGCCCACATGGCCCGTCGAAAGTGCAGCTGGAGCGCTAAGGTGATCCTCTTGCCAGAAATGTCACTCCCACTGGCAGTGTGTCATTGAGCATACAATATGCCCACCCTGGCTACTCTATGCATGAATACCTGCAAAATCCCAGTGTCAAATACTGACGTGCGGCTCATCCATATTGTCTGGTAAATACCGTCTGGCCAAGCCGGGGCCTTCATTGGGTCTTCTCATGCGGGGAGGCCTGGCCCCTTTGATTCCCTGCCGCTTGGCTTGCAGAGCTGGATCGAATCTGCTCGGTCATTTGCTGGGAACCGGCGTGCGCTTCGGTAATCCTTTCCGCGTTCCTAGACCCCAACATAATTCGCTGTCGTTCAACTACGGTCAGCTGGGTATCGAACAAAACTGTTGTCGAGCGTTCGCGACCAATAGCTACTCACCCAGTTCGTGGGCCAGCGGCAGCCGCAAGCCTCCCATACCAGCTCTGTGCTCGCTTTGCCTGTCATTCCTCCGGTCTGCCCCCTGCTACCAGCCTCTAGTTTTCTTTCACACTGTGTTCACCGCTCGTTCCGGTAAGTCGTGACGAGTTACTGTCGGACTTGGGCGCCGATACCGCTCGGCTGTGCCTTCCACTTTCTCACACAGTGCTCAAGGAGAAAAGGGCTGTCTGTTGAGGATGATCAACCCAACCCGAAAGTTTGCCCCCACGATTTTCCCAGTGGTTGCCCATTTGGACCCGAGGTTGGGAAGATAACTTGAGTGGCGTCTTCTTATCGTCCACATGCGCAGAGCAACTCTTGCAGGACGCTCACTCAACCTCAGGTACATGACAGGAGTCGCAGACAGCTCGATATCACAACTCTTCTGCAATATCAGGTTTGAGGCCACAAACGCATGCCGGGGATTCGAGACCCGGTCGTGGAAATTACAAGCAGCTCGCTTATCCATTACCGACAGGCGTCTTTTCAAATTGCATTGTTGATTTGGTCAAAATTTGCGACTAGACTTGTTTGATATACAAATTTCGACCGTTGCATAAACGAACAGCAGGCTAAGTACCGACCAAGTGGATGACTGCAGACTGAAGCACTATCGAGATGAAGTGGTATTGAAGCAGTCGAGATGATCGGACCACAGAATTGGAGCAATAACAAGCATCATCCCTGCCACTCCTGCGGTAAAAGCGCCATCAATTGATCCTAGTAGATGTATATCTGTCCTGCCAAATTTCCCTCACACCACTTCAAGTTCTCAACACGTACCTGACTGAAGGTTAGCTCATTGGGGACTCAATTGACTTTTCCCCAAAGTCTGCCCTGGCCGTGGTTACGGACTTGACTCTAGGTAGAAGCGTCTTCTGATTTCACCTATTAGACTTTTTTTCCACGGCCGCTCATACCAGCGCTGAAGTCTAGCGCGCATGATTTCCAGCTATTGAAATGTGTCTAAGTTATATGATAATTTTGAATGCTCAATTTCTGTTACCCACTTGGCTTCGTTTGCAGTCCGTATACTTTCGAAGCCATACACGGATTCCTATTACAATTTAAGGTACCAGCACCTCTCTCTATTCCCATTTATTTAAGGAAACAAGTTGATGTCGCGTGACTATCTCTGCAATACAAAACAAATCAGTGCCGTGGATTTTAGACTTCTTGAAACTTTACTTTAAAAAGCAGTTAGAGTCAGAATAGGGCCATCTCATTGTCATTCTTTAGCTCCAGCTTCCCAAGGTTCACAATGAGCGTCTTCCCAATCGAGCCACGCGTTGTAACACTGCCACCTGGGCATTTACAGCGTCCCAATTCGGCCTAGCTACCTACTTGTTTAAGGATAAAACCAGTAGTATCGAAGCCGTTTCTTTCTCAATTGCCAAGGTTCTGCTGAAGCTGCAGGTTGGCCCCGCTCCAAATTTACTCCCATTATTTCAACCTGTGTGTGTACAGATGACGTTCTCCTCCTCATATGTGTCTTGGTGTTTTTCCTCAACTCGAACCACCTGAGTTCCGACATCCAACCCCATGGCACGTCGTGTTTCACGCCACTGTCTTTCATGCTACCACAGCCTGCGTGCATGCGTGCAAAGCCGTCAGGTGAGCTATGCGGCCAGTTCTGGCCCTCACGCCCCAAGAGAACCTCACAATCGATCGATCGATGGGGGGCTTTGGTCATACTTTGCTTCTTTACCCGCATGGTGTGCATCAGTCCTGTGTGCTTGGCAATTTGACATGTCTGCACGTTACCGACAGTACGTCGCGATGCACTGTAGCAGCTCAGGGGCGTATCCGCTAACCCTCAATCGTCCCACGGATCAGCTTGTCCGCCTGTAAAGTATATAGTCCTGACGCACTTTATTCAGCTTCAAGTCCGCCAAGTTGAGCCAGCTATTTTTGAATTCATGCTTAATTTGAATGTTACTGATTGTTTCTGATAAGAATTTCAGAAGGCTACCTTGATCTCTTTATTCACTCGACATCCCATATGGATGAGCCGTACTGACCACAGTGACCATAGTTTCAGAATGTCTGCTGAAAGCATGCTGCAATACTGTGATTCACATAGTTTTAATCATGACCTGTATTGATCTGTGTCTACTTGCCGCGTTGACTTTAATGTGAATGGATTGAACAGAAGAAAAAGCAAGTAGAACACTCTGATCAAGCCTTTTCACATGAGCGGACTGTCGTTGTATTTAAACTATAAACAGGCTTGGCAGTCATGTGGTAAAAGTGCAGCGTACTGGATCCATCCCGGGACAGAAAATTAATATGTGAAGGAGTTCATGACGTCCCAAGGTTGCCATTCTGCAGCCACATGTTCCGTGGACCCGGCGCTGAACGCCGGCCCGCGCCCGGAGGAGCACGTCATGCGGCCCCGCAATGTGGATTAGCACTCCGAGTCCGGCAACTCAACACCTTCCAGGACTGATAATAGAACCTCTCATCTCGCACAAGGCTACTACAACACAACTTCTTGCACATCATCACCACAAGATCAAGTTCAGGCCCAAGACACAGAAAGACAACACCACAATGCTCCAGCTTCACTGCTCCGGGACCCCCCGAGAGGCAAGTCAACACTCCATCAAACCACCGCCCTATGCTGTCTTTGCCACCAGGGCTATGTACTGACACCAGCCACAACAGATGGGTCATACCCACGGCCACAACGCCAAACTCCAAGTGCACGGCTCAATCAACTTTTACCGCAACCTCTTCCAGCAAAAATGCGCGCTAGACTGGCCGGCCGTGACGCGCGAGGCAGAGAAGTACGTCCCGCAGCTAGAAGCCACATGCCCGCGCTACCTGGACGAGATGCGCGGGATCGGGGAGGGCGCGGGGGTTGGATTTTTGGATATTGTTGCGCTTAACGTGCGCACGGAGATTATGTTTGGGTTGTTTACTGAGGCTGAGGCTGTGAGGGCCAAGGGGGCCGGGGCTGTGATCACGACGGCAAACGGCAATGGGGTTGTCAATGGCGAGCACAAGACTGAGGATGAGAAGGACTTCCCTAGTGACGGGTGCACAAGCCTATCCCTCCACCCACCCTCATCCTCATCAGGATCCTTCCTCGCCCAAAACTGGGACTGGCAACCCGCCCAGTCGCCTAACCTGATCATCCTCCACATCACCCCCTCCCCCTCCCCCTCCCCCTCCCCACTCCCATCCATAGCAATGGTGACAGAAGCCGGCATAATCGGCAAGATAGGCCTCAACTCCTCGGGCGTGGGCGTCTGCTTGAACGCCATCCGGGCCCGGGGGCTCGACACCAGCCGACTCCCCGTGCACCTGGCGCTACGCACCCTGTTGGAGTCACGCTCCCTGACAGAGGGGAAGGCTGCCCTGAGGAAGCTGGGTGGCGTCGCGGGGTCAGCACACATCCTCCTCGCGGACCCAACTTCCGCTGTGGGGCTGGAGTTCGCGGGCGGGAGGGAGGAAATCGGGGAGATCTTGCCTGATGCGAAGGGACGGGTGGTCCATACAAACCACTTGTTGCTGGAGCACCCTGGGGTCGATGAGCCGGGGTGGTTGCCTGATTCAGGGGAGAGGCTTTTGAGGATGGGGTTGTTGACGGATAGTGACCAGGAGAGGGAGGCGCTTGTGAATGTCGCAGGGGATGGGGTCAAGGTCGATTTCCAGAGGGTGTTGGAGCTGTTCAAGGATGAGAAGGGTTTTCCCTGCTCTATCAACCGGTTGCAGGTCAAGGAAGGGGAGTCGCAGACGTTGTTTAGTATTATTATGGATCTGGGCGGAAAGAGGGCGCTGATAAAGGTTGGGAGGCCTACTAAGGATGGAGAGGAGATCTATTTAGGATTTAAGTGATGGTAAATATTAATTATTACATTTTATATTATTATTTCATATTCTTGTTTTATATTATTATTTCACAATATTATTTCATATTATTTTACGTGCTACATATTTTTTATTTACGTTTTAAAAAATATTCTAAGTCTTTATTAAATAGTTAAAAAGAAAATAATATTACTTTAAATTCTTTTATATACTTTAAAATCTATTTAAAATAGTTTGCTTTATTTATAAAGTTTTTATTTGATTTTCATTTTATTTAGAATGAATTTCATCTGGCAGACGTCTTGGTAGGATATATGGACCACTAAAGGAAGTAGAACGGGCGTGAGTACATCGTTCCCCGCATACATCATCATCTCAAATAACACTGAAGTATGATTGCGGGGTCGGGAAGCAGGTTTCAACGAAAAAATGGCCGAACTAGATATTCAACACAACCAATGTCGAAGCACATGTATTCATAAGAGGCAGAGCTTGACGACATCCTAACTAGGTAAGGCCCAGGAAGCCACAGTCCAGCATGCCCTTGGCCACCTGTGGCACTGATTCCGCCAGCTCGTTCAGGACGGCCAACAAAATTATTTAGAAGTCTGGACCAACTACCTGGCATTAAACTTCGTCAGCGAGGACCGATAGGTTTTATCGGCAACATAAGTACGATGTAGCTTCTTCCTCGGATCATAGTACACCCCTGCAGGTGTGGTAGGACAGGTGGCGCAGCTGTCCAAGAGGCCTCACGTGGAGTAAGCCGGCAAATCTGCCTCTGTCCTTGCACATGGTCCAGTGTGCTCACATCACCTCATGCACATTCCATGTTCATAGTCTTGAATCACAGTCCCCACTGCCAAGTCGAACCTCGGATCAACGAGCAGATGATTATCAATTAAACATGTACAAGCCCTTGGGTCAAAGGCAAAGAACCATCCGCCTTCTGACTTTGCTGCCTGGAAGCGGGGAAATATGTTGCAGACTGACGGTGAGCTCACTGGAGGATGCGAGGGGGAGATACAAAGCACTTTCGTACAACTGGGACCCACCTGAAAAAGCCGCGCAGCAAAGGATTTACTTCGAGAAGGTTGGGGCGGTCAGCGTGATGCCAAATCTTCATGCGGCCTTGTGCAGACTGAGAGATGCTACAGACGTCGTTGTCCTCTGGGTTGACCGGCTTTGCATTGATCAAAAGAACACAGAGGAGCGGACGCACCAGGTTGGTATGATGCGAGACATCTATACTAATAGTATTGAAGTCATCGTTTGGCTTGGAGCAGAAGGGAAGACTGGGGTCAGCCGCCAGCCCATCACCGAATTTTGGGGTGATGAACGAGACAATCAGCATATCGCCAGCCACCTGGGCCGCATGTATATACAAAATCAGCGCGCATCAGAAGACTCATACACGGGCCTCATGACGAACATGTATGGTGCATTCTGCATGATCTCCTTGTTGGCCCAAGGCCTCGAGGCTTCTAAGATCTGGTATCTCAGGAGGCTGGATTACGCGCCAGCGATAATTCAGGGACTGAAAGCCCTTTTGGGTATGTCATGGGTACGTCCGACGTCGTTCATATCTTGTCTACCGCAAAGTGGACCTTTGGCTGACTGAGGCTTGCCTTTTGTACCCAGTGGACTAGAATATGGGTAGTCCAAGAAACTGTAGTGGCTTCACGTGCTATTGTATTTTGCGGAAATATCTCAATGCCATGGGAAGTTTTTTCCAGGGCAGCTTATCAAATATCGAGGCACAGTGTCGAACTGCTTGGCCTTATCCCTGCGAGAACTTATGGCTCCACATTGTCTTGCTTTTACCGACAGATCAACGAGATCGATTACACAAGGGCATCATGGAACGCAGTCGAGCCCTCCGCCCTACTTCCGCTACTGAGAAAATTTCGGAATAGGGATGCAACCGATCCGCGAGATAAGGTGTTCGCTCTCCTGGGACTAGTCAAATATTGGGGCGGGAGTGACCCACTTGAACCTGATTATAATCAAAGACTGTCTCTTGTTTACTTGGAGACGACAAAGCATCTTATTCGGGGGTACAAATCTCTTGCAGTCTTATCAGGGACAAAGGCGAGTCCGCAAACCCTTTTCAAGGGCTTTCCGACTTGGTTGACAGATTGGAACTACGTTCCTCCTACCGATGAGGCGGATAGATTGGGCACTCAGCATTTGTACCAGACTCTCGGAGATGCTGTGGGTGGAGTCAGACTTCACGGCACGACACTATTGGAGATCAGAGGGGTTCGTGTTGATCGTATCTCCTCCACGTTCAGCAGTGATCCCCCTGTGGAACTGGGCCAGGACGGGCAAAACATCAACAACACCAATACGAATAAAGCGAAGACGTTGCACAACATCTGTTCGGAGTGGTGGGAACGTGTATCAAGGCCGGCCAGTGCCCTCTATGAATACGGAGCGTCCGAGATAGCAGCCACGGTCTGGGATGCTTTTTGGAGAACTTTATGCGCCGACCTGATATACTTGCCCAGCGCATTCACAGAAAAGAACAAGTTTAGAAGGACAAAGCCGGCAGATTCTATTTCATTCGAAAAGTGGCGCACCGGTCAAGATTTGGCATCGGACCATCGGAGAACGTCCATCGTGCATGGAATGTTCATCGACAGCGTGAGTGAAGAGGATGTAGAGGCTCAACATAATTATGAGACTTTTCATCGTTCCATTGAGTGCGCCACTCGTGGCAGGAGTTTCTTCCTCACTGAGAAGGGCGGGATGGGACTGGGACCAGAGACTTGTCAAAAGGGGGACGAAGTGCACCTAGTGCTCGGCAGCCGGGTCCCGATGATCCTCCGAGCCTCTGATAGAACGAGGAAGTGTGAGGGCAAGCGGGTCGAGAGGTTGGTGCTGTCTGCTGAAGAGGAGAATGTTATGATAGCGGCAGGTCGGCCAGGTGCTGCTGAGACCTTGAAGGCGCGCGACAGGGCTAAGGATTCACGTTGTTACGAAGATCATGCGGGATGTTTCGCACTGGTTGGCGAAGCCTATGTGCATGGCATTATGGATGGAAACTTACGATCTGAGGATGCACCTCGTATATTCCTAGTATAGACGTTTCGCATTGCGAAAAGAGGGGTCAATTCAGAGGTAGTGAAGATGCTGTAACTGAATTTCGAAAGGAAATTTATACTCAGTCTAGTATTTATATAGTTTATCCCCCCCCCCCCCGTAGTAGGCTTTTAATGCTATCTCTTTAAATATTATATTAGGAATAAAATCTTAAATAGTATAAAGATTTTAATAAAGTATTTTATTAGTTTATAAAAATAGTTTATTTTATAAATATATTAATAATTATCTCTTTTAAATATAAAGTTAAAAGACCTATAATTATAATTTTATAATTAATTTTTATTTAATTAATTTCTTTTATTATAATTTAATTTAACTTACTTTAACCCTCCTTTTAAGTTTTACTTATAATTCCTTAACTTCTCTAGAAATATATTAACTATCTTAAATATTAATAACTTTTCTTTAAAGTAGAGGTTTACTTTTATATAGTTATAGATTTAATTATTAATAATTATTTCTTTAATTATATAATAGAGTTATTAGAATTATAAACTTAAATAATAAAGTATAATTACCTTATTTAATTATATTTTAATTTAATTAAATAACTATTTTTAAATAGTTTTACTTATAATATAATAAAGTAGATAGTTTTTAGATTTATTAAATAGATATTTACTTAAATAGAGTTAGAATCTTTAAAGGGATAGTAGTTTTATTTTTATTTATTTTAATTAATTTATTTTATATAATAATACTTATTAATATTAAATTAATTTATGGTTTATAATAACTTTAATTTTTAATAAATTAATTTATATTAAAATTAATAATATTATTTTAAAGTATTTAAATATAATTTAATATATTAATATAGGAAGGTATTTTTAATAATAAATAGTATTATAAATAATTATAAACTTATTGTAAAATACTTTATATAATAAATTTAATCAATTTAATTTTAAATAATATATTATATTTTATTTTTAAAACTTTTATTATTTATTTTTAACTTAATAATAAAATTAAAAATATAAATAATATATATTAATAATTATATTTAATATAAAATTAAAATATATTATAATATTATTAATTTATTCCTTTTAAATATAAAGTTAAAAGACTTATAATTATAATTTTATAATTAGTTTTTATTTAATTATATTATATTATTATAATTTTATTTATCTTTATTTAAGCTTTTTTTAAGCCTTTTTAATATTTTTTTTAAAGGAGTTAAATTTAAAGGGGAGCTTTTAAGCTTAAATTTAGGATTCTTATAAATTTTAATTTCCTTTAAATTAGGTTTATAATCTTTTAACTTTTTTAAAAATATATTAATTATTTTAAATATTAATAACTTCTCTTTAAAGTAGAGGTCTACTTTTATATAGTTATAGATTTAGTTATTAATAGCTATTTCTTCTTTTATAGAGCTGTTAGAACTATAAACCTAGATACTGTGTGTAGTAATAGAGTGTGGTTGCCTTATCTGGAGGTTGTCTTTTGGTTTGGTGGGCTGAGCAACTGCTTTTAAGTGGTTTTGCTTGCAGTTGGGGGAATGGCAGCTTTTATCTTCGCCCATTTCAGCCAACTTGCCTGAGTCATACGGCGATATCGCATATAGTGCTCAACGGCGTTAAGATTAGGTTAGTAGGCGGCCCACCTCCCCATGAGTACCCACCCTACTTCTTACGCTGATCTGCTTGTTGGCTCTTTAGAGCATATACTACACCGCATTACCCTGTGCGTTTTCAGCTAATTTTGGAATATAAGGCAGCCCGCAGTCTACAATAGCTTTAACCTTTAACAAACCGATTTATATTAAGGCTAATGGTGCCGACCCAAACCAGTATAGCCTAGCGCATTAGTATAAAAAGGTATCTTCTAATAATAAATAGTATTATAAATATAATAGATTATAAAGTTACTATAAAAAGTTTTATATAATAAACTTAACTAAATTAATTTTTAAAAAATATATTATATTTTATCCTTTTAAGACTCTAACTATTTACTTTTAGCTTAATAATAAAATTAAAAAAAATATAAATAGTCTATATTATTAATTTATTTATTTTAATTATTATAAAGTTATTATAAAAACTTTATATAATAAACTTAATTAAGTTAGTATTAAAAAATATATTATACTTTATTTTAAAATACTTTAATTATTTAATTATAATTTTAAAGAAATGAAATATATTTAATATTAATTTAATATTAATCTTAATATTATAATAAATATATATAATTTTAACTTTAAAATATATTAAAAGTTAATATTAAAGTATATTTAAATTATAAGTAATTTATATTTTTAGATCTTTCGTTAAATTATATATAATAGTAAGTAGGGCATCCTTTTCTGCCTAGGTTGCTAGGTAGCCTCTTTGAGGTTACTCACTGATATTAGGGGTGTGCCCTGTATATCATAGGTCTGTCCGGGTGGTTTTGGTAGGGAACATTAATACATCAAAAAGATTGCCGTGATATTAGACAGTTCCGTAACCTGCCAACCGACCCGCCAACGGAGAACTCATTGCCAACGAGAATTTAGAGATGCAGCAGCGAATCTTATTACGCTTATCATCTGTAAGAATTAAAGTATGGCCCTCCGATTATGTGCAGGCATCAAAGCACTCCTCAATCTGACCTCATTCCGATTCAGACCATTGAAGATAAAATTGCGTCCATTGATTTACATTTCGCTTAAACTCTTTCTAGCGTAGTGTCGGAGCCGGGCATCAATTCGGGTTGCAATTTATCCGAGCTTATCTGGTGTAGCTCAGAGCCCGCTGTGAAACGACTGCCCGGGTGCCGCTCATCTCTTGGCATCACCACCTTGACGATGTATTCTAGAATCTATCTTCCTTCTGTCCATCCTACAGTCCAAGACAAAAACATTTCTGGAAATCATGTCATGTAAACAGCTTCTGCTAGCAGCCTTCGCGGGGCTCGGCGTGGCTCAATTCCCTCCAAGGCCAGAAGGGGTGACAACACTGAAGTCGAAGCTGCATGAGAATGTCACGCTTTCATTCAAGCAGGTCAGTGGAATTGCCCGCGCAGCCGATGCTTGCCAATTGACTAACGAACAGTCCATATCAGCCTGAGATTTGTGAGACAACTCCAGGCGTCAAGTCGTACTCTGGATATGTCCATCTTCCGGAGCGGTTTCTGGACGACGGCAGTGGTGAACTGCAGGACTACCCAATCAACACGTAAGCTCCTTAAAGCAGCTACGCCGCGTTCATCAACGTCTTCTAAATGCGCCCAATCAGATTCTTCTGGTTCTTCGAATCTCGGAAAGACCCCATCAATGCGCCGCTGGCGATCTGGCTCAATGGTGGTCCTGGCGGCTCCTCACTGATGGGGCTGCTTCAAGAGAACGGCCCATGCTTCATCAGTCCTGACTCCAAGTCGACATATCTGAACCCATGGAGTTGGAACAATGAAGTCAATATCCTGTATATTGACCAGCCGAACCAGGTAGGGTTTTCGTATGATATTCCGACCAACGCGACTATGGTCGCTGTCGCATCTGACTCCTGGAATGGATATGATACCATACTATGGAATTCGACCGACGAGATCCCTGGAGCCAACCTCACCACCTACCCGGGGACGTTCGCTAGCCAGAAGCCCCTGAATACAGCCAACTCGACCGCCTTGGCTGCACATGCGCTTTGGCACTTCGCGCAGACCTGGTTCTTCGAGTTCCCTTTCTACAAGCCCCACGATAACCGGATCAGCCTTTGGGCTGAGAGCTACGGAGGGTAAGAGCCTCAAGTCTCACAATTCATGAGTTTTGCCTAACCTGTCGCAGCCACTATGGGCCTGGCTTCTTCAGCTACTTCCAGCAGCAGAATGAGAAGATTGCGAATGGGACCATCCACGATAAAGACGCACACTATCTTCATCTAGACACCCTTGGCATAGTCAACGGCCTAATCGATGTCGCAGTCCAAGGAGAGGCTTTGATCACTTACCCATACAATAATGTGTGTATTGGGACTTCTACTTAGCCATGTATATGCGCGACGTCTAATTTGAGTGATTCGCAGAGCTACGGATTGGAAATCTTCAACAAATCTTTGCATGACGAGCTCTTATACAACTGGACACGACCAAACGGCTGCAGAGATCAGGTCAAAGCCTGCCAAGCTGCGATGGAAGGCCAGGGTCCCATCTTTCTTAGCCTCGAGAACAAGAACTTGAGCCAAGTTTGTCTCGAGATGGACCCCGGCTGCCAAGGCATGCCCGCTGCCCAAGTCTACCAAGAGCTCGACCCGAGCGCCGGGTGGTACGATGTCGCACACCCGAAGAACGACCCCTTCCCACCACCCCACATGCTCGGGTACCTGACAGAAAGCTCGGTGCTTGCCGCGCTGGGCGTGCCGGTCAACTTCTCAGGTACCGCAGAGGCCGTGCAGCTGACCTTCCAGAGCACGTTCGACATCATCCACGGGGGCTTCCTGGAGTCCATCGGATACCTCCTCGACTCGGGAGTCAAGGTGCACATGATGTACGGGGACCGCGACTACCCGTGCAACTGGGTCGGGGGTGAGGCAGCCAGTCTTGCCGTGCCCTATTCGAAGGCGGAGGAGTTCGGCGCTGCCGGTTACGCTCCTCTCGTCACGCCCGAAGGTGTTCAAGGGATGTCAAGACAGTTTGGGAACTTCTCTTTCACTCGAGTGTTTCAGGCAGTATGTTACACCAATGCTCTCGTCTTTGAGAGTCCCTCAGTACTAACATGTGAGCTCGAAGGGTCACGAGGTACCATCGTATCAGCCTGTTGCGGCGTATGAGATATTCAAGCGCGCCACATTTGGCTTGGATGTCCCGACTGGCTTGATCCAGACCGATGATGACTTTGCAACTATCGGTCCGAAAGATATTTGGTTCATCAAAGGTGTGCCACCGACTCCTCCCAAGCCAAAGTGCTATATTCTGAGCCCGATGACCTGTGTTCCAGATGTTTGGAACAAGGTCCTTTCTGGCGCGGTCAAGGTCAAGGACTGGTTTGTCGTTGAGACCGATGAGAGCGGAAATGATATATCACGTGTCGGTTCTCAACAACAGGTTATGGAAGAACTGTAGTATCGTTAAGCTTTCAGCAGTGGCAGCCTTGGTATACACACTATTATCCTTACCTAGAGGTATGGATGGTTGAGTGGTCTCGCTCAAATGTTCTTAATCCGTATGCATGTTGAAGTCCTACGGTCCCTTCACAAAGTGGTAAACGCTCAGCAGATAGATGGCTGATCTCTCTTTGCTACATGTTTGCCAGGTAGACAGGAGGCACTGTGATGGAGTTCGCCCTTGAGCGTCTGATATTGCACCTATGAAGTGAGATGACATCTGGAAGGCAAGTGGTCGACTCCCGGCATTGGGAACACGCACGTCTGACCAAGATTTTCTACATCAAAGCTTCCTCGATTCCAAAAGTTATGGCCTTTTTGTATTTTTTCTTTCCACTACTAAGCTGGAAATTCCAAAAGATATTCATGACTCCCAAGTCTTCGCGTCACAATACCACCAGTACTCTGTGTGGCATCTAACAAGTTCTCGTGGCTTCAAGCGGCAAATCGCGCCTGCTGGGTGACTTGGGTACCACTTGCTAGGGACCTAGGTAACCGAGGAAACGGGACCCGGGGTGTCTGAATGCGGAATGCAGGTCTTCCAAAATAAACCCTTAATAGTGCCTGCATTCATGCCTCAGGCTAGTAAGCTTAGGACAGTCGGACGCATGTCTTTGCCCCAGAAGGACCGGGTTTCCCTGCTGGCTACCGTATCCCAGACCATATGGCCCTGTATGGCCCGTGTCAGTTTGGTTTTTAAAAGAGTGTCTGTATGGCTTAGACGAACCTCACTATTTGGCACTCTCTTCATCCTTGTTTCCACTTCGTAGGAGACAGTCCTCTGCGTTTCACGATTCGGGCCCCCTGTCACAACACCTGCGTACCAAGTGTCTACCTCTGACTTAGCAGCGATACAAAACCGCAAATAAGGTATTCAAATGAGGGGCAATCATACAATCTGTCTGAGAAAATGCCTCGACCTCAGCTCCACGAGCATACTCAGACGGCATGATTTCAGTTGAGAAGGCTTGTCGATTCGATGAAGATATGTTTCCTTTGTGGAGATCTTTCTGAAATCGTTCCCTGTGGACTGCTTGATGTTCGGGGGTTTGTGTTTCCCTCAAGCATTTTCTAAATAAATCCGATCTTTTATAATGGCGCTCATCGTCAGTGAACACGATAGTTTGGCCACTCACTAACCCTGCCAGTCACTAACTGTGACCCATGATCGTCTGTTGTGACACGAGCCGTGACCAACAGGGGATTTTCCAAAGAAAAGCAACCAAAACTCTTGATAGCTGTTAGCAAGGCTTTGTTTATAGTGCTTTGTTAGGATTATTCAGTAATTCCAACCTACACCTTCACTGGGCGCAATGTCGCCTACGGTTCAAACCTCCAACCAAGCAACTGACATCCAACTGACCGACGCTTACGTACGTGAAGAGAGCCAACAGTCAGTAGCCAAAGGCTGGTCACTGCCAAATTCGGATCACAGTCGGTTTTCCCTACCGTAGGGTATCTGAATGCCCACCTCCATCACGCGTTTTTGACATCGTATTTTAATCTGTATCGCGCATCATCCAGGTACCTAGGTAGTCCAAAGGTGGATTAACGCAGTGCAGTGGCTGGTTCCCTGGAGTAACTAGTTTCGATTCTATTCCGTACACGTCGGAAGCCATACACGCGCTTTCTTACCGTGATAAACGCTCTCCGTGGGGTAAACTCTCCTCATAGATGTATTACTGTATGAATCGCTGTATGGTCCTCTTTTTCCCCGTGAAAAAGCTTGAATTGGCCGTCCAAGTGAACTTTTAGTTAAGCAGATGAGTAACCTTAATAACTCCTCAGTCTTCCATTCATCGATGCTACGAGACAATTCTCCAGGACAAGGCTGCTATTGTAGCCTTACTACAGCAACGTATGTCTTACTTTGCAATTGTTCGTAGTAATTGAAAAAGGCTCGAAGAGCTTTGTGAAACGGACACCTGCCCTACCTAAGTAAGTAGTCTCATTGACGTGGACCTTGTTTTCCGGTATAACATTTTCGGCGGGATGAGACAAATCGATATTCAACGGATGACCCTTCTCTTTATTGATATCATACTTGGTGAACGGGGGCCGTTGGTCCGGTTGGGGATCCGTTCGCATCAATTAATTAGATTACACTGTCCTCGTGATTCAAGTAGCACCCGCACAAGTCATTTGTATAGCCGGGTGCAATCTATCATTGAATATATAAAGCGCTGGGTCTAGAGTGCTTACCACCGTATGAAGGCGCCATGTATGTCCTCGGACGTATACGGAATAGAAGCGAAACCACATATAAAGCAGCTAGCTGCTGCAACATTGAAGCGCCTTGTCACTCAACATATCCTCAGGTTAATTGTACCTAATTAAATCAGTAGACAACATCAACCCATGAATACAAAGGTTGGATCCATTTCTCTCATGAAGTCGTGTTGAAAGAATACCAACATTTATGTAAAGATTGTCTCTCTACTAATATGGCAAACGAACCTCTGAGGCGGATCTTTGAGTTTTCCTCGGCATCGCTGCTGTGCCCTATGATGCCTAGGTGGTAGACTAGTAGCCTGCCTGATAAATATGCATCCAACAACTGAGACAAGGTTTCCCTGCTGCCTGCGCTTTTGTCCAGGTCGGCAGCCTGCTGTAAATCCAAATGTATAATATTCATTTTGATACTCCCCGCCTGATCCGCGGTTACTGGTTATTGCCATCTTGTGAATCTTTCTCAACACCACCACAGCCATCCAGCCGTACTTATGCCAATAGCTTCTCACATCACTGTGTCGATCTGTGTTTACTTTGAGCGGCCCGCCAGAAATGCCAACACGTCACAGAAGAGGGAGGTGGCAGGAACGCGACCCCACGGCATCCTCGGACGAAAAGAACCCGCGTAGGGGCAGGTCGGCCCTGAAGCGCAAGCACGGAAAGCCCGTGGGCCGGCGCGAGATCGTGGAGAAGTACAGGGCCCTCGGGTCTTGGCTCTCGAGCGTGACATCAAGGGCGGCAAACAGTATCCTGAGCCCTGGCCGGGGTGGGGGCCCACGGATCTTATCCTCCACCGCAGACACTTTGCGATTAGCATACGCGTCTAGGCGGGTTATTACAAAGAGCGGTACGGCTTGCATTAGCCTTCCAGGAGGAGGTTGTTCCACCGTGCGGCTGAAGAGGCGGTGCGAGATGGGCTGTTGGATTTGGAGGACTAAGTCTACAAGTAGGAGTCAGGGACGCGCTGCGAGCATTGTGTGTCAGCCCAACCTACTTGTCTCGGAATAGTCGACTGTTGGGGCTTTTTTTGGGGCTGGACCAGTTGACAGTGTCAATTCTTTGTCACATTATCGCTGGAGGCCTGCCATGTGTGTTGTGGTAGTATTTGTTATTGCTCGAGTCAACTCAATCATTAGACTCTGGTGATAGTTGTAAGTCTGAAGGCACAATCAAAGACGTTGGTTGGTCTTTGGACGTAACCTGCATTACCCAGCAAGCGGAATCGCTGTTGTGTAAAGTGTGAAATGCCATCTGGAGTCACAGTGTCGTCTGACCGAGTAACACTGCAGCACTGCCAGCTGTCACCAGCTGCCGGCAGCTGTTAGTCTCTTGGCTGGTTTCATCCTGCCGCCCAGATACTCCCCACTCGGCCCCAGTGCTCAAGTGCAGCATCTCACACCCACGGCCAAAGCAGACCACCATGCTTCCCACAACGGCATCGAGTCGAGCATGCAATGTACAGTACCTGCGTGAGGCTGGCCATTTCTACCGTCCAAGATCTCCCACAGATCGATCTTCAGGGGCCGGCGGGAGGCCGCGCAAGTGACGCACTGGACTCACTCGGCAAACAGGCGGGCTGGCCAACCGCCCCGACGGACCACTTGGCGCCCAGCGCTTGGCACCCTGCCTATCGATCCGGCTCATTTCTTGCTCGCCCTTCTCTTGTTCGTGCCGCAGCCGTCGTCACGGCGCCTACGGATTACAGCCCAGCCCACCACCGGCGGGGTTGTGGAGCAATGGAAGCCCGGAGAAGATGGAGAAAGTTTGCTGCGAGATCTGGGGCGCGGGGGCCATGTCGAAGATACCCTTTCAGCCATGTCGAAGCGGGAGTCTTGGCGAGACAAGGACAGGCGGGCACAGCATTGGACATGACACAGCCTGAAGCCAAAGGAAATCATCCCTTTGATGGCTGGTGCTCGGCCAAGACGCAGCCAAGCGGGCCAAGTGCATAGCACGCTGTCACTGCCACCACTGGGCGCCCGTCCAGCTGCCGTCTTTCCCTTTGTTTCTGGTTCTTGTTGGTCGTCCAACGGCTGCCAGTGCCAAATACGATTGCCCAGCAAGCCCAGGAACCAGTGAATCGCCCAACCCCCCTGAGCCTGCGCGGCAACACGGGCTCCAGGCTTGGTTGCCACGGGTTTTGCGACCATGTCTTGGGCGTTACTTGGCTGATGACCGTCATCAGCCAGTGTGTCCCTTTCATACACTACATACAGTCAGAAGACGGTCCACTCACTCCTGCAAGGCACCCCCCCATCTGCCGTGTCTCTTTTTTCACCCTCTCTCCCCCATAACAATAATCTTCACACCCTTCCCATTCCGTCGTTGCTTCTACTGTTACCGTTACTGTTGCTGCCCGTCACTCTTTCACGATCCGTAGTGCTGCCGGCTGGCTTCACTACCCTCAGCAGTCTGCTGTAAATATGTCACCACGCTCGTTCTTCCTCTTAAAATGTCTCTCCATGGTTGGAGTTGCGTCGGCTGCGCTGGATGTGGACCTCACCGATGCCCGTAAGGATGTCTCGTGACTGTGCTCAGCGCACCCTTCACCCCGACCTCCCCACTGACAGTGACATGCAGAGTCAATCAGAGATAACGCAGCTCTGGTAGCGTACGACCTCATGACCTTCTACAAGGGCAACCTGTCTGGACAGATCCCCGGCATCCTGCCAGGTCCTCCTCCAGATGGCGACTACTACTGGTGGCAAGGTGGTGCCATGTGGGGGGCCCTGATCGACTACTGGCACTACACCGGCGACACGTCCTATGTCAACACAACCACCGAGTCGCTGCTGTTCCAGACGGGCCCGAGGAATAATTACATGCCTCCGAACTGGACCGCATCCCTAGGAAACGATGACCAGGCCTTCTGGGCCCTCAGTACCATGGCCGCCGCCGAGGTGCGGTTCCCAGACCCTCCGCAAGACGACGTCCGGCAGTGGCTGGCCCTCACACAGGCCGTCTTCAACACACAGGCACACCCAGACCGACACGACGACACATGTAACGGTGGGCTGAGATGGCAGATCCCCCCCAGCAACAACGGTTATAACTACAAGAACAGTGGGTCCACTCCACATCATTCGATCTTAACTAACCCCCGGCACTACTAACACCGCAATGCAGCCATCGCCAATGCTTGCTTCTTCAACATCGGCGCCCGCCTTGCTCGGTACACCTCCAACGAGACGTACTATTCCTGGGCGTTCGACACCTACGACTGGATGAAAAGGGTGGCGTACATAGACCCCGAGTACAATGTCTACGACGGCGCCCACGTCTACCACAACTGCACCGACATCAACCGGGCGCAGTTCTCGTACAACTCGGGCATGCTGCTCCAGGGCGCGGCCTTCATGTACAACTGGACCATGACGCAGTCGGACAACACGACCAAGAGCCAGCAGGAGGCGGCCTACTGGGAGCAGGAGATCCGGGGCCTGATGAACGGCACGCTGCGGGTCTTCTTCCCGGACGGGATCGCGCACGAGCCGGCGTGCGAGGACGTCGGCACCTGCACGAGCGACATGCTGAGCTTCAAGGGCTACGTGGCGCGCTGGATGGCCGTGACGGCGCAGCTGGCGCCCTTCACGCGCGACTCGATCATGCCGGCGCTGCGGACCAGCGCCCAGGCCGCGGTGCGGACGTGCACGGGCGGCGACAACGGCCGCATGTGCGGCTTCAAGTGGCACCAGAACGAGTGGGACGGCAGCACCGGCGCCGGCCAGCAGATGAACGTCCTCGCCACCATGACGGCCCTGCTCATGACCGACAACGAGATCACGGGCGACGCGGCGGGCGGGTCCGGCGGGGCGCCCATCACCAACGCGACGGGCGGCACGAGCGGTGGTGACACCGCGGCTGGCTATGGCGACGAGAGGCCCTGGGAGGACCTGTACGAGCCCATCACGACGGGCGACAAGGCGGGCGCCGCGATCCTGACCATCATCCTGGTGAGCTTCCTCACGGCGGGGTGCGTGTGGGTCTCCCTGGACGAGGGCTTCAGCATCGGCAGGTGATGGGAGGAAATTCATTGGTTGATTCTGCGTGTGACAAAAGGCGAGGGTGGCGTTTTGGGAGTTGATACCCCGTGGGACAGGGAGACCAGGTTACATCTTACGGCCGCACCACACGTGAACAGCGTCTTCTGTTTGTTTGAGGCATTTGCTTGGATATCATATCTACATTAATATCTCACCATTGTACAAGCGACAATTTACAGATAAAATAAATTATTCAAAAACGTTTTTGTCTTCTTTCGACTTGGCTGCGTATATGCGGTCACCTTGTGGCGGAGCAACGTGTCACCAGACCTAAACGAACTGCTGTGAGACCGTCAAGCGCCGTGTGGCTGGTCTGGCGCCCGCGTGTAAAGTCGCTCAAGTGGTCATGAACCAACTTTGAACCAGCACGTGCGTGGTGTGGGCTGGGGTGGTCTATCTACTAGGCCAACTAACAAGCAAGCGTGAACGAGGGCGCGATAAGGTTATCAGAACATCGGATGATGGATGACGGAAGGGTGGCACGTCCCAGGTCACATCAACCCGCTCGCTTCACGCGGGCCTCCCTCCACCCAAAGTGCTTCTATTGTGGGCCAGGCCACTTTTTACCCTCAGACCGTGGAGAGCACTCATTCGAAGCGACGCCCGCGATCTCGGAAGGTCCGCGCCCGCCCGAAGAGATCAAAGTCTCGCTGACAGGAGAGAACGGGATCGAACTGAACCCCCTGAACTGTAGCTATTCCGAGTCTAGTGCTGAGCGAGTCAAGCAGGGGACCGGTTTGTCTCACGGCTTCTAGGGTTTCTGTGCGCACCTGTCAGGGTCGACGGGTAAGGCGGCCACCCCGCGGGCCGTTTTGGGACACTGTGACGACGTAGGACTAAAATAATAATAATGAATTGCCGGAATGTGGCTTGGCTTGTTTGCATTGTTTATAAATATTCTGTGGCTAGTCACAACTCAAACAATGAAGACGAAACCAGGATCATATCGTTGCGTAAATATATCTAAAACCTCCGTTGTTATTTTACTCTTCATCGCAAAGCAGTTCGTGAGAATGCTTGCTACATTTGACAGCGTGTATAATTGTAAACCTCAGGCCATCAATGCAATATGTTTAAGTTCGCTGGGATGGGGTTAGCACAGCGACCTACGACATGATCGTGCCAGGGTGCGACTTACCTCTGAACCTGCTCCCCGACCTTCATAGCAGGGTACTGCACCTCGTCGCCCTCGTCCCGGCCCAGGTTCAGCTGCTCCAGCCTCAGCGCCCTGGCCTTGTCCGCCAGCTCGGGGATGGGGTCGAGGTCAAAGTCGCTGGCGAGGTGCCAGAAGAAGGTGCTCGATATGCGCACGAGCGGCCGGCCGGGGAACTCGCGCCGCCGCCTCTCGATCGTCTCGACCGTCCTGTCGTTGACGACGACCTCGTGGTAACCCGCCTTGACGAGCCCGCCCGTGATGTGCTCGAGCTGCTTGCCCGCCTGCACGAGGAGGTAGTTGCCGGGCGGGATCTTGACGGCGATGCGCCGGCCCGTGTTGCGCGCCCAGATGTGCAGGCCCGGGTAGCGCGAGCGCCCGTGGATGGTCAGGAAGTTGAGGTCCGTGTGGAACCCGGCCAGGATGGTGTCCTTGTGCCCGTACTTTACCAGGTCTGACGCCGTCGGCGCCAGGATGTGGGGGCCGTACCGCCCCGCGTCCTTGAAGGTTGCCTCTGGGATGCCCAGGCCCACTGCTGCCATCTCCGCGAGGGCGCTTACGCTTTATGTGTTTTGTGTCCTGTCAGAACTCATTCACGTCATACTTTGTCTCTCTCACTCACGCGTTCTTCATCGACCTGCCCCACAGGTCCATGGTGGGCGTCCACCGCTCCCTGATCTGGGGCGCCTCAGGGACGACATTCGGCGTGTTGAGGCCGGGGAACTGGGTCTCGTACGGCGGCTTCTCCGTCATCCTCCAGAAGAAGCGGCACTTGGGGTCGGGCTGGTGGCCCATGATGTCGAGGGGCCGCTGGTCCGGGGCGAGGCGCCGGATCACGTCCAGGCAGGGCTCGTCGACGGCGCACTTGGGCTTCTCGGTGTTCTCGAGCGTCGCGCCGACCTGGTAGCTGAACTCTGGGCGCTCGTCCTTCTGCAGCTGCTCGGCCGGCTGCGCAAAGTAGTCCTCCAGCAGGTCCAGGAACCCCTCGTTGTCGTCCGGCGACACCCGGCTGTCGTGCAGCACCAGCGCCCCGTATGTGATGAGCGCCTCGGCCGCCTTGCGGCACTCTGCCACCGCCGCGGGGGAGTCGTGCGGCGAGTTGAGGAAGACGTCCAGGTCGATTATGGGGAGGTCCATGGATGCTTCGTGGGCTGCCATGTTGGACCAACTTTCTGGGCTCGATATATGCTACAGACAAAATACAAAACTCGAGTGCTTGTTGGTGTTGGGGTCGTCTTTCTCGACGCGTTTGTGAACGTCTTTTTCAGAGTGTCGTGAAATATTAAAAGTGAATCCCGATAGGATTGCAAATGCCCGCCGCATGAGTCGATGGGGCGATGGCTCGCCGGCGCGTGTGCCGTAAGAGGGAGGTGCCTGTGATACTGCCCCATGATCCTTGAGTCGCTAGCCTCTTTTGGCAACATCGTTCCCTCGGACGGTCTTGGCCCCACGGTGCTCGCCGACGGCCGCGGTGAAGCGGTAACAGCACAACTCTTATAGTGCGTACAGCCGCCGGATTCTGTTAACACTCAAACACTGCCAGCGTACCCCTAACATTGAACTTTATGCTGTCCAGCATTTCCGTGCAAGATTTAAACACGGTCAAGCCATCGCTTTGATTAGTGAGTGGCATGGCATATGCGGCGCAGGATCTGGACGCGTCGCTGAGGTCAGTCAGAAGCGACTCTTCACTTTTGGATCGTTCAAGGCCTTCCAAATTTCATTAGATGGAAACTGATTTTGCCCAGCAGAACATTGCAGATGTCATGAGTGACTTGAAGCAGTGTACTGGCCCCTGAGGTTCCATAATACCGACTAATAATAAGACAACGTCCAAGAACACAGTGTAGCCTGTGCCGAAGACGCTTCACTTCGAGAAAAGGAGACGCTTGTCAACTGCTGCCTTGAGTTTGGAATCACTCGGATGACCAAGGCGGTTAGCGGAGAACCTGTCACCTTTGAAAAAGACTTTTCCACACGCTTCGCGAAAGGATCCGAAATCACAACTCTCTTAGATGACAACTCTTGTGATGCGATCATTGTTCCGGAGGGCTGCCGTAATCCTTCGGATCTAGGTCAAGCTCCAGTCATTTGCTTAATCTATTCTCCAAGCACGCCGGTTGAAGTTGATGAGACCGGTCTGACAATCAAGGGTCCCGGAATGCCGTAAGATCCCCGTCTCACAAATCGAGAGCCCTTGACTTTGAAATAACACGTGGTAGCTTTGGGGCCCTTCTCATCGGACGAAAATGGGATGAGCAGACCCTGTTATCTGTGGCATCTGCATACGAGCAAATCATGGAAGATCAACTCCTGGATCAAGACCGCCTTTGGATTTTTCCGAAGACAGAGCTTCGGGATATCATCCATCCCAAGGTTGTGGAGGAATAACGATTTGGTCCATAGGGTGTAAATTGAGTTGTCTAAGGTCTAAGTCTCTCAGTAATGGTCCTTCTAACCTCGTGACGCTTTTTGTAGTCGCTTTGGACACGGTCTGAAACCAGGGTTAGGGGCGCGTCCTCCACAAAGGTCGGATAGCCCGCTTCAGAGTCACCCGATGCTGCGAAAGATCGCAAGACCTGTACTAGCCCATCTGACTCTCGTCACATTGAGACAAGAGCTCCTGATGCAAAAGTTACTCCCGGGCTACCGATATCCCTGGAAGCCTCCATGAGCAGGTACCCAATCTGACCTAGGATCAATTCGCATACCTAGGTAGTAGATTTCAATGATATTTGCAACATCATCCAATCTTCTCTGGTAACTGAATATTGGCGAAATATGATATGAAATATTGATGCTACTTCTACCTACGCACAAACCTATAGGCGTGGTAGATTCACACTGGATGAATGACGATAGGTCGCGGGATGGACAGCCTTCACCCCTATCTAGGTTGGTATGGGAGAACCGGATAGGAACCTTGGCAACTGATGAATGGTCTGACGAGGCCTCAGATGAACCACAATCCTTCGACAACATTGAAGGACTGTTCGAGTGCCTGTTTACGGAAAGCCGCAGCAGCCTGTCGGTGGAGTTGATCGTGTCCTAGAATTGCTTTTTGGTAAAGATGCCAATCCTCAACTACTCCAAACAGGCATAGCTTCAGAAACCATGAGAATTTAGCTACTTGCGGCTAGGCTTAAGGGCATTTTTGAGAGTAACAAAAGAGTCGAGAGTACTAACCCATCTAGTATGAATGCTTTCTTTGTGTCTGCCTCAAGTCTAACCGTACAGATGACCTTTGTGGACTACTCGGACCTGGGACTCTAAAGCCTGGTTCAATGCAATCTCTCCGTCACATGCTGTCACATGAAGGCGTTTCCTCAAGAATCCTACTAAAGCAGGCCCGTTGCAATCAGACCATAGCAATACACGGGATAGAATATTAGAAGATGGAAGGTATTGCATGTGAATGAAATTGTGGGTACAGCAAGATAACTCTTAAATGCCCGAACGTGAGCGATACTCGATGCAAGTTTCTTCTCACCTTGCCCGTCCGCCTTCCGTACCAAGTTCGAATCGCAGTTCATTCAGAGGCAATACATTTTCCATGGGATATTGTTCCTAAAAGAGTCACGATTCCACCATGCCAGCCCTATCTAATGATCTCTACGAGTCAATTCTTCGTGATCAGGCGAAGAAAAATCTTGAACGACTGTCAGCTTTTGAACCACCACCCACACCACCTCAGCCACATCTCGAGTCGCCCTCAAGTCACCAGGTGCACAAGACAGAAATACAGAAGGTCACTTGGGCGGTAACCTCTTCTTTGAATCAGACGACAAAACCTTCGGGGATCTGGTCTACACTAAGGCTTTGGGTCGCAAAAGTGTTCGCAACATGGGTCGGTGAATTCGCAGGAATTCTCGGGGCGCCTCGAATCCTGGATTTCGGTCTCACCTTGAAACTCTTCACAAGATGGAGCGAAGACAACATCGACGCTATCGACGCTGCCAAACAAAGGCAGGTTTTCGGAGGCAAATCAGATATTAATTGGGAAACTACCTTTTTGCCTTTCATGGAGAGCATAGGCATGTACCTGCGGGACGTGCAAGCCCACAAAGATGCGTGGGTGAAGTACCGAACCTTTAAAGATGGCGGCCGCAAGGGGCTCGCATCCGAGGCTATCGACTTGTACGTTGCAGCCCACAGCGAGATAGACAAGCTTGCTCAAGTCTGGGGCATGCGTTTTCCCCCAATCTGCGACTTATGCGACCTCTCTCCAAACGGGCAACCGCGGTTTGACGGACCATATTGCGGCATGTTCTTCACAACCGAACATCAGTCAGACAAACCCTTCATCGGGGTCGCATTCAAAGGCACCAGCCCAATCAACCTCAAGGAGTGGGCCGTGGACTTCAATTACCAGCTGACTCCTACTGCACAAGAATACTTCGGCGGCACACAGGCTCCCGTGTCACAAGGGGTGTATACGAGTCTCTTTGGAAGTTACCCTGGGAAGGGAGTCCCATACCAGCAGATCCTCAAGGCGACACGCTTTGCAGCCAGCAAGCTACCGAACACGAGCGCAATGGCGGTTCCCCTGCACGTCACAGGCCACTCCCTTGGGGGCTCTTACTCGACGCTCTGCTACACACAGCTCCTGATCGATGTTGCGCCATCGAACCCGACCGCTGGGCAGCTGATGATGGGCGATGAGTACACATTCGGGGCGCCGCGCATCGGCTCCAACGAATGGGCCGGACTGAGCACCACGCTGGTCAACGTACAGCGCGGCCGATCTTGGAGGATCGTGAACAACCATGATCTCGTTCCTCAGGTGCCCCCGACGACGCTCCAGCGCAAGCAACGGGACTTCCATCACGTCGACACGGGGGTCCATATATGGCCTTATAAGGGACCCCAACAAACCCCAAGTGAAATTGACAAGCCGAATCCGAAGTGCTATCCTATCTACAGCCTCCTGTACCTGATACCAAGTCTTATAATGGTGTTGGACCATCGTAAGTCCTGGCGCCCAATGAAGGACAAGCATGCATCGTTTTTCTAATACGAGTCTCCAGTCCCACACAGGTATTATGATTCCCTGCGATTCGCCATTGTCGACAGCCGTAAGACCATGACTGGAGGCCCATCCAAGGGGGGCTTCAACTGGGCCTCACAGTATCCTGACAGAATAAGCATGCTGTATTACGCTCTTTCGTCTTATTTACAAAACTTGGTCTTCGCAATGGCTCATCTGTTGCAAAAATGTATTTTTGCCCTTGCTTCGATTATCTAGCTGCACATGACTGTACGTATACTTGATCCTACCTGGGTGTGTTCGGCATGTCCACAATAATCGGTCGAAGTGTATATTTCGTGATCGGGTGGTCTTTAACCGTGAGAGTACGTTTTGACGCGATAGGACAGCCAAAATTTCAAACAGAGGTTGGGAAGGGTTCACTGTTTCCAATTTCGTGTATCGACGGTCATCTATGTAAGAACGGCCCACAGTGAGCCTCCCGAATGTTGTTTCGCTGGGCGCAAGCCCTATGGCAAACCCATGAAGAAAGCCAACATCTTCGGGAAATTTGGTGTCCCCAACCCCGTGACCGGGTCCCAGCCCTTCACCGCATTGAACCCTCCCTCATTGCACGCCGCGTTCGTGCCATTGGTGATATCATTCAATATCTCCGGGTGGGCATACAACGCTGGGTTCAAGAATCCCAGCGGGCCCTTACCCGCCGCGATCCGCTCCTCGTTGATGCGGTTGATGATCCCCGAGAAGATGGGTGTGGACGCGCTCGTCCCCCCCGAGAGTCCGAATTCGCCTCCCACCCAGACGGCAATGTTGTCACCGTTGGCCGCGACGTCCGGGATCCCGCGGCCTATGCGGTTGTAGATACCCCCCGTGTCTCCAGCCAGGAGGGTGACGTTGGGGAGGGCGTAGACGTCGCTTGGGTCGAGCTGTGCGAGACTGCTGTAGTATGGATAGCCAGGGTCGTGGTCGGCAAAGTAGGTCGCCACGGCTGACTTCTGGTAATCCGGAATAGGATAGACGTTGCTGAAACCGCCGCCTGAGCTATAATTGACGTTATAAGGAAATCCAGCTGGGTCGTATACCGCACTCTCAGGCTCGAAAACCGTCTTTCCTGGGTACACCTTCGTCGCACCTACGTTTGTTATGTACGGGCAGTTATTCGGCCACGTAGGATTGAAGATGTTGTAATCCGGTCCCAGGCAGCCGGTGGGGCCATCGTAGCCGTATGGCTCAGGGTAGTTTCCTACACCGGAATCGCCAGACGCGAAGAGGAAAGAGACGCCCTGCAGGCCGAGCTTGAGGTATTCGTTGCATTGGCGTTTCTGGTAGGCGATGGGCACGTCGGCTTCTTGCCCGCCGTAGGAGACAGAGAAGACGTTGGTGGGTTTGAAAATACCGCATTGCAGGGTGCCGTTGTAGCCGTCTGGACCTGTGAGGGTGTTAGCCAAGGCGCGACGGGTTGCTTGCGGACGCTGCGAACCTGGATCAGGATACGTTGGATCCCAGTTGTCCTGAGGTGAGGCTTATTAGTTCCGCCTTGCTAGAAAATCTGGGAGTGGTCTAAGGGCCATACCAAGTCACCAGTCTCTCCGTACGCTGAGTAGGTGCAGTAAGAGCCATCAATGGCATCGAGCAGAGTATTGAAACCCCATGTATATGTGTCATTTTCCCAGGTCTGGTAATGGATGTCGTCCACATTCCAGACCGTGATACTTTGAGGATATACGATTGGGTACGCAAGCTGTCGAACCGTAAGCATTCACATCTGCTGCCACTGAGAATCATAAGTTTCTTACTTCAAGATCTAGCATCGACTCAATAGCTGCCTCAGACAAGTCCGTTGTCTGTGCTACGCCACCATCAACATTATTATCAATCGGATGAGTTCCGTTCGGAATCCAGTGCGTCAAATTTGTGAAAAATAAATCAAGATCAACCTGATCCCAGTACTGTAATTCAGCCTCAAAAATACCCATCGTGTTGCTCGGATCCACATGCTTTGGTGCCGGCGGGATGTGGTAAAGCGCTGCCACGCACGCAGGCGTGATAGCAACATCACAGGTGCTCAAATCTGACAGGTCATGCTCTTCATGTGCGAACAGGGAGTGTCCCGCTGCGCTCGGGCGCCATTTCGTCGCGCGTTTGGGCGCAGACTCTTTGGGGACGGACCCAGAGCCTGGAGAAGCTGGGTTCCCACGCTTCTCCAGGAATTGGCGGCCTTGCTCTGTGAGCTCGTCGGTGGGTGCGAGGAGTTTGATCCCAGGGGTGATGTAGTCTATCAGGGGTTGGATGTCTTTGGGGACGTGGTAGGCGTTGCAGGCGGGCATCACGCCACCCGTGCGGCGGTCTTGATATTCATGGTATTCGGTGTGCAGGAGCTCCTCGACCTTGCTGGTTGATGCGTGGAATGCTAGCCACTTAAGTGTTGTCAGCACAATTTTTGTTAAAGGGTGTGTGGATGTATGTTGCAAAGGAACGCTTTAGGTTCAAAGAGTCTGTTTGCCAAGCTGACGTCCTTGCAGCAAAAACGTTATACTGCAGTCCCTCAACCCATCAATGCTAATTTTGAGAAAAATCCGTGAAGAGACAGAATGATGCGCGATCAATTTCGCTTCTATTATCATTGGGAACAAATCTTCTCATGTGCATCTGCTGCCAAGGAATGTAGTGCTGGATGCTGCCAGCGATTTCTAGAACCGCTGCCCTGCAAGAGAGGCGTAAAAATGGGCATAATACAGTGAAATCAAGACATCACTTCGCAACAAGCCAATCTCAAAATTCGAGTCAGTCACACTTACTGCTTTATTATCCGAATGAGTGATGGTCTCAAGGGGAATCCCAGACTCCACAAGCCAGCTCCGGACGACTTCGACATCCGCATCGCTTGGCCTGAACGCATCGATCACGTCGTCGGCAGTCCAGTGCTTTCCATAGTTGGGAGAGTCGGGGTGGCTGACGTCCATCAGGTATTCATGGCCCTTGTCCAGGTTGTTCTGCGCCAGAGCGATCCGTACTGGTAGGATAGCTTCGGGCCTCACACGGTCCAGCTTCATCCATCGGGAGGAGTGCACATCGCGCTGTTCATGGACGCCATGTGTCGAGGGGACTATCGCTGCAGTTGTCGATAGGACCGCCGATACTGACACGATCGAAGACCACCTCATTTTCGTCGATGAAGAGCCTTAAGGAGTATGAAGTGAGGCCAGACGAATATTAAGCGAAGCGGGAGACTTCTTGGCAGTCCATTTATAAGTCCTGAGTGGGAATCAAGCCTTTTAGGGGCGGGAACACCTGCGGGTGCGGACTTCTGGAAGCTTATTGGTACACCCTGGAAGCCACCTTCCCCATCGAGACTAGACAATGCCGGAGCAGGGAGTCGATACTTTAATTCGGCATGTTACGTGAAATTGTGCTCGTATTCCGTATCTCCCACTCGATTCGGCATCAATTGTTGATGCCATCCACTGAGAAGCCGTGTGTGTGCATGCCGGGCCCCTTTGAAATCGGTGCGTAGCCCATATACACACCAGCGCCCCCTTTCACACTACAGTCCGAACGCTTTCACACTACAGTCCGAACGCTTTCAAAGCAACTTGACAACCGAGCTACTAGTGTAATATATACCTAGGTACCTATAACTGTATAAGGCTTCTAGTCTACTGAGTATGTTTCTAGGTGACTGAACATTGCCGTCCTTTTAGCTGAGTGGACTACTGCAGCAGTTGATAACGATACAGGTCTAATATAGACGGTGACTACTGGAGGATAATATCAGGGTGCGTGTTTTTGGATTAGAGAGAACGTATGTGCGGAGACCGCAATGCAAGCGTGAGCTGGCTAAGGCTTAGTATTTGTGTGAAATCGCTCTAGGAGAATCTGACGGGGAATAGCCGCTTGGATAGGGGAATGACGTGCGAATCTTCAGCGAGACTCACACCTGTTCCTTATGCCGACTGTAACGGTCCGGGGAATCGGCTTCATCACAACCCTGGGAAATCTGTTGTGATCGGAAGACGGAAAGACAGCTCTAGTATGCGCTCTATGGTATCACAAAGTGTCAGCTGACAATTAGACCATTCCGGTAGTACACCAATTATATCCGATCAGTAAGCAAGGATATGGAATTCAGCTCGCCCAGCTCAAGGCGGGATCTACACCTAGTTCGATTTGCCTAATCCTTCATCTCATACTAGGTGCCCGGGAAACATAACTGGATTTTTCGGTGTGTTAGTTACGAAAGGGGCCGAGGGTTAAATCTTTGACGATCTGGTTTTGTCGATCATGCAAGACCTGCATATGAGTGGCTGGTTCGAGGTATTACGCCATGGATTCCCGCCCTGGTGCTGACTGGGGATCCAGAATACGAGCGCCTCAGTCAGCTTTATTCCCTTTGGGTCCAACGCTGCGGTCTTCCAGCTCGTAACCGCTAAAATCAAACGATGGAACTTCGGTCACGGTAAGTATAAAACTGCTGGATCCTGCAGTGGCATTGACTCCCTTTTCCTCTTCACATCGCTAATAAGCTCTTTCGACAAACTTCTATATGTACGCTCCCTCCTGACTTATGGGCCTACGTTCTAAAACACTGACTGTTGATATACCCAGACTCAATAAAATCCGTCTCAAATTGCTAGGAACCGAAAGACAGACAAAATCCACCATGAAGGTCATAGCCCTGCTCGCAACCCTGCTCCCCGCCGCGTCGGCAGTGGACTGGTCCCTCACCGGCTACTCCTCAAACAACTGCGACAGCACGACCACGGTGTTTGAGAACGGGTCCGACGGCGTCAACTTCACCTGCCAGTCTTTTGATACGACGGTCCACAGCGCCGATTTTGAGGGCAACAACTTCTGGTGTCTATACCTGTTTGCGGATGGCGAGTGCGGGGAGGAGACCAAGTACCTGGCGACGGGGGCGACGGGGTGCCAGGTGGGAGACTGGGGGAGCTATTCGTTTGCGATTCCTTCCCACGGCTTTCCTTGTTGAATGAGAAAAAGTAACGGACCTCGAGGTGCCCAAAGACCACCGGCCCGGTCTTGAATCGGGCGATGATTTGGCTGGATTATATGTTCGTATTTGACTATCTAAAGGGCACATGCATTGTGCCTTATCGAAAAGCGCAGCTGTGAATAGCCTTTCTCCTCGGTTACCGAGGGGTCTTATACCGACTGCAGTGGAAGCAATGGGGACTAAACATATGATCTCGGTCAAAACCAACGAACTGGGAACGCAACATTCCAGCTGCATGGCTTTTCGTCTTGACTGTGGCCTTTTTGCATTTTCCACTGGTCTCAGCCGTATAATGGATCCGCCTCTGGACATTCCACCTTGTCTTGGGCCCAACCAACACACTCTCGCAGCTCAGATCTACCTAGGCACTAGTACTGCACCGAAACAACTGTCCGTCTCATTTACCAGCTCACTAGCCACGACCCAGGCAAGATGGTGATTGCTGCTCAAAGTCACCCAGTGAATGTCGAGGAGCACACAGTGACCGATTTGACAACCGGTCATTGAGTACCTCAGATCGACACTATATCGGGAGCTATGGGAATCAATGGTATGAGCGTCATCGGTGACCCCCGCTTCTCGGACTTATTCCAAAGTCGTAGCAATAGGAGTGGTATACATTCTCAAATGCTTAGAGCCTACTGGAGCTCTTCTCTCTCAACCCCTGAAACACAACATGGCCATACTCGGTGTAGCCTCTGTGTCCAATGTTCAGGATGATGAAATGCTTTCGAAAGTGCTCGCTGTGGTGATAGTCCTCATGTTTCTTGACGGCCTCCCATCCCACAAAGACTAGATAACTTCTCTCAAGACCTTCCACCGGCTCAACAACCTCGCCACCAGCGATGCCCATGCAGCCATCGACGTGCCTGACAACATGCGTCCAGAGGGGCCACGCGCCCTCATACCATGCATCATCGGCGCCTTTGTAAATAGCAGTTCCAATAGGATAGCCCAGTAACTCCTTGCCAAATGGATCAGATAGAACCTGGCGCGCGAGCCGCGCGTTTCGGACTTTAATGTCGGACGGCGAGCCTGTGATCAGCGTTGTGATTATTGGCAGAAAGGTCTCACAATACAAAGGCGAAGCGAGGAAGGCGGTGTTGTGAGCAATATCGTCTCGGACTGCGGATCGGTAAGCACCAAGGTCTACAACATGATGCCAAGAAGCGAAAAGCTGCAGACTGACCGGTATACACGTGGACTTGTTCGGGGATCTCCAGTCTCCTTCCCCAGCATAGGCGGCGGAACCCAGCACTCGATTCTATCGCGTCCAGTGCTTGCGCCCATTTCTTGCCTGCGTCTGTATTCACGTCGCCAAGTTCATGATTCGGTGAAATGGTCAGATACAAGATCTGAGTGACACTGGTGTCGGTTGCTTTGGTGGCCATTTCTCGCGACTGTTCTAGGTAAGTTGACACCCACTCGAAGATAGTATCCGGCTTTTAAAGATTAGCTGCGACTCTTCGCAGAGTGATTTGGAAATCCTAAGTCATTTGGCAGCGGTAGATTGTATTCTTGAGAGATGACTTATGGGCGGATGGAATGACATTTGAAGACGAGGCTGGGGGTAAACTTCGGGTGCCTCGTGCGTCGCCAACGTCGTACTGCTATGATCTAGATTTGCCCATTGAGTCCCGTTCTGGTGCCCTGTTGGTGTGAAAGAAATGTCAAACTAAGCACTACTGCACCCGTGGACCCCGCAGACTACCGGTGTGGGAAGTTCCTTGCGAGACCTCGTGCTGCGGACACCTCGGCTCGCGATGAGGGCACCAATGACAGCGCACATTGCTGTATGTCTTCTCACTCATGCTTCATGTCCAGCCACGAAATAAGATCGTCATTCAGAAACAAGCCGTGATACTTGATAGTCGTGCAAGCCTCGTATAGCACCGAAGAACATGGAGCAGAAGACACCGATGACAAAGTTTGTGTGGAAGGATCCGTACAAGTACCTGGAAGGTTTGGGAAACTATCACTTGTAAGTACTTCCACTGCAGTGACAGAAAGTTCAAGCACGTTAAGCTCAGTATGTTTCCAGATCTGAAGCCTTCCCGGCATCAGTACCACAAGTTAACAACACACCTCAACACCCTCCATATGGGCTCAGAACAGAGCGGATAAGCGGCAGCTCCTTTGTGGGACCACGGTCGCAGAACTTTCAGACGTGGCTGTATCGAGCTACACCGTCCCTAGAGCACGAAGAGTTCGTGCAACTCGACGTTGATACTGGGTTTGGCCAACAAGGGCACTCATCGCCAACCAGAAATGTCACGCCGAATTCGTATGCTTGGGGCTCATTCCCTGTACCTGATCGAGGCACAAACTGGGTCAATGGTCAGCAGCTTATCGGCAGAAATGGCGATCCGGCCAAGAAGGAAGGGATGGCCATGTGGCTTTTCAGCTTGACGGAGGAAATGCCGGAGCGGCAGGCATTCTCATCCCTCGATGGCGAGCTACTTCTTATTCCACAAGCCGGAGCCCTTGATATCCAAACGGAGATGGGAAAGCTGATGGTCCGCCAAAACGAGATCTGCGTCATTCCCAGAGGTGTGCGATACCGAATCACTCTGCCAGGAGGCCAGCCCTGTCGTGGATACATCTGCGAGCTACATCAGGGTCATTTCCGCCTTCCGGATCTAGGTATCGTGGGCTCAACGGGCCTGGCCAACGTGCGAGACTTCCAGATTCCAATAGCTTTCTTTGATGGCTCACTGTCCGACGGTGGAAAGGTCCCGAGAGCTAACAACGATGAATGGCAAATCGTGTCGCGCCTGGGCGGCAGACTATGGTCCTGCACTCAGAGCCACACACCATTCGACGTTGCAGGTTGGCACGGCACATGCTACCCTTATAAGTATGGTCTGGCCCGATTCTGCGTGCTCGGCAACGCTCTCTTCGACGAGCATGACCCGTCCCTCTTCGTCGTTCTCACTGCCCCAAACTACGCAGCGGAGCCGGGAACTGCAGTTGTGGACTTTGCCATCGTGTCACCCAGGTGGAACGTCGCGGAAGATACGTACTGGCTGCCGTATTGGCACAGAAACACTATGCAGGAGTTTTTCGGCCCCATAATCAGCAATCAGAGCCCAGAATATCCCTTCAGCAGCGATAAAACTGGTCACCGGTTTGCGCCGTTCGCTGCGGGCCTGCACTGCTCAATGAGCACGCACGGTGCGACCGAGGCCGACTACCAAGCTGCACAGAAGAGGGACACGCACAAGCCGGCCAAGGTCCAAACTGATGGGTTGAACATCTTCTTGATGGAGACCGACAAACCTCTGGCGCTCAGTGACTGGGCTTTCAATTGTGCGACGAAGAACCCGGCAGGCAGGCCTAAGATGTAGTCCGCAGATGTGTCCTTTGTTTTGCGATATCTGTCCACCAGTATCTCATGCCAGGATGACAAGAGGTAACCGCGCTGTGGTGTTCAAAAACAAGGGGAATCGTTGTTTGTTCTATCCATGGCTTGGGATCGCGCAATATGTAAAGAAGGCCAGATTGCTTCCGCAGCTTAGCTATCACCCTTGATCCCATTGTCCGACATCTTTGCAATCATAAGCACCTCCTCATTCCTGAATTGTTTTCCAGAAAGCTGTAACAATATAGTAGATCTATAAAACAGTTATGGGTTATTTGTGACATAGCTAATTGAAGGCCAATATTTAACTTTACTCACTACCCTTCATAGTATATTTTATAAAGTTCATCACTTGTAACCATATTGAGTATAGAAAACCTTATACTAAGTAAGTAGAATAAAAACATTTGAAGGCTAGGTAAGCTAACTAAAATACTAGGTGTACTAACTTTGGCCAAGAAAGAAGTAGGACTCCCTTGGGTGGTCTAGATGTCTGGATGGTAGCAGGAAAGTGTAAACAATTTTGTGTAGCCACTGGCCCTATGAGATTTATTCCCCCGGGCGTAATGAATTCATGCATTCAGTCTTGATCCCCAAATTGTAGCAGGTAGCCAGGAATATCACCGCTAAGGTCTTGACATGGTCACGCCATGAAGAGGCGTTGCGTTGGCAATTCTAACTTCATGACCGAAACGTCGTACTATGAGAAACCCAAAATGGTAGAGTTGTGTAGTGTAACCGATTATATATGGAAAGCTCGCGGTATGGAGAGTCAATTCTTGGTACACTGTACTGCGCTTCCAGGACTCATCTGGTTGCTCACAAGAAACGGAACAATGCTTTCAACAAGAAGACGCTGGTACTTCGAATCATTCATGTTCAAACTAGGGGGCAACAGCCTTTTTCTCGACACTTACCTGTCATCAAACTCAGGCAGTCAATATTAGGGACGCTACCCGGGGGGCAGGCCTTCCCTGCCCCCCTACGCCAAGGGCGTAGGGGGTGCCAAAATTCCGCAACGACCAAAATCCCGTAACACCCACACCTACCTATTTTCACTACTTTTCCCTATAAAAATCTACTTTTTAATTAAGTATATTTCCTTAATTAAATTTTATATAAAGAAAAGTTAAATATCCTTAAAGTCTTTATTTTATAAAGATTAATAATAAAATATTTTTAAATTTCTAGAGTTAAAGTTTAAGATTTTAGTTTTTTTAGTTAAGGGTTTTCTAAAATTAATATATTAATTTAATTAAATTATATTATTAAAAAAATAAAATAATAGAATATTATAGGAATTAGTTACTTTATATAAATAATATTTAAAAATTAAAATCTAATTATAATAAGATTAAGAGTTAAAGTTTTAAAAGAGATTTATAATATTAAAAATATTATAAAGAAATAATATATAATAACTTTAATTTTAAAAGATTTTTAAAGATATTATTTATATATATTAAATAATTTTAAAATATTCTAATATTTTTACTTTTAATAATATAATTTATTTAAATAAATATATTAATTTTAAAAAAACTTTAACTAAAAAAATTAAAATCTTAAACCCTAACCCTA